GATCCTCCACTACGCTGCCATTCAACCCAGAAAAACGACGTAGTGATAATGACAGCGCCTCAGTAACACGTCGCAGTAGCACTCGATTGCCGCAGAGATAAGCGACGGGATCGCGGCGGGCCAGCAAGCCCAGACCAGGCGCGTCCACAATGTGGCCACCTGAGGCCTTGATACAGATTCGCTTGCCGCAAGGTCTCTTTCTTGATCCTTGGCCAATATCAGCTTATGATAACACCTGGGATGAGCTTTCCGATATCACGTCCCCTCATCCCTTTCTCCATCCCGAATGATTTGACTGGAACCCCTACGCTCTAAAGTGTGTCTAATTTCGCAACCTGATAACGTCCTCTGATTGATGCATTGTTCCTACAGATCAATGATAGGACCGCCCGTCCTCTAAATGAGCCGTCCATCGTCATGCAGGTCCTGCCCATCTCATCACATTTGACAATCTCGGCACGAGACATTGGTGGGGGGCGAGGTCTGGGACTGGAGCATATCTGCGGCGGAAACGACCAAAACACAGCCACAAAGCCAAGCACGTCAGATTAGAATAGGCCATCACCAGCCTTGCAGCCGCGTAGGATATGGCGTTCGTTTCGTTTCGTTTTGTTTCGTTTCTACCTAGTCCACATCATATCATATCGCCTATCGCAAAGTAATGTCTCGTGCTTATCTCTCATGCACGTGTCGGGCCACGAGTTCCCGACCTAAATCACCGGTGGCTGCAGAAACGCAATTTGGCCAACGTCTCTGCATGACGCTTGTCTCAAACGCACCGCGTACCGCGTAGAGGAGCCACAGTCTGTGCCTATTACCGGAAATGTATTCATGTAGCAGCACCAGCAGCAGCACCAGCAAAGGTGACTCTGCTATCTTGCATTCTGGCCCATCTTCATCCCTGTCGAACCCTGCCTTGCGCTGTTGAATTTGCCGATAACGGTTCTCGTCAACCCGGCTTATCACTGAATCGGATGTTACAACTCGCAACCCGCGGCTTGGCCGTGTTATTCCCCGGCTGGGGGTGGGCATTTGACACACAATTACGCCCCAATCTCTCTGATCCAGGTGTGGTGATGAGTTGTCGTCATGGCGAGGTGGCCTTGCTTTTGCCTCCTATTTCTGTTGCCTGGGTATAGTAGAGTCGCGGTCACATCCAGCGAGCTTGCTTGCTTTTTTGGTCAGAGCATGTGAATTTCTGGCACATTTTTCGACAGGTAACTGATTGCGTGGCAGGAGCTAGTGGACGATGGCAAGAAGCTGTGCTTTGGACCCTCTCGGTTCACTTTCGAGATCATCTTGGATAACAAGAGGACTCGGAAGGCTGAGAAGCTGACGTTGGATATTGTTTCGATGAAAAAGACCCTGCGGCAAGCAATCTGCCCATCATAACTTGCCATGATCCATCATGACGGCTTACGGTCGTCGTTGAGATGTGTTAGCCCCAACTCTGCACCTACCTCTCCGAAGCTGACCATCAACGGTCCCCGCCTCCAAAATGTCAGAACTCATTCGCGATAACCTCCCAGTGTCTCACAGTTCCCAACACGAACTCAGCACACGCCTAGGGATCGTGACCTCGTGGCACAGTCTCGCCGGGTTGAATACCGTGCTCAGAGCATTCCCAGCGACGTTCACCGCAGTCTGCAGGCCAAGATACCACCTGTACTGGGTGGCAGTCAGAATGTACCTCGCACATGGCGTAACCATTTGTCAACAGACTTCAGGAATAGAGTCGTCGTAATGATCGCGGAGCCAGAAGTATCAAGTCAACATCTGGTAGATATGTATACAGCGTGAGAGGTATGCCGGTTCCATCACCCGGCTTCCCGAGGGCGTACAACCGATCAAATCACCGATCCGAGCCTAAGATGCTTACAGTGACTCTACTCTGAGATTTCTCTTGAAAGATTATCAAAGACCTCATACCTGGGGCAATGGTCGTTCTGAAGTCTGTTTTGGCCATATTATGCGGCAAGTCATCTCTATGTTCTGAAATGTCGACCCGGAGACTCCTCGCCACAGGCGGTTTGGAGAAGATCCGAGAGAAAGGCCATTCCCGTATTCAACTTTGTCTATTCAAAAGAGGCATCTCTTATAGACCCAGAATAAAGGAAATGATGATACAAATCTCTCACATAGAGCAATTCGTCAGAACCTACCAGTCATCTCCGCTTTGGACATGCTTCAAAATGGCTGCCTCGAGGCCTGTTCGAAGCAGAGCGATATGTCGTGTTGGTGGCGTATCATCAGCTGATATACGAGACGCAATAACTGCTCCTGCTTGAATTTCTTACCATCTTGTGTATTGTGTAAATCAAGGTCATCGGTGGCAGCCCTTGAGATGTTTCGCGGAGCCAAGCCTTGATCAACCTACCACGAGCGTAGAACTCAAGATGTACTCGAAAAGATTCTCCTCAACTATCCAAATTTTGTGACACTTCGTTCCATCAAATTTACATTAATGGAATTGATTGAGTGTTTACAAGATGATTCTCAATGGAGGTTGGCCCGAGTTACACAGACTCAAACATCGAACGGCGTCGTATCGCCCACCCCGCCTTTTCCCATTCTTAGGATTATCAGACTGAGCTTCGAAGAACATGTTCAATGATGCGACGGTGACACTTGGCCTGGAAGGTCCGAAAGGAGAGGTTATTGTGACAGCCAAAGTTTTGCGTCGGATAAAGACTCAATTTCCGCTTTGTTGGTGAGTCAGAACGGCCAGCAGCCGGCGGCAAGCGGACCCGGTGGAGTCGTGAACGCGGAATCGAAGTCTTTCCTAGCCGGCCGGCCGGTTCCGGGTCACGCGGGCTGAAAATTACATCGCCCTTCAGGAAATCGCGTACTGTCCATAACTCCTTAGCTATTATACCTAAATAAGTCATTTTTCTTAGAGAAAAAAAAAGATAAATATTTACTTTATAAGTTTAGAATTACATATCGCGCTTTTTTAATAATTAAAATCGCTAGTGGTTATTTATGGTACCTTATTATTCCTGCAGAGGAAATCTGAAAGGGGCGATGTAATTATCAGCCCGCGTGCGGGTGTAGCCGGTAGTGCATCCTATGGAGCCGATACGGGGCCCCTCGTTGGCTTCGGGGCAGGAAAAATAAAAAAGAGACAAACCCCCGGGCGGACGGCCAGGTCCTAGAGTAAGAATGCCAGGTCCGCGACTCAGCGTAGAGCGGCCACCAAGCCGGTTGGCTGCACCACCCTCCCGGATGGACATCGATCCCGACTAGTCTCATCAGAAAGGTCTCTGAGCGGTGTGTGTCAGATGCATCACAGCCTTTTAGCGGCCGCAGGGCAATGGCGAGCCGGCCAATGATGTCGAATTTGGGTCACTGATTATCACGAGAACTGACTTGTCTGCATGTGGCTTGCAGCTGGAGGGTGGTATCATGGCGAGCGCGCGTAGAAGGAAAAAGCAGAAATCGGGCACGTGTGCCATTGCACCGCTCCAGGTGCTCTGACATGAAGCTGAAGGAGCGAGCGGCCATGTTTGGAAGCGTGGGGAGTAATGAAGTCGTCGTGAGTTCTCAACGACCCAAGTGGCCAGGGTTGATGCTTGGCTCAGTTGAAGTTGCACTGAAGTGGAAGTTGTACGGCTCACTTTGCCATAGCTTCATGCATCGCGACGGGGTACCTGTGAACGAACGCAGCTAATGGTGTGTTGTCTGTTGATGGGTTCATCCATCGTCCAGGTAGCGTTCTTTAGCGGCGACATGGCTTCATGCCGGTATCGGTATCCAGGAATCATTGCCAACATTGGGACCAAAAACCAGATTGTCGTTTGCGTGACGGTGGTAACACCTAAAGGTTTCATATGAAAGGAGCAGAGATAACGAAGCAAGGGCGTTGCAAGTAGGTTGCCGTGGGGAGACTCTGGAGTCTGGACAGCGGTGTGGGGGTTCAGCCATCATGGGGCGGGCGATCGTCGGTGAACCTGCCCCGGATACTGGTGGTGGACTGTTGGTTGTGATTCAGATCATCAGATGAGGCGCACGTCGAGTGCCGGTCGAGATAGGTAGGTGAGAAGACGCGACCCCCATGGGCCGTGCGGAACCAGACATAAGGCGACTGTTAGGAACGTGATGTGACGCTGAGCGACATTGTTGTTGCCCAGCTCCTTGCTCAACGTCTTGGTGTCTGCCTGCTCGTCTTCGCATGTGGAATGTGGGATGCTTTCAATCTTGGATCGATGAGCTGGCACGACTGGCTAGCTTGTACAATGCATATCTTTAGACAATAGACCGCCCTGTTGCGTGGCTCAAAAGGCCCAACTGCCTGATCCCCAAGCGGCAGTCGTCCGATGTTTCCAAGTTCCCAAGAAAACATGGCGTCAGTTGAAGCGTCGGGTAGTGCCTAATAGTGCAGCGCGGCGACGACAGAAGCTCAGCGGGAGGCTTCCCCGAGAGAAACCATCCCTCATGAGGCCCAGTGATGAATTACACATCGCAATGGCATGCCCGCAAGCATCGTGTGCTGGGCATTGGAACTGTGCTTCGAGCCTTCGGTCAGGGTTCGTAAACAATTTCGGGGCTTGACTCGCAAATGGCACCTAGGGTCGTCAGCGCCTCATTACCTCATCTTAGCGGCACGGTCTCCCCGGACAGCTAGATTACTCCAGTTTTGAAGGAAAACCTGCCGTTCCCTGCAAAAGGAGCATTCCTGTCCCTTGGGAACTGCCCCGTAACTCCGCGATGAGGTTGTCGTGAGAAGAGACAGCAGGAGTCTAGCCCTCGTTTGCCCTCCCAAGGATGGAGGAGGCGGGAGGTGGAAGGCTGCGATTGTTGAATGGAACGCTGGGATGTTAGCGTCGGAGCAGGGGTATTTGATCGGTGAGAAGCTTCCGGGAGAGTCAACAGGCACCTCACCCAATGCGATGCGATGCGATGCAAAGGCAAGACCAGTGGTGAGTGGCCTTGTGGCAGAGCTCTCAAATCGATCGTACAGACTCTCAGAGTCACAATCACAGAGAGGAGGGCGTGGAAGTCTAAGTTTTTGAAAGTTCGGGTGGCAGAAGCTTTAGCGGGCTGTGAAGCGGCCTAGTGTGATAGGCATGGCCGCATTGGGGACGGAGCCGGGGGCGAACAGACGCCATTTCCGTCCAGTCTGACAGGCTGTTGTCTCTAGGGGCTCCCCTTCTCTCCATGTAAATGCATGGGCGGTCGAGGTCGAGGTCGAGACCGTGAGACAGAGGCGGAAAGAGTTGGAGGCTGCTCGCGCTAATGGCCAACGTCTTTTGTCGTTGGCGGGATCTCACTGCGCAAGCCAAGCATTCCTCGTCCCTCTGGTGTGATCTGGGATGGTCTGGTGCCAGAGAGTCGTCTGCGGTGTTCAGCGGTGCCCACTGCCCACACCTATTAGTGCTCACTTGGTTCTGCATGGTGCCGCCGTGTGTTTGCTGTCCTGTGCTCTGTTCTAGAGCTGACTTCTGAGTGCCCCTGGGCCCAAAGCTGAGGGAGGAGAGCGAGGCTGGCCCGGGTTCCAGGCTAGGGTAGCATGCAGAACGGGCCATAGACATGGCTGTGATTTTCCGGTCGACCTCTTCGTACTGAGCGGGACGTCTACGAGTAGAGTCAGACTCTAAATTGGTCGAGGCAATGATGTCAGGGGCCTTGGTATGTCGGTAGGTACGGAAACCTTGTAGCGGTCTTAACGGCGTACTAGATTGCGGCATTGTACTAACATCCGTACCCGTAGAGGAGACGTGGGAGGGTGCGACATCTGGTAGGCGGGAGCATTGGCAAACGGGCTCTGTCCAAGTCAGCTGGAGCGTGGCTCGGGGTTCTGCTCGTTGCCCTGCCCTGGGCCGATCGCGTCCCAAGTCAGATCAGGTGGCCAAGGCGCCCACCATATTATGTTTAGAATACGAGAGAAAATGCGGGCAGAGGGGCAAACGAGAGAAATGGGTGCTCTGGAGGGAGGTGGTGTTTGGAAACTTGAACCTGGAGACTGAAGACTGGAGACTGGAGACTGGAGATTTCGGGCAGTAGGAAACAGAGGTGCGTACCGTGGTAAAAGTCGAGACAAAAAGAACCCTTGTGGGCATCCGGTACATCCACTTGAGCCGCCGGCGATGCGGTCAAGGTACAAGGTGTTATACCGTGTTGCGAGGAGAATGGAAAGATGTCGAGGGCGGAATTGGTCAATAGGAGGGGGGAGCGGGGGGATCAGCATGTACCTACCTGCAAGGTGTGGCTCTCCGCGGCTGCTCACCTTCTCCAGACTCGACAGAGCGGATGGACTTGGAGTCTGGAGGGGAGAGGAATACCTAGACACAGAGAACACTGGAGAGGTTGTGTGTATGCACAGCGTGGAGAGCGAGCGGGTGGGGGTATTCTGCGACATCGGGCGTGTTTCTGACCAAGTCGACTCTAGACTTTTAAATGTATTAAGTTATTTATATTGTTAATTACCCGCCTCTCTCCGTACGCTCCATCTCTTACTCTCTCCCTTTCTTCACTCTTGCAATTCTGAGAGAGGAAGGCGTGCCTCACCATTGCACAAGGCAAGGAAGGAGCGAGCGACACCGACATCATTCATTCCACAGCATCAGTGACTGTGGGGTGGGTTTCTGCCCCGCGACAAGGTACATGGGTTAGGAGCCTGGCACAGTGTCTGGAAGTCATCAACACCGCCGAGGTACGTAGCTGTCATCCCACCTACCTACCTTACCCTCCATAGGTAGCTGTGGGTTGAGGCACTTTGTAAGTCAGTAACTTGCCCGAACCCCACTACACCCTCGCATCCGCCCTGTCCGCGCCGTGGTCGTCAGTCTGCTGGCCCTGCGTTAATCGTCCAAAAGTATCCGTACTTGCTCGGATTCTGGAACGAGGTACCTTATCGACCTGTTCCAGTGGAGCTGGGTTCTCGATACGAGACGATACTTGTCAGGCCCTATCCCCGGCAGCCCAAAGTGCTCCTTCGGCACGTTCGAGTATGCAGCCTCACACCTGATTGTATGACCACTTTGTACTGCACAAGTATCGAAAACGTACCTTATGCTCACTCACTCCCACTGCGTTCTGGTCACTTCACCCTGCTTTTCCGGCTTGCCCTCTCCCCGTTCCCCGTCGTTGCTCGTTGCTGCCGCTCCCGACTTTCGCTGCCCTCCACTGCGTCTTGTGCTCGCTGCTTCCAGCCAAATACGCCCTGTGACCGGTCACCGCCGCCTGCCCCTTTGCCTTTGCATTCTCTCCGTCTTTTCCTACGGCTAAGGCTAACACCCAGTTCGAGGTACCTTGCTTTGCTCCCAGCTTCTTCACTTGATCAACTAAACAAGACGTCAAACTCTGGTCCTCTGACAAAACTCACAGTCTACCCGCACATCCTCCCTCCTTCTTCCCCCCCTCCCCCTCCCAACATCTACGCGCCGCACGGGCAGCGACAGCAACATCTCATCGCGGCATCGCCCAACCACAGGCCAGCCTCTCCCACCACGTCCACCACCCTCAACCGACACCGGGACCACCTCTGCGTCACCCTTTCGTCCCATCACTGCCCCTCGTCTCACTGAAAAGGGTTCTCCAACACAACCTCCCCGGCCAACTTTTCCATCTGGCCTCTACCGGTCTCCTCTCGTTCGGATCGACTTCTCGGCTTTCTCTTTTCGCCAACCCTCCCTTTCCCCCCAATCTACCGTCCTCCGCCATGGCTCAATCCACGGAGCCGCGGAGGCGGTTCGCCCCCGTTCCCATCGAGACCACCTTTGAGTCTGTCCGAAAGACCTCTCAGCAACAGCCGCAGTCGCAGCAACACCAACACCAACCAGGCCCGGCACCTGAGTTGACCCCCGAACACACTCCGCGAACGCCCTCCCCCAATCCTTTCGAGCAACGCATGCAGCAGCCGCCGGTGCAATTACACAGTCTGCAAAACCACCAGGCCCCGCGACGCCGCTTCGCCCCTCAACTCATCGAGTCCTCTAGGCGCGCCCGTAGGGAAGGCGACGCTGGTCCTGCCACCCGTCCGACCGACAAGACCGACATCACGCCGTACACGAACCACATCTACCTCCAGCGGAACAAGTCGAGACGCAAGCTGAACGATGGCACCTCCTCGCCCGCTTCCCAGACCCAACAAATTCAGAGACAACCTAAGGGCGCACGAAGAGAGTCGGAAGACGAAAATGCAGGCACCTACATGTTGGAATGGGCTGCCATGGAGGCTGAACGCCAGATGCAAGAGGCGGCTCTGGCAGCGTTCCCGAACAGTCGACCGCGCGAGGGAGGCGCCGCCCATTTCTACTTCAGAGAGAGTTCGGGAGACGACAGCACGCCAGAAAGCGTCTCACCACAGCCAACCGGCACTCAATCCAAGCCACGGGGCCGCCATGGCCATGCTCCTCGCCGGAAATCTTCAGAAGTTGGATATTGGCAAAAAGAGATGCAAAAGCATGCCCAGGATTTGGCTGTTGCCAGAGGCGGGCACGCGCCTGTCTTTGACGATGATGACGAGGAGGACACCAAGAACGATTCCGAACTCGACAGGATGGAACTCGACACGCCGCCGGATCCCATGTGGTTGACCAATAAGAGAAACCACACTACCGATACCAGCTCCAAGGGACCATTGGAACCGATTGGCGAGACTTTCATGCCTCTGATCGCCCCTGACCCAAGCATTACCGAGAATGCGCGCCGGCCAGAGCTTCCTCCCCCAGAGTCGGTGAGTAAGCCAATTGGCGAGACCGCCATGCCTTACATCCCAGCCGCTGCGGCCAGCAAGCCTGCCCAAGTGCCCATCGCCGCACCTGCGCAAATCGTTCCCGAGACTGGATTCCAAAAGCCCGCAGGCGGATTTGGCCGCCCGTTCGGCAATTTTGGACTCCCTGCGGAGACGAGCGAGTTTCGCAAGATGCGGAAGGCGGCGTCCCCGCCGATGCTGGGCAAAGACCTTGTTTTCCGAAAGTGCCCTTCGCCGAAGCAGACCAAACTTGAGCCGGACCACCCCTTCACCGAGGGGCCGACCGTTGAGGAAAGAAACAGGGATGCGACGGGAGAAGCCGGCTTGTGGAGGGGCTACTGCTTCCGGGGCAGCGAAAGCGAACAGGCCATTGTACCACCGCAGCTTCAAGGACCCAGAATGCTGCATACACCGCTTCCAGCCGCCACCCCTGCGGACCCATTCGCTGCAGCCTTTAGCAATAGCTCATTGACGGATGAGCCTGGATTGGACTATGCATCTGCAACTCTGACACCAAACACAGCTGAGCACCGTGTTCGATCGGGCGAGGCCAAGGGCCTTCACATGCTCGCTGGCCTCGAGGACCGCCTCAAGCGCGAAAAAGCACTGGAGGAAAAGATTGCGTCAGAGTTTGACGACACCTTCATCACGCAGGTCTACAACTACCTGTCACTGGGATACCCCGCCATGGCGCGGTCCTTTGATGAAGAGCTCTCCAAGATTGCGCAAATGAGCATTGAAGAGCTGGAAGTCGACGACGCAAAGCAGATGGCAAGCGGCCATCTGATGGAACCGGCTGAGGCCGAGTTGGCGGAGGAGAAGAGGTGCCCGAGATGGAGGGCGCTAAAGGCGTACATATACGAGTGGGCTCGACAACACCCGGATCTGGACAGTCTGGATTCCCTCGCATGGGGCGTGCGGGAGAGACGAGGCAGCTGGGCTATCTAGACGGCCGACATAGGAGTATGAGAAAAGCAGTCATTGGCATTTCAGCATTGGAGACAGGAAGTCGACGGACAACACAGCATGGTCGGACCGCACAGAAGAGCAGCATGTTGGGTGATTTGATAGAGACAGTGCGATTTCGACGAGGCGTTTCACATCGTTTTCCCTTCACAGGGGGATACTTTTGGCAGCAACCGGCACAACTTTGATGCTTTGATACGGGGCAAAATACGCAGTGTTGAGGGCCTAGAACGATAAGAGAGGTGCATGCTTGCATTCTAGATGCCGCCTGTGGGGTTAGAGCAGGTGGAGAGAAACAGCACTCGGAGACAAACGGGAATGGGCCGCAGCGGCACTGTGGGGCGTGTCGAGAAGAGGGTGCAGACGCTCCAGACGCGGAGACTTTGAAGGATCAGTGAGGATAAAAGAATGTACATGAGCCCTGCCCTCAGGGGTGCCGATATATCAGCGAGCAATGGGGTTTCGATAGGTACATTAGAATTGGAACTCGACGGCAGCCGCCGTTTGGTTTTACCCGTCTATGAAAAGGAAACCAATCGCAGAGAGAAGCACCCTCCTCCCCCCCACGTAACAAGGAAAACGGACTCTACAACATGTGTCGTGTTCTATCGCCAGAGGTCTTCAGGTGGTGTTAGTGTTGACATCCCAAGGCCTCCGTGACGATGGCAAAATTCAGACAAATCACCTGCTCATACATAAAGCTGAGCAATGCACATCATTGCCGCAGCATCTCTTATTATGTGTACTAACTCGCTACCTTTTACTCGCAAAAACTTACACAACAGCCTTTTGCTTCTCGGCAATGCTGGCCAGAACCGCCTCGACTGGTATCAACGACGACTTGGATCTCGAGGGAGGCGGCGAGGACGGTGATTATTGTTACGAGGCGGGTTACGTGTCTTGCGGAGTAGTATTTCACCTCTGCTGTCTCTCTCTAAGGTAGATCACCTATCAAGCATTATCCGAAAAGGTCTGATGGAGGTCTGGCCGACGTACCGATAGAACTCTCCCCGCAACATCCTTAAGATTTCTGGCGAAAAAAGGAAATCTTTGTCTGTCGACGGAGCGAGTGCGATGGAGTCGTCTTGCTAGCTGACTAGGCCGTTGCCGTAGCCGACAAAAAGGCTGTTTGGACTCAGACTAGCCCTGAAAATTGCTAAAGGGGTTCGAAGGAGAGTGTTTGGATAGACCAATGCACAAAAGCTGCCTGCCATACCTGAAAAAGCCCCCGCGGAAGAACATCCCTATCTAAATGCCTTCCTCTTCGAGACGAGCTGTTTGATTTCTGTCGGGACATCCCCTCCCACAGTCGAAGCTTTGATAACATGACTGTGATATCGCTCTTTTTATAAAGTCGCACAAGTCGAACGAGACGATGGTCCTTGTGCCACAAGCCTCAACTTATGGGTGTACCAGAGACGGCTAAGCTTAGCCATATAGAAGCAGCATATCGAAACAAATCTCGACTCTACCATAATGGAGCGAGGCGAGCAGGACTGGACTTCTTGTTTGCAGAAGCATATGAAGTGATCCCTGACCCGGAAAAACGACATGCCTTTGACTGCCTTGCCATATCATGGAATCAGAAGTCTTTACGAGACGAGTAGCCTGAAAGCAAGCTAAGGAAGGTAAGTATACATGCATCATCCTCGTAGCCTAAAAAAAAAGGTGACCAAAAACCGTTCCTCATCGGATCATGTCACTGACACCGGGCCCCCCCGGCCCTCTCGCAGCACCTAAAATCTATTAGAAGAAGTCATCGTCAGGTGGCATCCTCGTGGCGCAAGGAACAGTGGACCTTTTTGCGCGCGACGGACTGCAACGAGCCTGTAACATTACATTTCAAGTTCTCAATGACTTTTGTGTACGATGATGTCCCGGGAATCGATTTTCTCAGGACTTTGAGCACGATGAATCAGCACCGGGCCCGTCTGAGCAGGATTCCTCGACTTTCTTGGGCTACATCGGTTCTCTTCACGAGCAGCATCGGATCCGTGAACCAGCGACTCAAAGGAACAGTCAGCGGCGTCAAGGTCCACGCGCTCCCAGACTCGGGCTCGGAGTTCGAACCTTGTATCGGCTATAATTCGCACGCGGCCAGGCGAAGTGGCATGACAGCATCGACAGGAGCAACGAGCATCTTTTGCAAGTCCCCGATGGCAGCGCCGAAAATACGGTTGGTTCTATGTGGGCGTACTAGACGTACATGGGCTTCCCGGGCCGGATGCTACGGCGATCCATTTTCGCACTCTCGAGAGCTGAGTCCTCGACGTCATCTTGGGATAGGACGCGCTCGAAGAGACTGATGCTTTCACCGGGCATGTTGGTTCGTCCCTGGAGCTTGACCGAAGCGTGGAGCCGACGGGGTTCAACCTGGTTCTATAAGGTTACCTGTTTACCTGTTCAGCGTCCGGAGGCGGCTCGTCCGGCCATCGACACTGGCACAGCACCACTTGCGCAGATGTAAACCCGTCAGGCCTCTGACGAAGCATTAAGAGGTTTCTGCCGTTGGTCAGACACCTCTCGAGTCCGCAGGTACCGGGGTTTCGAATAGCTATTCACTCGCGAGTGTTGAGCTGTCTTTATTACCGCAGTATCAGGCGGCTGCATAGGTGGCGAGCAAGGTGAAGAGCGAACTAGAGCGGCGGGCTGCTGCTGAGCGGGCGTATCGGCATATGCCACTTGATCCCGAGAGGGACGCCGCCATTGCCGAAGACGGAGAGATGCAACACAGATTCATCGCCGAGCCGCCTTCATGGTCGACTCGCATTCCCGGGACCCCCGAGGTACGGTCGGATCACACAAGGCACGCAATCCCCCATAAAAGGTCTTTGGCCCGGCTTCCGGCTACGATGGTGGAAGAAATGGGTGGAGGGGGTTACTTTATTGATGCGAGGAGCAGGGGAACGGTGTTTTCTTGCTGATGTCGCTGATGCGACAAGATACCTACCTGAACTTGATCTCAAAAAATGACGTCTTTCTCAGACATAAACCTCTGAGAGTGCGGTATATGGTTATTATGGTACAAGTCGCGGTGCACAAGAGAGACTCAGGGGGATTGGAAGCGGCCGGTCGGCTAAGATCAGCGACCCTGTACCTTAATTAAAAGGTTCCCATCAGCCCTACGGAGAAAGACTGGATTATGATGCGCCCGTGCATGAAACATGCCATGGATAATCTGGCGCTGGACAAGTGTCCCGATCTTTTTGGAGGCAGCCCAAGTTCAGGGGGAATGCGCATGTGCAAGTATAGGTTGTTGGCCCTCGGACTACCTTAGGCACTGTATTTTGCCCGGAACGCCCTGAGAAAACGTCTGTACCAGTGCAAATAACACACGGTACAGAGTCACTAAGCTGCGACTGGGGACCTAAGGTATCCTCCTTTTTTTTTTTTTTTATCGGAACGCGTATCGCAACGGTCAGCTCGCGTACTGCCGGACCGACGTCGTCGGCCCCCAAACCAAACATTTACAGATACCCTCCGCTCACTCCGAATCGAAGACACGGACCGAGTCAATTCTCGTCCTCTCACAAACCACATTGCATACCTCGGGAATGGAAGCGTCACCGCTGACCCGGCAGGCTCCGCCCGAGGTCTTCAAGCCCAAGATCGTACAGCTGTACGAGTCGCTATTCAAGGTTCGACAGCTTCCCCTGCTTGTGCCCCTCGGCATGTCTTTGTGTCTCCGAGGTTGCAGTCGCCGATGCTCCCTCATCATGTAGACCTTGAAGCTGACCATATGATTCCTAGGTGTGTGCGTGTGTTCTACTTCCTCCACCTTGGTGTCCACGAGTCTCGACGTGCCCCAATGGCGCCCGGCTGAGCATCCCCTGACGATCCTGAACTTCCGGACCGCATTGTCCCATCTCCCACACATTACACCCAAGCGCAAAACCACGGCCTTGCGCGCTGCAATCCGCTGATACGAAACCGTGATCGATAGGACGCCGAAGATGACGCAGAACGTTCCGAGGGCTTCTGGCGCGAGTTCTTCCTCCTGCGTCCTGACCGCGCCGCCCTGAAGCGGATCCTCGATGGCCTCGGTCCGGCGGACATGCTTGCGTTGGAGGAGCATACGCGGGAGCTGTTTGCGCGCGCTGTAGCCGCCATGAAGAGTGGGCAGGGCGTCGCAGATTTGCATGCGCTTGACGTGAGTGGTTCTCCCGTAAATCAGGCCCGCCTTGTCGTTCTCTGGCCTTGCGCCGGGGCGAGGGTGAAATGAGGGTGCTGGCAGAGTCGCTGACGTGGATTGAACGGGCGATAGACTCTTAGTGTGTTTCTCTGCGCGGCGCTGTCCAAAAAGTATGCGCATCCTAGCTCGGATATTATCAGCGTTTTGGCCGGCATCGATTTTGTCGATACCATCTTTACCGACTTTGTGGGAGCAGTAGACCAAATTATAAGGAGTGGGAAGAATTGTGAGTTTGGCGCAAGGGGATGCGATGCTGACTTCCCACGGGGAGGCTAACACACAGCAGTGGAATTGCGACAAAAGGCTGTCGAGGTTGTCCTGGCTATGACGGCCGGCGCATACCAAACGAGTCTCTTAACATACTTTATCCAGAGGGATCTTTTCCCTTCAGTGATGAAGGTAGGCTGATTCTGCCCTTGAAAATTGTTCGCGTCTTGACTGACGACTTTGCAGTTCATTCAAGATACCGACATGACAGAGCGCATCCTCAACCCCTTTTCCCTCCTAGGCCTCTTGGCCAACTACAACAAATTCGAGTTCCAGAACCCATACCAGATGCGGCTGAATGACTTTGTCAATGAAGCAACAATCAAGAAAATCATCCGGTGTATCGGCCAAACATGCGAGAGCTTGACCACCCAATTCGTGGATGTGCAAGACGACCTTCCCGAGGGATGGACATTCAACGGCACGCTGCGTATGATTGGCCTGGGCGCGGTTGCGAGGGGTCCCAAGCCGGAAAAGAAGCCCGTATACGATGCCGAGACCATGAAGCAGATGTTTACGAAGCTGTGAGTACTGGTTCATCGTCCTATGAGTGGGGGAATGTGGCAGCTGACAGAGCGAGCAGACCCGGCGAGGAAGCGGCCGTCTTACTAGCAACCTACGACTTTACTCACGCCAACAAGCTCTTCTGCTTCAATCTGGCCACCTTGCCTGCCGAAAAGGGCGAAGAACAGCCATTAGCGACCTTCACATCTCTCACCTCCTACCTTCTCCAGCACGCCCATCTCTCCGAACGCACTACACACTACTCCCATCTCAACCTAATGGTTTTCCGCTTATTAATCGAGGACCCTGTGCTCTGCAAACGGATATGCAGCGAAGAGTCCAAGGGGCAGGTCCGTCTGTGTCGCCAAAGGCAACCATTCCTCCCGCTGGTCAGAGGGGAGCGGATCTTGGCGACGGCCGTGCTGGATACGATGATTGACGGCATCACACATAACCTCCGGAGAAGGCTGGATGTAGGATTGTATACACTCTGCGTCGGGATCCTGCTGCGGGTCATATCCTACCTCTCGCGGTCACGAACACGGCTGACGTATCACTGGGCGGATCTCTTCCGTGCGCTGTTGAACCTCATCCGGTTCCTGACGCAGTACGTCGCGGACCTGAAGGATCTCTCGCAGATCGACCTGCTACTAGACAACGTCGTCAACCTCGTCGCACTTTCGCTGTCCGCCGGCGAAGGATTCCTGCCTTCGCCAGCGGCGTATGACGATTTGTTTTACAAGGTGGTTGAGGCGGGCGACACGCTCATCAAGTTCAAGGAGAGCTATCAGCTCGGCAAGCGGCCGAGCAACTCGATTGACACGCTCATCAGCGTGAGCACGCACTACAAGGAGCTGCTGGCGGAGGGCGGCAAGAAGAAGGGGAACCTCACGAGCATGCAGGTGACGGAAGTTATCAAGCAGGGGTACGAGACGCTGAGTATACAAGCCAAGGAGGGGCTTGATACGTGGGACCGGTACCGGGAGGCGGACGAGAGGACCTTGTTGAAGAAGATGGCACGGGCAGCTGTTGCGGATGTGAGAGGGTTGGTGGAACGGTGAGTGCTGAGGCTGGGCAGGGAAGATGAAGGAGGGGGTGGGCGGTAGACTGTATGAGATTAATGACACCCGAGATGATTCTCATGACGCATGCTGTTATTGAAGTCTGGTTGAGTCGATGGCTGACAAGTTGAGTTGTGGCCTGTTCATCCTCATTCTAGTCTGAGGACCTGATGATGGTTGATGACACCCTCGGGGGCTCTCGAACTTGTCATTCGGCACACCGAGACAGGTTCCACAAGCGTTGGGGGGGATGGGACGACACAGTAGAGCTCTTCCTTGGCTTTCCCAGGAAAACCTAGTCTCGAACCACCTTCTTTCCCCGGCATTCCGGGAGGGAAAGGCGACCTGACACAAGGCGACCAAAGTGTCCGTAAATAAATGAATAATGCCTTTGAGTCTATCAAGGTATCAAAGCAAAGTACATGCAAGAAGCAGTCAAGACTCAAGAGTCACTGCTGAAGCCTGAAACCACAAGGGTTGCTTTGTCATCGGTCCCGGCCGTTGACAAATTACAAGTATCTGATTGGCTGTACAGCACCCCGTACACTGGGGACCGCTCACCATGTCATAGCCGCGCCACGGCCAGAACCTGTCAAATGACCCCCCCTTGGTCCCAGCTTCTTTACTTTGCTCCAAGTTCCAGCCACATTCCCATTGCCAACCCATTCCGACCGCAAAAACCTCCGACCTACAATTGCCGCCTGTTTCTTCCGTCACCCTCGGATGATCCAAACCCATCTCAACCTCAACACCTGATCTTTCTGATCTTTAACAGCCAGGCACAAAAGCGAAGCAACTGGAGTGAACCCCTCTAGCAACTCACCCACAGCACACACAACATACACACAACCTACAACGGCACAAAGATGAATGCCCCGAGGATACTCAGCAGAGTGGCGTTCCGCCGCTCCTGCACGGCTTTGCAGTGCGCCTCTGCCCGTCGCGCCTACAGCAGCCCTTCTTTCCAGTCATACCCCCTCTACTCAAACAACACACTTCCTCCAGCGAGAGGAGACGGCATTCCCGAGAGCTCGATTGCGTCGTCGGATCCTCTGCCGAAGGTCAACGAGACGAGGCCCCCCAAGATCGCCTCTCAAATAGCAACCCACCAACAATCCCCGACAACGAGCACTCGTCCTTCTACCTCCGCCACACAGTCCCCAACGACAACGACAACGACGACAGCATCCACATCCTCAACAGCCTCAAAGGCCTCCACGACGTCATCGACAGCAACCACCGCTGCCGCCGCCGCCACCGCGCCAAAGGTCTCTGAACAAGCAGCCCAGACCCCCAAGCCAGTCGCCCGTCCGCAGCGCAAGCTCCGCGCGCGCAAGGCCGCGATGAAACTCAGCCCCGCGGCCGTGGAGCAGCTGCGCGCGATGCTAGATCAGCCGGAGCCGAAGCTGATCAAGGTCGGCGTGCGGAACAGGGGCTGCTCAGGCCTGGCGTACCATCTCGAGTACGTCGAGAAGCCCGGCAGCTTTGACGAGGAGGTTGTGCAGGACGGCGTCAAGGTGCTGATTGACAGCAAGGCGCTGTTCAGCATCATTGGCAGCGAGATGGACTGGGTCGAGGATAAGCTTAGCCAGCGGTTCGTGTTCAAGAACCCGAATATCAGTGAGTCCTACTTCGTAGCCTATGACGCCAGGAAGATGAATGCTAATGGTCCAAACAGAGGAGCAGTGTGGCTGTGGCGAGTCTTTCATGGTATGAGGGATTGCATATTAAACCGAGTGCTTCATGAAACGCCAGAGAGAGAGAGAAAGACAGCATGAGCATGCGCCGCTTTCAGTAAGCAGATTAATAGCTTCGAGATACACATCATACATGGCCGCTGTCTCCGGTATAGAAACGCCAAGCGGTGGACGGCATGGGCATCACCCCAGGCTACGGCGTCTTGTACATCACGGCTCCATTCCGAGCACTTTGAAATTCGGTTTAAGGGCAGGCATTGGGAGGCGTTTTTTAGGTGTAATGATACCTACGAGAAGACCCGGCTCATCATCCGGGCGTGAATCATTCAGCTTCTACAATCTAATTTCAATTGACCCTAGAAGTGAATCGACCTTTTTCCCCCTTGGATGAGATCACTCGTGCATCCAAATGCCGAGCATAGCGGGTGAACGCAGACCACAGTGTATCTCCGACCGAATCCGAGTGCCGGGTGCCCCACAGTTGGAGCGAGCGCGGCTTCTCACCCGACGGTTGTAAACTGACCCCGGCAGACCCCGGCACTGGCGGTCGCCTCCCGTCGGCTGGGCAGGTACCTGAAGTGCGGAGCGAAGCGTCCCGTGCCCCACTAGAATTTCGAGCTCAATTGCCAGGCGCGTCATTGCACTCAAAAATTCCCCCAGGCGCGTCTCCTTCAGTCAAGTCAACCTCCAAATGCAAACGAATCCCCAACGATACCTTTACCGAAGCACCGCTGTCGTCCACTTGACACAAATTGACGAATCCGGACCAAAATTCTCACATACTAGCCAGTCTTGAGCCGGACACAACCTTTGCATGCGTCACAATACCTAATCCCATTCAAAATGGCAGCAGTCGACTGTCCCATCTGCAACAAGCCCGTCAAGGAGACGCTGATCAACTCCCACATCGACTCGGGCTGCCAAAACCACATCTTCAACACCGAACGAACGTCTTCGCCGCCCGCGGCGACACAATTAAATGGCAGCTCTACACTCACCTCATCACAAGCCAAAAGGCCCGCTTCATCCTTCTTCTCAACGCCCGCACCGAAGCGCCATGCCCCTCCGGCCAAAGTCCTCACGACCCCCTCCAATGGTATGACGACGACGACGACGGCAACCACATCCACCCGCCAAATGGCGGGAGTGAAACGAAGCTTCGACGACGGGCCAGGCGCTCTCCCCTCCCCCATGGCCACAGCCACCGACACCGATAGCGATGCGGCGAACCAACAACCGCCACCAGAGACCGGTCCCTCAGCGAAGCGCACAAAGACGGCCCGCGCGGCGCCGCTGGCAGAGCGCATGCGGCCCAGGACCCTAGATGAGGTCTGCGGGCAGGACCTTGTCGGCCCGCACGGCGTGCTGCGCTCGCTCATCGAGTCGGACCGCGTGCCGTCCATGATTCTCTGGGGCGGCTCCGGGACCGGCAAGACGACGATTGCGCGGTGCATCGCGCACAGCGTCGGCTCGCGCTTCATCGAAATGAACGCCACATCATCCGGCGTGGCCGAGTGCAAAAAGCTCTTTGCCGAGGCGGCCAACGAGGGCGCCCTGACGGGTCGCAAGACCATCATCTTTTGTGATGAGATCCACCGCTTCTCCAAGTCACAGCAAGATGTGTTTCTCAAGCCCGTCGAGGCCGGGACCATCACCCTCATTGGCGCGACGACGGAGAACCCTTCCTTCCGGGTCCAGGCCGCGCTGCTCTCGCGCTGCAGGACGTTCACCCTCTCCAAGCTCTCCAGCGAGGACGTGGCGCGGATCCTGCTCCGCGCCATTGACGAGGAATCGAAAACGAACAACTACCCCGGCAGCCCCCTCGTCGACGCAGAGCTGGTGACGTACCTGGCCGCCTTTTCCGACGGCGACGCCCGCACGGCGCTCAACCTCCTCGAGCTCGCCCTCTCGCTCTCGACGCGGGCCGGCACGACAAAGGAGAGCATAAAAGCCTCGCTGACCAAGACGCTCGTGTACGACCGCGCGGGCGACCAGCACTACGACACGATATCAGCCTTCCACAAGGCCGTGCGCGGCTCCGACGCCGACGCGGCGCTGTATTACCTGGCGCGCATGCTGCAGTCGGGCGAAGATCCCTTGTTTGTCGCGCGGCGGATGGTGGTTATTGCGTCAGAGGACGTTGGGCTTGCGGATAACTCCCTGTTGCCGCTCGCGACGGCGGCGTACACCGCCGCGCAGCAGATTGGGATGCCCGAGGCGCGGATACCGCTCGCGCACTGCGCCGTTGCGCTGAGTCTTGCGCCGAAGAGCACGCGGGCGTATCGGGGGTTGAATAATGCGTACGCGGCGTTGAAGGAGCCCGGAGCGGCGGCGTTGCCTGTGCCGTTGCATTTGCGGAATGCGCCGACGCGGTTGATGAGGGAGATGGGGTACGGGGCCGAGTATAAGTACCCTCCTAATTATCGGGGCGGGCGGGTGAGGCAGGAGTATTTGCCGGATGAGCTTGTGGGGAGGAGGTTTTTGGAGGAGAGGGATTTGGGGACCGAGGTTGATCCAGATCTAGAGATGGAGACGGAGTCGTGAGAGGTGTTTTTTGAGTGAGACATGGTCAACTTTCCAGAGACGGGTTGGTGGTTGGTTTGAGCGTAGCATCATGCATTCTCGTCTGAGGTTGGACAGCGTCGTCTTGGATGGCATCGAACTTGGGGATAAAGGCTGGCGGGAACGGGGGACAATGCATATGGCGCATTGCATGGCGTCTAGGATAGGCATCATACCTCAAGCTTGGGCATGCTGGTGGAATACAAATGCAACGATATAAAGACTTGTTATTTTCTCGGTTTTGATGTGAGCGTTGAGTCGAGAGCTTCCCGGAACTCTAGAGTCCCACTCACGTACTAGAATTGGATTTTTGAGAGCGTGAGTCGTCGACATGGAGCTAAGCCCATGGGTATCACGATGACAACCACACGTGGACCGAGATCTCAACTGTCTTCAACTCGTCTCGTAAGAACAGAGGATAAGTCTATCAGCAGCTTTGTATGACACCGTGACTTGGCTCGAGACGTTTTTCTCTCCAGGTAATTCAGATCCTGAGCAGCTGTACGCATGCTTCCGTGTAAGCAGCCGAGACCTCGAGCATATTGTCTTCACTCCAAGACTCTCTTGCGTTGAGCCTCCACCGCAATGTACCATCAAGCTGCCGCCACAAGAGGTTTCAATGTAAGGTACATGTAAAAGTAACTGATATCTGCCCGTCTCCACTGCGTGACCGAGATCCTCTTTCCTACATGCAGTGTCACTGTCAGACCTTGGCGTCCAGATCAGGAAAGTCGATGTTACCACGTACATTCTTCCCTGTGAGAACTGATTGGCCTCGTCTCTGTAAGATTACTGCCTTTGGCCGGAATCATGTCGGCGTTGTAAATCTCATGTAGCGATATCACGTCAGGCGGATAGATTTGTCTATCATTCCGCAGCCCGCCGAGCCCTTCGATGCAGACCAATGATGGAGTAGAATTTTCGGCTTCATTATCCACTCGATGCATGTACATTCGGGCTTACGGCGCTTACCAGAGAATCGAATTGTTTCGCTGCCATGTTGGGCGCCTGCGAAAGCAATGGCGGGAGGAAACCGAGCAAAGCTGTCTGATTGTGGATACACGTAAATAGCAGCATACGCGCCCTCTTCCTCACCCCTCTGGTTCCCTTTTCCGTCGGTTGTGAATCTCATTCTCCTCATATCGGCTAAAAAAATGGCCTTTATCACTTCAAAACGGGTCCAACTCGTCATCACATCCATCGTAGCTCTCGTAGCCACAGTAATATCCCTCCGCCGTGGCCTGGCCGTCAAAAACGAACAGCCGGCCCCCATCATCGGCAAGAATAACACCGTCCTCTTCGTCGCCAACGTCGAACACGGTCTCTCTAATGTCCATGTGGCAACCGTCTTTTCGCTTCTCGAACGCCACCCAGAAATCACTGTCCACTTTGCGTCATGGATCAAGATTAAGCCCAAGATTGAGAGAGTGTCCAGATATGCACGAATCAAAACACCCCAGGCCCATCCTACCATATTCCACGCGCTGCCGGGTCCGAACTTCTGGGCCGCATCCGGGCGAAACTCCTCGTTGAGCTGGATGCAGCCGCCTGGTATCGCGGGACTGAAGGGTCTCCTCGAGGATATGGCACAATTCATTTCACCATGGACCGGGGAAGACCATCTCCTGATCCATGATCACGTGCGGGATCTCATCCGGGATATCGACCCGGCAGTCGTGGTTCTGGATATGTTCCACCGGCCGGGGATGGATGCGACGCGGGGAGACGGCCGTTTACACGCAATCCTGTCGCCCAACGTCCTAGCTGACGGCTTCGGCGGGGAACAACCCTGGCTCAGTGGATTCTGGAGGTTCCCAGCGTAAGTCTTTACCTGTGGTGGTTATATTCATGGATAGCACACAAGCACTGACAATGTCATCGCCGCCAGAATCGGCTCCGGCCACGACTTCCCCGTCCCATGGCGAGACATCCCCTCCAACATTTACCAGATGGGAAACTTTGCCTGGGCCATGCTATTCAGCCCGAGTCTCGTACAGAAGCGCACGTTCCTCGCCAGCCACGGCCTCAAAGACCCAATCAACTTCTTCAACATCCACCAGCCCGGACAGGGCAGCGCCTTCATCACCCAAGACACCGCCGCCGCCGCCATCCCGCTCGACCTCGTCCCGGCCAACGTCACGGCGACGGGACCCATTGTCGTCTCGGTCGCCTCGGCCGCGGAGCAGGACCCGGAGCTGGCGGGCTGGTTGGCGAGGGCGCCGACCGTGCTCGTCAACCTCGGCAGCCTGTTCGAGTACGATGCTGGGAGGGCCCGGGACATGGCGGGCGCGTTGGAGGTTGTGATGGAGCGCACCGGTGTCCAGGTTTTGTGGAAGCTGAATGCCGCTGCTGGGCTCAGGGGCAAGGATTGGGAGCCTTTGGTGGAGCGGTTCATCGAGGGCGGGAGGTTGAGGGTTTCAAAGTGGTTGAGTGTCGACCCTACCGCTTTGCTCGAGACGGGGGATATTGTCGTTTCTGTCCACCACGGCGGGGCGAACTGTTACCACGAGGCTATTGAGTGAGTCTTGCTTCCCATGTGACTTGAACTTTTACGTTTATGTCATCGTGAGAGAGCGTACTGAGGTGGGAAACTTTTCAGCACCGGCGTACCGCAGCTCATCCTCCCGGCTTGGCTAGATTTATACAACTACGCGGCACGGGTGGAGGCCATTGACATTGGAGTTTGGGGTAACAAGCAGTCAGCTCCTGGGTTCTCGCTCGATGAACTCAGCAGCGCCTTTTTGAAGTTGGTCGACGGTGGCTCTGCTAGCCTTTTGATGAGGGAAAACGCCGAGAAGATAAGGAGAACAATAACCCGCCCTGGTCGCGATGTTGCAGCCGATGAAATTGCAAGGCTTGCGGCGTTGGGTCACTAACGTCAATGGGGAACATTTCTCAATATGAACGACTGCCATTACAGACCATAGAGGTGCTCTCATGCATACCCAGCTTGTTCCACAGCTCCATCTTATCTCGATTTACCACGAGGAAGAGTATCTGCACCCCAGAATAGCTCAGTCTCAGGATAGGTCGTGGCACAGTCAAATTGGCGGAAACCTTGGACACCGTTGGCCCAACTCCTAGCTCGTGTAGCCTTCTTCGTTGAGGGTAATCTCCATCGCGTAAGGTGTGACGATGTCGAGTCCGAGATATACAACGCTGCGAACGCATTCTGAGTAAATTCGCGCCATATTCACAACCTGGGCCGCTGCGGTTCATAACGATGGCTTGAGTAATGTAGATAGTATCAACCCAGAGCATCCGAAAACCTCGCCGTGGGTCGCACGAAGCGAAACATCTCCCAGCAATTCTCCGTTTGCCATAGGATGTCCCAGTGAGGACCAATGTATACAGGTTACTCCAAAGCACTATCGTCGTCTTCTTCAGCTCAAGTGTAAGACACTGCCTCATACTGGGGCAATTTATCAAAGCCGTAGACTTCAAGGTCCAGGTGAATACGACTATCATAGCTTTCAGCATCCGAAAAACTTTTCAACCTGTATTATTCGGATCGGTTCGCGTTATATAAACGGGCGATAAATGGGTTGGCTCGCTATTTGTCTCTTGGGCGTATTTTCGTGGAAGTTTCTCTGGCCATGTGGCCTTTCTGGTATTGTGTCTTCCTGTTTCCCATTGTCCGAATCATCGGCTTCATCCTTGATGGCGTCTGGCGAAAGCTTCTATGGAAAGGAATGAGGCCATCGCAGATTCATCATTCCCATGGCTTCATTGGGAGGAATTATTGGTCCTGAGCTGACCGCGTGTATCGCATGCTGTGAGTTCGGCAGCTTTGGTTGTTCGACCACACGCTCGACATTTGGGCACTCCGTCCTCGACATCAACACGAAGGAAAATGCAACTGGTATCTTGCTAGCGTTACATGGCTAATATTGTTATTTGTTATCCCTGGTCGAAAGTTGCCGGCGGCAAGAAGTGAGACGAGCACTGAATTGGGTGGGCTGTGAGCATTAAAGCAACTTGCAATTAAGAAAGTAGGCTGAGGTCGTTGACAGTGCAGAGTGACGTGGACAATGAACAGAGGTTGCTTAACTCCCTGCCTTACACTCTGCCTTTATGTCTGCCTGCAGGAGTGCAACGCAACTAGCCCACGCTCCTATACAATTTCAATGGCACGCCGTTGCGTAGCCTCCAGCCAAAGGACGTAATAGCTGGCGGATGGTCATGGTCTCCTCGAAATCAGTGCCATTCACACGGATGAACTCCATTGCTTGTTTCCGGTATTACTTAGTGTTTCACTATGTCTTTTGCCCAAAGTACATGGGTGACTCGTGAGGTTCGCGGTATGATAAACCCTGATTTGCGTCTCTCACACCTTTTTCCTCTCACGGAGCAGTAGCCTTGACAGATGTGGTGGTGAACTTAGCACAGCCCTTTCCTTGCGCAGACACAGTCACCTGCGCCTTACTATCATGGCCATTCAAGCAAGCGCCACCAGAGGCAACGAGCTCGTTGCCCGACTGGGAAACAAACTTGACGTTCTTCGAAGCGCAGTCCTCGGCCCGGAAAGCGGTGCCGTTGAAGCCGACGCAGGCCTGCTTGTTCACCAAGTCAGGTCTGAAGCCAGCCGTGAATGAACGCTGGACGAGAAGAACATTGGCGCCGCCTTGAGTCGAGGGGGTGATCTGTCTGTCCGCCGCAGTGTTGACACAGGCAGCGTTGACGATTTCGCCTAGGAGACACTTGTAAGTACGGGGTGCCAAGTATGAGAGAAAGAGAGAGCTGGCGGGGATATACCATTGTTGCGGAAAGTGAGGCATTCGTTTCCGGGTACACCACCCTGCTCCTTGAAGACGAGAGTCTTGGCGCCCTTCTTGATGGACTGACGCTTGGACAGGTCTTCGGCGGGCATGGCGGCCACAAAGGTGGCAAGGGCCAGGGAGAGAGCCGCAATGAACTTCATTTTTTTTGCTGATGAGACGAAGAAGGTCGGGTGAAGAATTGAAAAAGTCAAGTTATATGAACAGTAATCACGAAATAAGGGACCAGCCGAACGAAGAGAAGGTTTGCAAGTTGGAAGTTGAGTGAGCGAATGAGGTGATTCTCAAAGCAAGTGAGATAAGAAGTCGAGAGGCATCGAGTCGTCTTTAAATCGAACCCTCGACACAGCCAGACTGCGTCCCCCAGACCGACAATGGAGAAATCGAGTCTGGCAAGGGAAATTAAGCTTGATGCGACACGTCGCACCGCCTTCAAACCCCCTCACACCTGCGACCTTAAAAGAGGCTATACCGATCAGCCGTACAGGTGAAGGCGGCCCCGGCCCAAACAAGGAGGCCAGGAGAAGAAGAGACGAGTTTTGACCTGGTGTCAGCTTTTGCCGAGTTTGCCCACTACACCCCCTTCCTAAACGACGAACCCCTAAGGGCAAGCTAAGCAGGGGTGCTTTCACGCCGTCACCAACAGCGTTGGGCTTACCGAAAAGAGGGAATGCCCCGCCACCGCAACCATTCGCTGAAACGTCTCAAGATCGGTCGTTTGCAGGGGTGCGCCCAGCCGAATCTGGGGAAACCGCCCTTCCGTTCCTAGCAGCACACTAGAATTACGGTTTCATCGTCGCACCTTGTCAGGGAGCCGCGTCACCGTAGAACGGCTGCCATCTCATGTAATTTTCGAATTTCTCCGTCTCAGACTTTGGTTGGCAGAGCGGGAGATGCACCCAGATTTGCGCTTGGAACCGGCGATCCCATACTCTTGGGAGGATCTCAGGGCGGTGATGGCCATCAAGGGTGTGTTCTTGGGGTTGAAACTGCAAATCCACTCAGATCATACTCTAACTTGCTTTCGGAAGGTCTTGTCGGTATGTTGTGAGATGACTGCGATGGGGAACTTGTATGTTTGTTGTAGAACAGGCGCAGTCTATACTTTTGCCATTGGCCTTCCTCCCTCTGTTTGACTGTTCAGCAGAAATCCGACTTTCTTTTTGCGAAGAGTTCTATATTCGCTGCAGCAAATCTTCTACTAAAGTCAAAATCAGCTTCGGAAAACTTCTCAGTGTCAATGTAAATGCATAAGCTTCGGAGGACGCGTGGTCCGCTAGTCCGAGTAAACGGTACAAGGCATTTAAAAATGACACTGTGACACTTTCCAAGCTAACCTAGGAAGCGTGCAGAAGAATTCCAAAGGATATTCATCGTGTTCCCTTTTGGTAAAACTCAAGGGGAGGAGAAGTAGGGCCAGCGAAATCGTCAAGAAGGTTTCCGAAGAGAACACGCAAGCAGAGGGTCATATGCGAATAGACTTTCGATTTCCTTGAGCCCGAGGAATAGTGAAACAAGATGGACCTGCCTATCTCGAGGGGGCACATATGGCTTACCATGGCTTACCGAAAATCGGGAATAAGTAGTATTTGACTTCGTCGAAGTGTGTAGCATAATTGCATGGATGTGCTGATCCTGAATCAACATTCTCGCCCGGCTGATGCTGGACAATGTCGAAGCCCAACCGTTACCGAAGGATTTGGCCGCGAGGTTGTGAGATGGACTCAAGCGGGCGTCTTTAAACGGGCGATTTCCATAAAAGAGGGGTTTTCGCACTCGTAATTGGCGACGGTCTTCTCTTGATTTCTTCCGGACGAAAGCATCGTTAGGACGAGGCTGTCAGACAAGGCAACACCTCACCCGTGTGGGCATAGGTCATAAAATAGTGTTTGTATCTGCTCTACAGAAGCAGAAGAGTGAAATTGGCTTATTCAGTAGCCTTTGGAATTCATCAAGACCGCCATAGAAAGCCAAGACGGCAGCGGTCACCCTGCGGAATTGGTGGCATGGGTATCTCAACTTTCGCCAATGCCCTCAACCACAACAAAACGTATACGTCAACAGCGGAAGCACACAGAGCATAACAGGTACTCGCGAATTTAAAGTATGGGCTGAGTAATTTGAGGGTCTCTACAAGCATGTTATAATTCACCAGATGTGTTGTGGAGGACGAAGTGGGTCATTCGCCACCAACCCCAACAAAAATGACGATAGCTTCACAATAATATTAAAGATATACAACATCAGGTACTCGGTGGTAGTCACCGACCCAATCACTAATTCGGTCCTCCTTGGAATCATATAGATGGAGCGGAGGTGGCGTTATTGGTGATGGCTTCGCCAACCCAAAGTGATGGGCAACGTTCCGAAGAATGGACGGCACGGAACGTAGTCTAGCCGATCACATCCGTTTCGGACGGTGGATATACCATCAGTCTGGTCTTCAGACACTCGAAGGCTAACCCTGCTCCCAGACGTGATTCATCTACTTTGCTGCCTGGGCGCTTCCGGCTGAATTCCGTCTTCGCCAAAGTGATAGGCTCTTGAACGTTGCTCTGGCCCCAGCTTCGCCCTGCAAAGCAAGCCAATGCTCTCTGCTTCCACACTGCCCTCTAAAGTAAACCTCTGATCAGTCTGATTATTCTCTATCTGCGAGAAGCAAATGATCCGACACTCTTAGGTTCCGGGTGTGCGAGGCGAATTGGAAGCATGCCTGGCACGAGCAGGACTCACTCTGTCACGAATCTAGACACGTCTCGACGTGATGGACGTACGGCAATATTCTCTGCATGGCTGCGAACGATGGAGTACGAGACGCAATCAAGGATTACGCGGAAGAGAGCCGGTCTCGTTTCACGGAGATGGACTCTGTCAAGCAAGCTCCTGTTCAAGAAGTCATCTTTGACCTTGTGATGAACTGCACATTTTGGACCTAGAGGTATGGGAAGAATTGCATCATGCAGTCAAGGGAGGGAAAAGGGGATAGAGATGGTGAGTCACTCCATGGCATCGCCGTAGATGCTGCATATGGGCCCGAAACATGGCTTTGACGAGCTACTGAATTATATTGGAGGGCCTGGTGCGACCCAATCAGCTGCCCAAGATCTTGTGCAAAGGACAATCGTGGTTTCGAATTTCTCTGGGATGAACGTATTGTGGTGAAAGAAGCACCAAAGGCTGAAAAGGCTGAGATGTTGTAGGTGATCCTTAGCTTACATAGAATTATACACGGCCTTGCTCAACAAGTTGCTAATGAGGCCCCGTGAATTATGCAGCTCTTTGCAATCTATCGGGAATGATTCGACTGCCGCGTCAAGAATTTGTCTCAAATGTGATAGGTGCGATCGAAATTGGGGACGGTGAAATGATTGTTACGGTCAGCTATCTGACAGTAGAGTCTGCTAACAGAAGCTAGGATTGACGCTATAGACTAGATGTCGTACTGAGTTCTGAGTCGTAGTGCTGGGTGTGCTAAACAAATCAGGTCTTCAAGGGCTAAGGTGATTAGTCTTAGACCTAATAAGTAATTCGCAGTGAAGGTAAGCTGAAAATATCCGAAGATGTTTACAAATGTTAATTGCTGGAGAGATATAGAAGTCTGGCCACGAGCGAAGCTCAGGTCACACTATATGCAAGTCCTGAAGACTACCCCTTGTTCCTTTTGGTGTGATCACCTTCGTGCATAGGTAATCGCGATCAGTTGGCATGATTGATTGATCATTTTGATCCTACTCGGTTCCAGCCGCCATTGTCGGTAGCTATGCCCGGAAAGCAAGGTTTAGGTAATAAGCAAAGCGTCGACGACAAGTCGCGACGCCTTACTTTGCCCTGCTCTTAAATTAAGGCCAGCTGTTTCCAAATTCCTCGTTGCACTGCCTGTCCTCTGCGTTGATTCTCTCTGTTTTAAGAATCTCTTTCTGTTGCTTTTATTCGAAGCTATTTTTGTTTTCCTTGCCTCTGGATTCCCACTTTCGTGTCTTCGTGCTTCGGCTATATTGGTGCTTGCCACATGTCCATATCTAGTTCTGCTGCATACCTACAGTCTCCCCCCGGCGCTCAGCTTCGTCTGTTTGTCTTGTCCGCATCCTCCCGGACTTGTTTGTACTGTATGTCCCATGCCCTGCGAATTATCGTTGCCTCCTACCAGGTTCCTATATGGCTATATGTTTCCATCTTTCGACCACCACCGCCGTCCACCACCTGGAACCAGGCTCGATCCATGAAGCACAATGCTTCAATCGCTTTGATTCGTCTGAATACTGAGTATGAGAGCTCCTGCTTAGATCCCGCGGAATCATCGTATGTTAAAAGGGCACTAATCCTCCTTTGCAAAGAGGGCAATAGCGGACTAGTCTATCTATGATCTGTAGTATTCTATGGCATTAATCGTAGCATGCCTGCTGTTTGATGCTTTTTCTATACAGAAGGTGATATCGGTCTGTTGGGCTCCTCGTTATGGTTATTACGGAACGTTTCAAACTTTATCGCGTGTGATAGGCGGCCTAGGACCTATCGGTATCTGTTATGTTAACGTTTATCTGGACGTAGCCGTTGTGCTTCGCATGATAGCCTATGGCTCGGCGGCGGCGGTGATGGTGTTGTCTACTGAGTCGTGTCTCGTGACTTGCTCTCAGAATTTTTTGTGGCCAGAGCACACTCGCGGCCACAAGTAGGCCCTTTGGATGCAGAATCAATACCGAGGATGATATTGTGCCCACAATTGCCTCTACGGACGCGATCCGCGGGCATGCTTCGATCAATTTGTTGCTGTTTTCCAAAGTTTCCGTCTCGCGTTTGTTGATGTTCTTTTGTACTCGCTGTGCCGAGAATTGCGGTTCCGTTTTTGTACGACGTATTAACAACAAACTCTGTTTTCGCTCATCTCCGTGCTACCCACTGTGTGAATTGCTCCCGGGAGTCCGACCGGATTTGGCGGATGTAGTTACGGAATGTCGCTGGCTAGCTATTGGTATACATATAAATATATGTCTAGCTAGTTATGCAAGATATGCTCTCTTTCAATGCCCTGACGTAATTGAATCACGTCCTACGATTCTTGAAAGTGTCAGATACCCTCCTTAAAACGAGTGAGGGATTCTCAAAACTCTTGCTCATCCTGACTTGACGGTCAATAAATTCAAAAACTCGCTCGCTATGGCATCCCGCAGCGTCCTGGCTATCGCCGCCGTAGTTCTCTTCTTCAACTTTGTTTTAGCAAATCCGCTCCCGCTCTTCGACGACTCACCGGCCGCCCGAACTCTTTGGTCACGTGGAGACAATGACCCTTTGCGCGGAAAATACGGGTTCATGGTACTGACCATCCCGCCGTCCGACACCACCGAAACCCAAGTCGCCACCACCGCAGGAGGTGGAGGACTCGGGGCCTTTGCGGTTTTGAATCAGGACGGGAGCATTTTTCTAGCGGTCCAGGTGAACCAGGATTACGTATCGGATGAGTTCGACGGTCTTCGTGGTTACAGAATCACAGTACTATGTCACGAGACTACCATCATTTTCGAGCAACCCCATGATCTGCTCTTACACGACAGACGCGCGCTCTGGGCAAGAGTCTCTGAGCAAGAGCTGAACTGGTGGAGGGAAATATACGAAACCAACGAGGACAGTGATATCGACATCACTATTTGGTGGATGAAAGACATCGCAAGACAAAACGATTGATAAAATAGGTAAAGCTACCCTAAGGACAACGCATTTGGGAACCTCTTTTTCGCCCTCCCTTGTGTTTCATCTTTTGTAGCACAGAAAACCTTGATAGAACAGCCCTGAATCGATCGAAAGGACACTCGCGCATCGTGGACCACGCTGTGATGATCGGTCAGTCGAGTAATACAAAAGAGGAAGCATAATTACAGGCCGCTATCCAGCAGATTCGCCTCTATTTGTTCGCAATATTTTAATGGGGCAGGCGGCAAGAAACCGGAGTTATTTTGTAAAATCTCACTACCGCGTCCTCGATCACATTCCGTCAGCAAATTTCCAAGCCTTCTGCGGTCTCGATTGGAAATCCTCTCTGTTGAAAGTCCTTCAATCGTTTTCCCATCGATGCATCATTGATGGCAACGAAGGCCGATTCAGCGAGTTTTTCTTCAAATCCGCAATAGAAATTGAGGGGCTCGACGCCATGTCGGAGGTGTTGCTGCTTCGCGAAGTCGGCTTACGGACCGATCAGGGAGAGAGGACTCGACGCAAAAGAATTTTGTGAGGTTGCCTAAACCACGAGGATTACCTGCTGTCCAAGGCGACTGTGTCGTTTGGTGCTTCAGTACGGATCATCTTGCGTGCAAGCTCCAGCGCAATTTGCTTGACAGTGACTTTCTAACGGCTACGGACCAGCTAAGAACCCGCGACTCCCCTTATGCATGAGCGTTCGGACAGTGCTATGCCATCCGGCATGCTACGACAATGCCTGCAGATGTTGAACATGAAAGCTGAGAACCCGGCCAGACCGACGAGGAGGTCCAGCTGACTGCGGCGTGCGGGTTGCAATGAGTACGCGAAGAACGAGTGCCGGTCAGGCAGAAGATGCTCGTTTCCTTCGCCGAACGAAATCGTGAAGAGCATTACCTCCGGAACCTCCGGACCTGCCCAGCCGGCCAGAATCATTATGCTCATGCATGACTGTTCGTTCTGCGCGGGTTATGGCTTCGCCAAGAGCCCCGTTGTTACCGTGCTCATTGGCGTTAGGCCACTTTGGGCGGGCCCGGGCCTTTGACAACAGAGTAATACGACCATCTGACAATGCGATCCCTCTTTTCACCCGGGAGTACTATGTACGCTGGTATATGCATTACTAAGATGACAGTAGAGTCTTTAGCTCAATTAGGGTTGGTAAGTAAGTCGGGTTAGGTTGCGAGTTGAATTACGGCTTAAGTTTTATACATGTAGGAATTAGAGTTTGAGATTAAAATAATAGATAGATCCGTAGATCTATTAATATTTAAGAAATGCACGTACCAGCGTGCACGGTATTCCCAAGTGAACAGAGGGATCGCATTGTCAGGTGGTGTGTAGACTCGTGCCCAAATGCGTTGCCATTAAGATTCTTGTTGCCAGCGAAAAAACGGGAAAAGAATACTGATCTTGGACTGGCAGCTACAATAAAACAAATGGGTATAGACAAGACTACTGCCACCATCGTTGGTGGGCTCGTTGTAAGCATCGATTTCCCCTGTCGTCGGATCATACGGTGGTGTGGCGGATTCCGGTCGCTCGATGGGTGGTATTTCGGGTCCTAACGGGAAGCTTTCGTTGGTCGATACTTGACGCAGGCGTGCATCGAGTTCGTCGAGATCAAGTGGACGAGAGCATGCGGTAGGACTATGGGCTAGCCATCGTTGTTGATCTCTGGATCGTTGTAAGCGAAATTACAGATGATAGGAGCTGAGAAAGCTTTGGAACTCACTTGAGTCGCTCGGCGAGGCGGCTTCGTCCGTCTTTCGATAGCTCACCCCACCCATCAATAGGAAGGTCGTAATGGCCACCGGAGAGGCGGATTTCTGCATGAACTGAGCCAGCTCAGCATCGCTCATGGCGAGGACTTCATTGACGGATACCCTCGCTGCGGTCACTTCTGTAGAGACCATATTGCCCTTGAGTGTAGCTGGAATGTGAAGTTGCGGGCGTTGGGTACGGTGCAAATTAGTGTGAAGGATACATATCAACTTGTTCACGCGGCACCTGGTCAGATTTATACCTCAGGCAGCCAAAGTACAAGAACGCTTAGAGGCGGCGAACAGCAACGTGATAATGTTCTTTGTACTCAAGGTGAAAGCCTCCTAATAATCAGGCCGAATAATCAAATCTTGTTTTCCAGGTACTGGGGCTTGGCGAAGAGCGCGGGTTGGTGGCTTCGTTGGATGCTGGTGAGCCACCGTTTAGCTGCAGTCACCACACCTTTTCACCCTTATATTAAACCAATGCTCCTTCTTGCTATCAAGATGGTGTTTTTCGTCATCTTGTCGCCCCTTTTATTCTAAAACTTTTCAGAATGGATTGCGATATTATTGCCGTTTTGTATCCCCGCGACGATCACAATGGAAGGTCGACAAAAGCGATCAAGGCGAGTTCGCGTTACGTGCCTCCTCAGCTTAAGCGCCCCCGATACAACCGCCACGAGCGAGAGTCAACTCAGCCACTGCAGAATCCTGAGGCATCGGCGCTCGACTATCTTTCGGGCCTTGTGGTTAGATTAAGTGATGTTACCAGAACTGATTAAGGTCTCATTTTCGGTTCGAACCCCAATTGTGACATTGTTCTGCGCGCTCAAGGTATCTCGAACACCCCTTTTAGCCACCACTGACGAGTTCAACCGCCCCATCATCAAGGATTTGAACTATCTAGGAGGCACTCAAGTAACTTGCAATGGGAAGGGCGAGGGATTCCGGAGGGATTTCCGCTGGATCGTTGGCGGCAAAACAGTAGATATCGTGCACCCGTAAGAGAGAGGCAGGCTGGCAGCCCCCAATCCGGAAAGACTATGAAATATAATTAGTCTGCTTCCTGTAGATCGACCATTGGATACGACTGAGAGATGATATTCTCTAGACATATCACTAGGCCAGATTCAACGGCTTCTATCTGGCCGTTGAGATAAGTTTTGACAAAACCCACACAGACAGACCCGTGGGGCATTAGCTCTTGCTCGCCGACCAGCTACCTTATAAAGAGCAACTTTATTTTATGTGACTGCGCCAAAATACAAAGATGTTCCAATCCGCGGTCTGATACCGTTCTCAGCCACGTCTTTGGTGCCCTTCGTGTCGCAAGTCTGCAGGCATATCCGTACACCCACGTGGTTTTGCAAGGCGCGCTGATCCCGCCTCAAAGTAGCCAAGCACCCTTGCTATTTGACTAAGATAAAAAGTTGATACACCCAATGGGAGTAACGAGAGAGGTGAGTGCAGTTCAACGGGCCCGGCACTGCAACCATGTATGATGACCATTTTTGCGACGGTGGAGGCCTTTTTCCCCAGCGAAAGCTGAAGCCCCAACGCTGCTCATCTACTTAACTCGCGTCTTACGTCAACGAGGCAAACAGTCAGATCCATGCGGGTCAGCTGACTTGATGTGTCAGTTGGAGAATGAATGGTACTGTAGGCACACGCAATCTTACATGCAGCTCTCGATGCACCCAAACGGATCCCTTGTCAACGTCTACCAGACACAGTGAAGAACCGAAAACACATACAGTGATACCCATCTTAAAACAAGTCACTTAGGCAGCGTCTAGCTTGGCCTCCCAGACCTCTCCTTCTGCGTTGTCTCACATACACGACCTGCAGCCGAGATGCAGATAAATAAGAAGAAATCACAGCGCAAGACGTATTTCATCCTTCGTAGCACCGACTACAAGCCCGACGGCCTGATCCAACTCGGCCAGCTCATCGAGGACCCTCGCACTCCTTACCGCCGCTTAGCGCCTCCCATCAGACCCCTCCCCGCAGATGCCGTCCATGTCTCTCTCAAAAACGACTGGTCCCTGGATAAATCCAAGGGAGCAGTCGGTGGCATCGGAATCTTTGCACAGTTTATAGCTGTGATGACGGCGGAGGTGTCAACCCACGTATCGAGCGATATCACACAATCATGGACCGCGGCTCAGCTAGAGACGGCATTTATTGAACTGGGAGCAGACAAGGAATCTGACTACGTCACTTCCAGCGTGCAGAAGGCGGCGGTGCAAAAGCGTCTCACGCGCGAGGGTTTCTTCAAGAGAATGGTCCTCAGCAAGAAGGTGCTGTACATGATCACGGGCATTAAAATTGCGAGGAGGCCCGGCCAGGTCTCGTACGAGGCGAGCAAGACGACGAGCGTCACCGCAAAGCTGGGCGCAGACCCTGGGACAGGGGGAATGGTCATGGCCGGCGTACAGGGCGGTGTGGACCGGTTCAGCAGTTCTGTCGAGAGCAGCACGCCGGATGACGATTTCGTGTTCGCCTATAGATTGCGCAAAGTTCACGTCAACTTCAGCAGCAACAAGACCCTGCTCAAGAGCGATGTTTCTGGGGCCGAACTGCATGGGCACGGTGCTGGGGGAGATGGTGAAGATACGAGTTCTGAGGATGAGAGCGATGAAGAGGTACCGAATGAGGTTGCTGTTGATGTCGATGAACTTGACACGGTCTTGGTTGAAAATGAGGACTTTGGACAGTCTTTACCTGCTCGGGACGCCAAGAACGACGGCTTTGACGAGGTTGATGGTGGCGAATGCCTAGTCATCATTGCAGAATAGCATCCTCAAGGTCAAAAAGCTGTCTGGCACCTACACCCTCCAGGGAGGTCTTGATGCATTTACCACAAGTTTTTATTTAAACAGCACCGAGTGACCGCTTGTTGCTCATCTCCAGAACGTGTTTGAAATAATGCTCCGTTGATCGCAAAAGAAATCGAAAACTACTTATTCCAAGCGCCTAAGCAAAGCCTCAGCATCTGAGCAAAAAAAGACACCGAACCGCTCTTTTCTTCCCCGCTGAAGTTGAAGTAGTTGTCTCGGCCCACCCAAGGGTTGAGGAAGTTGTGCTGGTCCGCGGTCGGTGCCATGCTCATTTTCAAGAGTATGGCCCGGACGGCCTCGACTGTCTTGAATTCCAACGCCGGTTCGAGGTTGATCTCGGCCTTGTTTGCGTCGTAGAACTGATACAGGATGGAGATGACGGACGCGGCAATCGGCGTCGCGAACGAGGTCCCCGACATGGCGACCCAGAGGCCTGGATACTTCTTCGGGTTTCTCTTGTTCACCACCTTCAGGGGTGTCAACTTGTCCTTGTCCCTCAGGGTTTCCGGCCAGATCGATGCGACATCGTGACCCAGGATGCTGAAGCAGAAGTCCCTGTCCACGCCCGGCCTCGGGCTGAATGAGCATTTGCCACCCTGGTGATCGGTCGCAAAGATCTTGAAAACCTCCGAGAGCCGAGCAGGGAAAGAAAGGTTGGCTTCTGAGTTCCCGAAGTTGCCTGCGGCCGCACAAAGGATCTTATTTTTCGACGTCGCCCTGCTGATTGCTGCTCGGAATCCTGGTGTCTTGATAAGCCGGAACCCAAACGACATTGAGATGATGTCTGTGTCCCATTCCGTGATGGCATGGTCAATTGCCTAGTAGTCAGGTTTCATTTGTAAGCTGATGACTCCAATAGATATATTCGTTCGTGAAGGGCAATAGTCCAACGTTGGTCACGCACCTTTGTCACTTTCCCCTCTGCGTCGGGATCCTTCATCAAGGAAGCGCGCGTTGTGGCCACTCGAGCTATGGAGAGCTCAACGAGTGGTGCGAGTTGAAGCACAACACCAGCGATAAAAGTACCATGCCCGTCTTCGTCGATTGCTTCCCGGCTGGGCTTCTCTGTCACAAAGTCCTGGAAAAGAGCAACCTTTTTGTTTGCTGCTTGTCTGAAATCCTGCCATTGCCGCTTAGTGACAAATGGGTGGGTTTTGTCGAGGCCTGTATCGATTATGGTAACCCTGACTCGCTCCATGTTCTTGTCATGTCGAGGACTGATAATCATGTCGCGAGACCTAATAAAATCCTTTATCCACTTTTCACTGTTCCTGAAAGTCATTGTTAACTACTGCGAGGTGATGGTCATCCGTTTTGAGCGAAGAAAAGACTCACTGTATGCTGTCGAGGACAGCTTCCGAGTCGAAAAAGGCCGGTCCTGTGTCAAGAGATAACGGTGTTTCTTTCAATGAGAGCTTTGTCAGTCCAATCATTTTCCAAATAATACTCCAAAAATGCCTCTGAGATTGTTGGATACGCACCAGGTCCCGACCATTCCGTACATCCTGTGTCTGCTCTGCTGATCCCTTGCTGGATCTCGAGATCTTCCTGTGTCTTTTTCTCCCTATTTAGAGCCTCTTCTTCCTCCAACTCTTTGACCCTCTTTGACGCTTGCTCTTCCTCCTTTCGCTTATTCATCAGATCCTTCTCCCTTTTCTTCTTTTCTCTCGCTTCGTCCAACCTTCTCGCTCGGGTTTCCTCATTCCTCTTCTTTTCCTCTTCCCCTTTTAGCCTCTTCTGCTCTTCATCTTTCTTCCTACTTTTCTCCTCCTCCTCCTTCCTCTTCTTCTGCAAAACCTCTTGGACCAATGAGTTCCACTGGTTCAGGGTTTGTCTCCTACGGCAAGTGATTGTTCGCCTGGCACTTACCCTGGCGTTTGATAAAACCTTGCGCCATCTTTGCCTGGCTGTTAATCTTCGGCAAATGAGATGCCACCTTTCCCGAATCTCCTTCTTCCGGGGTAGGACATCCCTCCTCACACCAGCACGCACCTTTTCTAGGCATTTCTTCCATCTCTTACGTGCCAGAAGCCCAGTAGCTTTCCTCCACTCATTCTTGAACACGTCTCCTAAGTGTGCTGCCATTGCGGACTGATCGGCATCCTGGGCGCCATACTTCCGGATGCGGGACTCAACAGTGTTGTAAACCTCGTACCCGCGCTTTCGATCCTTCAGATCCACGGTGAACAACTTTAACGCCGCAATTCCGCGAAATTTCATATCCTCCACTTCTTCGTCGCTCATATCGCCGCCAATTTTGACCAGCGCGCGAACACGACTCCTATTCAGCTTGGCAAGCTCCAAGGGCTTTCGGTTTTGGTTTTCCAGCAAGACATCTGTGCAATGAAGTACATTATCTATGTCCTCGTCCAATCTGATGTTGTTCTTCTCATTCATGCTCTCCGTGGCCAGGGTCAGTGCCTCGAAGTTCAGCTTCTCAGCTTTCGCAGTATCTCGCGTCTTCTCTTGCTCGGCGAACTTGATAAGCGCGGCCGCTAGATCCTGTCGAACCCCTAAAACTTTTGATGGATCGGGAGGCTTCTGGGATTTCCGGGCTTTGAGAACCTGTCGGTAAAGGGTCTCGGCTTCACCATAGTTCTCCATGTAGAAATAGCACTCTCCCAAATGGTGCCGCGCGACTACAACGTCAAAGTTGTCGCGGGGGAGTTTCTTGATACCATCCCACAACATCGCGTCCAGGATTAGCTTGGCAGCTTCTGGGGCCTTGCTTTTGTCTTCTATCATCTTCGCGGCCTTTGTTATAACTCTTCTGAAGTCCTGGAGATTGAGGTTCGCGCGGTTCTCGACGCTTGAATGCTTTGGACTGTTCTTAACGGCCTTCGGTTTAGAATTCTCCGGTTTCTGTTGTGAACCCAAATCTCCTCCTGTAGGGGAAAATATCTCTCCCTTACCGATGTCTCGATGGGATTTGAAGCTTGTTGTCTCCCCATTGTACCTGCTCAAGGAGGACGCGGCTATACCTGGGGAAGCTCTTGTCGTTGGTTCGGCACCCTGTCCTCTAGGTGTGCTACCTTTTACGATAGATAAGCCGGATTCATTCCGAAAAAGCGCCTCGCGTGTTGAACAATTGGCTCCTGATCTGGGCTGGCTGGAGCTTGAAGACCGGCTATGCTGAACATGGTGTTTTTGAGATGGAGACTTCTGCGCGTCGCCATTCCCCGCTCGAGTCAGCCCATTGTCGGGAATGGACGGAGACATGGAGAAGGACGACGCGAGAACGGTAGCCTTCCCGTCCCTTGTGCTGTTGAGTTGGTCGATTTGAGTGAGAGCTGGACTAATGTTTCCGTATGACAAACAAAGAGTGAAAAACCTTTGTTTAGGTCGCAGCCTACTTAGCAGTCGTACATGGTGCTGTGGTCATTTGAGGGAAAATGTCGAATCGACTTGACTGGAAGTCAAGGCGGGATTTTCCAGCTGACCTACCGCAGCGTTTCTAACCCCTGTCAGAGGTACTAGTTGTCGGTGGAGGCGTGCTTATGTGCGCGTGGCTAGCTGGCACAGAAGGACGCTGCAGTGGCATCGGTTCGAAAGTCACGAACAGTTCCTCTCAACTATTTTCAGATGAGTTTCTGGCCTAACACTACAGTTCTCTTCTCTTTTTTTATGAAGCCACTATTAATTAGTGAAATGCAACTAGTAATGAGCTTCCATCGTACGGGGCGAAAAAGGCTGTCATGGTCTTCGAGCTCGGCTATGCTTCAAGTACATCATGTATGTGTGGAGTCTGCGTTATCCACAAAAGTAATCACTAGATTTAGATGGGTCTTCTTGAGGTTTCTGTTCTGCTGCTTCCTTCAAGCCTATGCTGGTGCTGCAGTCGGCGTGCCTTCGGTTTCTAGTAGAGCTTTGTAAGTATCCCAAGCGGTCAGCCTACTTCGTACAAGACTTTTGATTAGCGGCCTTCTCAACGCACACATGATTTCCACAAACTTGGAGTGGTGAAGGGAAATCAAAGATATGCCAAATCAGGCTGAGGATCTTGAGTTGACGATTATGCTCGCTTATGCACTCATCTCACCAGCCAACCCTATTCTGGATGTTCGCCGATGCATCTGCTTCTGGAAGAGCTAACCAGCCGATGTCTGCAAGATACACAATTGGTCAAACTACGCCAACAAATGAAATGAAATGGCGAAAGTGGGACGAAGAGTGGGAAAGTCAACTTCGTGAGGGGTTGGCAACTCCCCGTTATCGCTGTGATGGGCGCTTAGGAGCACAGTGTGCAACCTCCAGGCCGCTACCGTCGACCTGTTATGGAGTACCTCCCAGCCTCCGCTCGAAGAATAAGTGCGATCCACAGCCTTATTGATGGCTTCCCCGATCTACCGAGCTTCCGTACAGGAGTCAGCCAAGAGGGCTCGCTGGCTAGCTGGCTAGAATGAAGGATCATGCAGGCGGCAAAGATCTCTCCGAATCTCCCAGCCTCATCTGCAATGTCCTGTCCACCGCGGCCGAGTGAATTACTGCCATGGAAGCTACACGAATGAACACAGCTGCTCGAAGGAAGGCAAACAATCAGAAATGTTGAGGTGATTTCCTTGGTTCTCGAGCTCAATGACGGCTTGACCGACCCTGGCTTCAGCCTAGGATGGTTGTTCAGCCATCAAATATTGCCGCCAGGCCAAAGTCAACTCCAAAACCATCCGAGCCAGGACCTACGCCCACCGTAAATGTCAAACCCAAGAATTTCTTTGAGAAGCGGGATGACAGCACCCAGATTATCATCACTCAGACACTTCCTCGAACCTTGAGCACTCGAACCGCGACTGTGACGCTTCCCGGTGAAATTCCAACAGAGCCCCCTCCTCATTCATCTGATGGCGTCAGCGACCAGCAACTCGGGGCAATCATCGGGGCCACATGCGCCACTATAATAACCCTCTTGCTTCTTGGTTGCTGGATTATCAGAAGACGGCGGCAGAAGCAATCATCCTCCAAGTCATCTGGCGGGGCCAATTCACTCTTCTCATCACCGCCCCTCGGGCCCTCCCCATGGTCCCCCCGATCATCAACCCGGTCTGAAGGACGGCGAGGGTCCAGGTCTCACAAACAGAATTCTCCGTCTTCTAAATCTGATGGCATTTTGGACGATAAATATCAACCACCTTCTCCCGATTTTGGGCTTCCAAAACCCCCTCCAACATACTTGAGGCCACCGGCAGGTTCGGTACATTCTAAGACATCGCCTACTTCAAAAAATCCCCAACCACCTGAGTCATTCAGAATAAGACATCTAAACGATCACCCAACAGCCCCGGTCTCATCAGAACATCCTCCCAACTTGGGTCCTACGGTAGACAGCCGGAGGGCTTCAGCGAACCACTCAGAATCATGGATGTCACCACCCGTCGGCAGGTCTGGGCTCACGTCTTCCAAGAAGCCAGGACCATCTTCGGCGTATCAGCCACGGCCGTTGATGTCCGGGATGACGACGATGCTCCCTGATGAACCATCAAGTAAAGGCACTGCTCCCAAGCCCAGGCCCAGCGGTTACATTCCAGTGCCATCTTCTAATCCCAAAATCATCACTGCTGATATGGAAAAGATCTCGAGATCCTCAAGCAAAGAAAGACATGCGCCTAGCTTTTCTGGTCAAGGTCGTCCAGCAATGACTCCATCCATCAACAAGATTCCTCAAGCCGTATCGTCGTTCCAACAGCCTCCAACAACGGTACCGCTGGGACCCTTCAGTGGGTTATCCGCTGGAAAAAAGACGGTCAATTTTCCTGAGATTTTGGAAGAGTCAATTCCTGAGCTCCCCAATGCGTCTGACCTACCATTACCGAAGCTGAAGGATGGAAAACAGAGGTCAATCGCCGTTTCAACATTGTCCAGACATCTTTTAAAGGGCGGGGAAAAGTCCAGCCCTCCTGAGCACCGAGATAAAGACCACCCCAAGGCTTCGCTCGAGAATGCAACTAAGCCCAAATTCAAGTCCGAGGATGCAGATGAGGCAAATGGTGAGACGACTTCTCATGCCGAATCCCCATCTGGATTGAAGAGCCCTCCTTCTGTTTCACGATCGAGAGTTCCATCCCCTGAAACCATTACTGTCGACCAGAAGCCCTCACTGGAACCTGAGCCAAGATCCAAGTCTGATGATGCCGAGGAGTTCGACGCTCATCCAAGCACTCCCTCGGGTTCCGAGTCAGGCTCAAAGGGTCCTCCTCCTAATCCCCATACGACGGCCCCATCACCCAGAGTCATTTACGTCGGTCCCGGGCCTTCTATACGCCAAGAGACGGGATCATTGAGCCATACTGGGAAGCACAGGCAGCCTAGAGCCCCCAGCACGCTGAAAAGCTTCTCGGGGGCAAACCCAAGAAGCAGAATGTCTAGCTTCAGCGCTGCGGGTCATACACAACCAGGTAAGCCTTACAACTGCTGAGATGAGTCCGGTTCTTTGCTGATCAAAAGCGATTGCAGATGCTGTAAATATTTCTTCTGATCCGCATTACACTGCACATCCAGCTCCGCCAACGACTCCATTCAGACATGCACCACCTCTTCCTAGTGACGGTTATTCATATGGCCCGGACGAAACCTCACATTATCCTCCTCCATCGGGTCATGCAGCAGAGGCGGTTGTTATTGAAACCACTGAACTACCGGAGGCGAGACGCGTTCGAGCCCATGGACGACGCGGACGTCAGAAGAACAAGACCAAGACTCGGGTGCTAGAATACTTTGCCGGCTCGGGGGAGAAAGCGGAAAAGAAAGACCGGAAGAAACGGTCACCGAGTCGGCGATGACCATTTGGAAAGGACAGTTAGTACTGTCCAAAAGGATTACGAGAATACCCCTAGATACATGTGTTCACGCTGCATTTCCGTTACTTATTTTATCACCCAAACCTATATGTTGCTTCGAACGGTTCGCCTGGGGAATCATCGGCATTTAGTGATGAACATGTACTTCTCGAGATATTTCGAGCAAAACGATGTCAATGCTACTGAATTAACAATACGATGTTGAAGAACGATGAATAACAGCTTGATTCTACGGATATGAAGAGTAGTTGCGCAGTCAATTGTCTTATGAAGCCGGTGACTATAATTCGTGCACAGTCCAAATAGCGAACAACCTCTGCTATCAGGCACTATTTCGACCGCGCCTTGGTCAGCAGGTGATCCTGCTCCTCTGAAAAGCCTCTTGGCTTTTGGTTATTCAGAAGAGGACTGATGATATCCGGACTGTTACAATGTCGAGGAGATCGGCGTCAACAGCAGCATAATAATACTTTGGGATACCCTTTTTGCAAGCGTCGATAATGTAGCATTCGATCAAATCTTCCGTTTCCACCTCTTCACAAGGCATTCGATACAGTATCAATTAGCGCAGCATTTCTTCACCCCTTAGGCCGTACGAAAAATGCTCCCATGGAATAATAAAACCAGATGTATTCCCTGCAGAAAGCTTTATATCGCTATGTGTCGCAGCGCCACTTAGGCTTGCGCTCGCGTGACCCGTAATGATGGACAACTGCCGAGCCATACCCCAAGCAACGCCTCCAAGTACTTAGTAGCTGATCTACTTGACTGTGCTGGTGACCATATTAAGAGTATAAAGTAGTCCTAAAGCTAGCATGGCTACAGCAGCACTGGAAAGCATAAATCGGACAGCGAAACTGGTAGCGCTGACAAAAGCTCCGGTTGTTAGCATGGGGCGGTGATGAGAGGGAGCTTTTTGATGCCTGATGTTGACTGCTCGGGGTTTCCTCAAGATCCTCTGGTGGTATGCTAACAGCTATGAGCAACCATTGTCTATCAGACTCATCAAGCACTCACCTGGGCTATGACCCACAGAGTCACGTGTCGTGGCTCATTAAGTAAGTCTCATCGAAAATCTTCGAGAGATTCTAAGGATACTGACGCCGTAAATAGTTGAAATGTGCATCAAGAGACAGACAAGTGCATTAATAGTGGCGACTTTATCCGCCAGTGCCGAATTAAAAACCCAAGGCCGACGGCGTCTGTATTCAATGCCTCAGCTTGCCATCGCAGAGTGGCAACGGGGAGATAGTTCGCAACTAGGTCACCGCCACGTTGAGATTGGTAATCGTTCGGGCCATATGATCGGGTTGTTTGTTTGTCGAATCCTATGTGCATATTAAACTTAGCAGCGAGTTTGACAAGCAACCCCGACGAAGATGGTGTGCAAGGCTCAGTAACTATCGAGGAGCTCAGCGCTCCATTTATTAGTACCAGTGATGTCAACATGGCGTAGAATGATAGTGTACCTAACTATATAAAATTCATAGATAGTTATAGTGCACTAATCGCTATTTCGTGGATGAGAGACGTTGCTTTTCAGCTTGAATTATTTAAATGGTCGATTTTGCAGATTAACGTAGTCTTATCAAGCTTTACCTCAAAATTGAGAGAGGCAGCATATCTCCACGTTAAAGATCGGCATAATTGCACCAACTGCGTCCATCTGGGCAAGTTTAAACCACCTTTCTTTGAGTGGGGCCGGTGGCACGTCGCCTGACGGGAGTTTCCCGCGGCGAGGTCTCGGGTTCCCCGTCCCATCCCGCCGGCATTGTTTTGAATCATGGTAGCACCGTGCCCTTTGGCGACTGGAATCTGTAGAGGCGTTCATTGATAGCAAGTCGTCGCGTGATCATACAGATATGCATGTCTATCTTGAAAACTAATACATGTAAGTTGAAGCCGTCTTTTGTAAGCCGTATGACCGACCGACTCATCTCCTTTCCATGGGCCACGCCAAAGTGTGGTCAGATACTTGACATGTCTAAAACAACGGACCAGGGTCCCGGCTGGCGATTGGCTTTGAGTCTGCCACTGGCCGTGGCTGGGATCTGCGCCTATCTTTGGACCGGCCAGAACAGTGCTATTCTATCGACCGAGTCAAAGTACCGCCCGACAGCTTCGGTCACAATCAATCAGGGCACTGTACTTGGCAGACTTGTGACCGATGGCACGTTTGATAAACCGCTGGAAGGCTTCATGGGAATACCATACGCACTCCCTCCCGTCGGACAACTGAGATTCCGGCACGCTGTGCCGGTACCGTCCGGGAACGGAACACAAGAAGCATTTGAGCTTGGCCCAAGGTGAGTCTGAACGGAACCATTCAAGGGGTTTAAATTAATACTGACAGACATGTAGATGTCCAGGGAAGCAGCTTGTTCCCTTTACAGATGATGAGTGGCTAGGCCCTGACTGGGAAAGCGAAGACTGCTTGACGATCAATGTGTACCGACCCAACGGTCACACAGATGAGGCCAAAAAGCTGCCCGTTGCTGTGATGATTCCGGGCGGCGCCTTCAACCGCGGGGCTGCACGAATGCACAACACACCGTCTATGCTGGCATGGTCTGAAGAACCCTGGATTGGTGTATCGATGCAATACCGGATTGGTGTTGCCGGTGGGATGAATAGTGCACTGACTAAGAAAGAGGGTCTGTTGAACCTCGGACTCAAAGACATGTACGTGGCTTTGGAATGGGTTCAAAAGAACATCGCGGCTTTTGGTGGTGATCCGGATAATGTAACCATCATGGGCTTATCCGCCGCCGCGCATGGAGTATTTCCGACCTATCTATCCGTCGAGTCGCATCTTGCTGATGATATCCAGATCGGACATCTCATCATGGACATCAACCAGAAGAAGACTCTCTTCCATAAGGCTATCATGGACTCCGGAGGACACACTGCACGCGTGGTGCACGCGCCCGAGTCTACTCTGAACGAGGCACATTTCCAAGAATTCCTTGAGCTCACAGGCTGTGGTCACAGACCCGAGCATGAGATACTGCCATGTCTCCGAGCGCTGCCGTCCTCGACGGTCCTCGAGTCTGGCCAGAAGGTCTACGAGCAATCTAATCCTTCTGTACGATGGGCTTGGCAACCCGTCCTTGATGGTGATGTCATCTCGAGGCGTCCAATTGATGCGTGGAAGTCTGGAAAATGGAACAAGGTCCCCATCTTGACGGGGTCAGCCCACAACGAAGGAGCCATGTACGTTCCCAAGACGGCATCAACTCCCGAAGACTTTGAAAAGTTCTTCCGCACACTCTTGCCCCAACTTTCGGATAAGGATGCAGCAGAGTTGAAAGACCTCTATTCGGATCCTTCCGAGAACCCAGATTCGCAGTACGTCGAGACCCGACCTCTTGATATTGGGCCGCAATACAAGCGTGCCGAAGCTGCCTACGGTCACTACGCGTATACTTGCCCCGTTCGCCAGACCGCAATCTGGGGGAGTAGGTCATCGAACGACCCTCCTGTGTATCTCTATCATTGGGCCTTGAACAAGACTGCTCTGTACGGTGCCAACCACGGCGACCAGATGCGTTACCAGACCTACAATGCCGAGGTCAGATCCATTTCACCGAAGCAGGATGAGATTGCTGGGTTCATGCACGCATACGCGACATCCTTCATCGTTCACGGCGACCCGAATACGATCAAGGGCAAGTTCAAAGACCGTCCTGAGTGGCTACCTTTTTCAGGCCGGAAGGGGGAGAATGTGGGAAATACAATGATAATTGGTCAGGGCAACGATGAACGTGCTGGTGGGTCTGGCCTGGGGACTTCAGCTCAGTTCAAGGACTACAAGTGGGCGGAGAAAGAGTGTAACTTTTGGTGGAAGCAGACGGAAAACTTTGAAGACTAAGGCTAGGGGCATCTCAGTAGGCTGAAATCCTACTAGCGCAGGTGATTGATTCATACTAAAGATATAGTTCGCGCCCTAGATACATGTATTAGTAGCAGTGTTGAAGACATAACGTGGAGTTCAAGAAATAGTTGTCGAGTCATTATTCGTAGTTCTATGATACATGGAAACGTAAAATCACTCATTGGCCACGTCAAAACATGTCCCAGAGATTCGGGAACAACTCATCAACCATCGGAACATCAGACGACATCATCAACTGCTGGAACTCCGGGACCGTCGCCGAAGGACTGTCGGCAGTCTGCAAACGCTCCACAACCTCGGCGTACTGAGCCAAGCACAGGTCACCCAGATCCCATCCCGATTCCTGTTGGTGAGACTGCAAAGAGTCGATCAAATTCTTTGCCAGCTTGAGGGATGCGCTCTGAGCCAGACCACCAGCGGTATTCTCAGTTTCGAGAGCGCATCGCAAGAGAAACGTCATGGCCGACGTGAACGCGAACGCGCTGACCGGCAGCCAAAAGTCGCTGAGATGGATTTCTTCGAGCTCCTGCACAAGGAGAACGATTTCCTCTGCAGCGCGGCGAACTTGAATGTATCGGTTCGTCAGTGCGTCGCCCGGAACCGTGTCCTCCTGCTTCTCCATGTCGAGCTCGATCCTTCTGCGGAGTAGCTTCGTCGATAGATAGGCTAGTCTCAGGTTCGCCGCGCCGGGGATGTGCAAATTGTTTCCGCGGGTAATGATTCTCCTGACGTCGTCACTCAAGGAATCCTCCCACTGGCCGAGGCTTAGCTCTAGGTCGAGGGACGTTTGACTGCTATCTTGGTCCCGCCCCTGGTTGAGGTCATAGACGTGCTCCAAATATTTGTCGAGAACCCCGGTCAGAGTGACCAATCCGATAAAGACAGAAGCGGCCGCAATCTGAGCCTCGCTTGCATCTTTCCCGGTGAGATACTCCAGGGTAGGATCAGGTACATCGTACTGATAGCGCTTGATCTGAGGCGGCGTTCCGTAGGCTAGGCTCAACCTGCACATCAGGTTAGTCATATTCAAGGCTATTATCGGTGGTTGACTCACCATTTGTCATGTACAACAAGTGCCCACCAGATCTTCATCCGCAAAGACTTTTCCGGCATAGAGATGTTCCAATCTACGGGGTCTCTGTTCAGACCTAGTGATTGAGCGAGTGAAATAGCGGCGCCGAGCTGGATCTCATTCATAATCATGGAAGTAGTCGGTCTGCCCCCCACGTTGAGAATTATGGCAATAATGGTGGATATTCCCGGTGAAATATGAAGTTCGGAAAACAAGGTTTCTGTTGCTTGGTTCCAGATAAACCGGGAGTCGGGACAGTACTGCGAGGGCAACTCTGGACTTGATTTCCAAAAGATCATGGAGTGTGCGTAAAGGACAGACAAGAGCGCAGGCGAAATCCTGTCCCTTGCGGTATTGAACTGGTGTTTGAACGAAACTTCATCCAGAAGAGGAAAACATATGTTGACCTTTTGGAAGTAACTGCAAAGGACCTAGTGAGCAACAGATCTAGTCTCCACCTATGCTTGTGCTGGTGACTTTTGGCCAGTACCACATGGACACATCGAATTCAGGCAGGACAACCTCCACCTGAGAACCCATTTTGAACTTACAGGTCTATCAACGTTGAAGTCCACGGCTCCAACATCTTTTCAACAATCTGGTACTTTTGCAACGGTGCCGTCTGTCTCGGTGAAAGACCATATGGACGCTTACGAACCGCCGTAAAGATGACTGGCTTCCGGATGCCACCCGCCATTGTAGGACGCGGCATCTGGCCCACTTGGGACCCTGGCTTCGGTTTTACCACACGAATCATCCGTTCGTGGATGCTTGGCTCAGAACTCAGGTAGTCGGCCAACACCTGAGTGTCGTTTGTGACAGCCGGGCCAATGATGTGTGAGTTGTCTTCGTCTTCCGGGCTGTCCAGTGCCAGCATCAGATGGGGGTTATGCGGATCAAGCACAACCTTGGGGCCCGAGCTGGACGTCGTGCTTGTTGGTGGAGACGACGATGGCCGTAATCCGCCGCTCTGGGGTACATGCACCTTGGCCGACACGAGAGGCTCCCGTCGACATGGCGTGTTGGACTGCGGGGGACGATAGGATTTCTGGACTTTTCCGGGGTTGAGCAGTGCGCGGCCTGCGCTGCGAGGCGAAGGTGGGAATTCGCAGTCCGTGCCGTAGACATGGCACATTTGACAGGTCGACGAAGTGATTCCCTCCTGCTGCTGGCATCTTGACTTGCGCCTCCGGCACTGCAAACAGGCTGGTCGCAGATGGGACCGGTAGGGCCGGGGCGTAGGCTGATCTGTTCCCGTGGACATGGTTGCGTGCTCGTGTTGGCGTTCAACGGACTGACCGATCCCAGGTTGGCTGGCTGGCTCGTGGTTTGCAAAGTCCGTTCATCGGCAGACCGACTCGGGGAAGTTTGAATGGGAGTTGTGTCTTTGATATTTCCCCGCGGAAAGGTCCACAACTACTATCATGGCTAAATCCCGATCAACTCACGCTAGCGCTGATAAGTTGTTAGTCAACGGCAACGCGCAAGCTGATAAGGCGGAGGTTCACCGAAATGTCCCCACTCAGTTCTTAACGGTCCATTCAACCGCTTCGGCGTCCAAATCTGCTCTCCGGTGTCATTGGTTTCCCGACAAATGGCAATGGTTGCACAGTGCCCACGGCAACTCCACTCCTTCACCATGACCCCATCTCAACGCGGGGAACCTCCACCAGACCCGGGACTCTTATCAGCAAATGTGTCCTGCTAGCTAGTAAGGACTACCGAGATATGACGCCTGGCTTGGGCAGAAAATATCGCCTGACATCTTATCTGTAGCCTATGCTGTCGGGAGCAGGCCGCCGTCTTAAGACATGTCGCTATCAGTTGGTCTCTTATCGAGTTGGGGGCACGGCCTCGGGTTGAGCCGACAGAGACAACGCCGGAAACCTTTTACCTATAGTCCGTAATACGAATGACAATGAATAAAAGGATAGTCCCGACCTTGGAATTTGCCGAACCGGGAAAGTCCCGACAACTCGCAATTATCCGAGCTCGCGACTCTTAACAATTTCGCTTGACATTGAAAGCCTCATGTATACAGCTACTTGCGTTTGCTGAATGCTTGCAAAGTAGCCATAGTAGTGTCCACATCGACCATCGCGTGCTTAAACACAACAACGACGACCCGCTCGCCCACTTCCCCGGACTCCACAATGGCCATTGAAGCTTCCATCAACGCAGAGCAACCCAGATCCAAGGACCTGGAGATTGCGGAGAAGCAAACTTCTCGTCCGGTTAGCATCGGCGAGGATCTCAAGGCTGGCCAGGTCGAGCTTCTCGACGAGGCCGAGATCTTTCTGCAGCAAAATGACCTGTCCCACGCGCATCTACGGGAGCTTATGGAAGACGAACAGGCCCAGAAAAAGCTCGTCCGCCGCGTAAGGCCTCGCTCTTCAGTCACATCAATGTTTCTTGATACTGATGCAGTGATTCAACTTACACTTGTAGATAGACCTGACGTTATTGCCCCTTCTCATGGGAACATATCTCCTTCAATACATCGACAAGCAGGCTCTGAGTTACGGTGCCGTCTTTGACCTCTTTGAAACAACCCATACTTCTCAAAGCCAGTATTCATGGCTCGCCAGTATTTTCTATTTCGCCTATCTTCTGGCAGAATGGCCGGCGAGTTACCTTGCTCAACACTTTCCCACCGGTACCGTTGTCAGCATCTTCGTCCTCTGCTGGGGAACCGTTCTCACCTGCACTGCCGCATCTCATAGTTTCGCCGGCCTGGCCGTCTGCCGCTTCCTCTTGGGTGCCTTTGAAGCTGTCATCACACCCTGCTTCATGATGATTGTCAGCATGTGGTATACCCGAGCAGAAGCGCCCATGCGCGCTGGGTCGTTCTACTGTTTCAACGGCTTCGGGTCCATGATTGGCGGCATTCTGTTTTATGGTGTCGGCCAGGCGGACGGATGGGATGTATGGAGGATCATCTTCATCATTTGCGGTGGCCTCACCGTCGTCTGGGGCATCGTTCTGTTCTTCTACCTGCCGAACAACATCATGACGGCCAAGCGATTCACTGTGGAAGAAAAGGCACTGCTTATTGCCCGCAGCCAGAGCAACAAGACTGGTGTCTTTAGCCGAAAGATCAAGCCGGCTCAGATCAAGGAAACGTTCAAGGACCTCCAGGTGTGGCTCCTGTTCTTCTACACCCTTCTCAACGAGATTGTCAACGGCGGCATCGCCAACTTTGGCAAACTCATTGTCAAGGGCTTCACAAAGGACGCTCTCTTAACGACTGCTTATGGGATTCCTTATGGTGCCTGGGTCGCCTTCTTCATCTTCACTGGTCCTTTTTGCGCTTCAAAGTTCAAGAACTTCCGGACAATTGTGATGATGACGTGGGTTTTGCCGACACTGGTTGCAGTGAGTCTGTTCTTGAAGCTGGATAGAGGCAACAAGAACGGGTTACTGATGGCTTACTACATTGTAAGGAATGAATTTTGACCTTTGAATGTATGATTCTAACACGGTTCGCAGAGTCCCTCCTTTGTCGGCGCTCTCGTCGTTGCACTCCAGATGCCGGCTGCCAACGTTGCAGGTTATACCAAGCGCGTGACATCGACAGCCTTGGTTTTCCTAGCATATTGTGTTGGAAATATTATAGGTCCACAAGCCTTTCTCGCGTCGGAAGCGCCCATCTACGGCACTGGTTGCAAGGTTATCATGGGTTGCACTGCCGGACAAGTCGTGTTGGCTATCGCGATACGACTGCTGTTGATCAGGAGGAACAAGCAGAGGGATGCTGAGGCAGCGTCTGATAGTCAGAGTGCCGCAGATGCGTCTGATGAGGTTCTCATGGACTTGACAGATTTTGAGAATAGGAAGTTCAGGTATTCTCATTAGTATTAGCTGAAGGAGAAACAAAGAAAGTACGAACATCATCTTTGGTAGCAGTAAGAGGCGAAATAATAGGATGTCTCCTTACTCTAGTCCAGTTGTAGACCGTTGTCTGCGATCTATCGGGTGCTGCCACCTTCATTGGCTGAGGACAAGTGTACCACTCAATGAAGAGTAATTCAGTGTTTTAGCTCTATCTATGTCCACAAGTATTCATACATTGCTGGTTTCTTCGCTTTGAAATCATGCACCAACGTGCCTCATTCTGTCAAATTCCGGTACTCGGAACTCCCAATTAAACCAGACCGACTCAACACCCAACGACTTGGACTTTGGAGCGGGATACTGGTAAAGGAAAATTCGATCTCATCTTTTCTCCTCGCTGTGTTGTGGGCAGAATACTCTTTTTGCGAAGATGCCAAGGCATCGAGCTCGTTTTCATCCCACATAGCCCGGAGGCTTACCCTTCAATGAGGCTAGGCGCCTTCCACCCCTGGCTGACGAAAAGATCATAGGTAAGTTAGTCCATCCCAACGTTGGTATTTGATGATCCAGCCTTGAGGAGAATGACGAGTCAGCCATGCGCTCGTACCCATGGCCTAGACGGAATCGCGTGCTCTTTTGTGTTGAGACACACGATAGTAGTGACAGGGCGTCGCCGAAGCACATGAACTCGCAAGGCAGCTCTTGATCCGCTGTAAAAGCCTAACGTGGCGAAGACACCAGCGTACTACTCTTGGTTCGGACCAGGTAAAGCAAGCTTGGTAACGCACCTCCATGAAGTCGGAGCGGCTTTGAAAGTGTGCGTTAAGGGAAGTTGCTGCAAGTGTCAGCACTGGCTACTAAAATCCGGCAGGACATAGGGCCTAGACTGAACTGGATTTTTGCACAGGAGCCGGGGCTTCAGGCGTATGCGACCCCCGTGCCGGATGAAAATTGACTGTTCAGATTTATTCTAATGTCTATAACAAGGCTTAGCGAGAAAGCATTCGTAATACAGTCCAAGACTAGCGCAGTCCATGTAGGCCCCGACAACCCACCCGAAGCATGAAATGCCATCATCTACAACTTCGCGACTCCAAACCCGTTCTGCTTAGCCCGTCCGAGCAGACCTCGTGAGATGTCCTTTAGTTTTGGTGTTCCCATGAGCGCCATTGCCCTCGTCAACTCTCTCTCGAGGATATTGAGAACGCCCTCGACTCCCTTCTGACCATCCCACGCCAATCCCCACAACGCAGTCCTGCCAATGAGAACGAGGTCGGCGCCGAGGGCAAGGGCTTTGAACACATCAGTTCCCCGCGTGATGCCACCATCAACAATCACCGGGATCCTGCCTCGCACGGCATCTGTGATCTCAGGCAACGCTTCGATAGTCGACGGTACGCCATCAAGTTGGCGGCCACCGTGGTTCGACACAACAATGGCGTCTACACCAGCCTCTACCGATCTCTGAGCATCTTCTGCCGTTAAGATGCCCTTGAGGACAATCTTCATCTTGGTTTGCGACCGTAGCCAAGGAATGACCTCGTTCCACTCCAAGCTGGCGTTGACGAGATGATCGTGGTTCTCTTCTTGGATCTTCTTGTACTCCGCCATTGTCTTGGCACGCAAGAGCAGGCCGGCTGTGGAAATGGCGCCCGACTTGCGCGACTCCACGTTGGCCATTGCGATTCCCGGTGGCAGCTCCAGCGGCGTTCTCCGTTCTTGCAAGCGGTTGCCCAAGATTACTGTGTCGACAGTCAGGACGAGGGCCTCGTAGCCTGCGTTCTCGGCCCTCTTGATCAGCTTTGCCGTGAGGTCGCGGCTGCCGAGAAAGTAGAGCTGGAACCAGGGACGAGGGTAATCGGGGCCGCGCTGAGGGATCGCTGCGGAGACATCTTCGAGGGACGTTGTCGCGTTGCTTGACAGCGTGAGGTTGGTTCCGAGGTTGAATGCGGCGCGGGCGACGTCGAGCTCACCCTCTCCGCCGACGAGTTTTTGGTAGGCGCTCGGGGCGATGGCGATGGGGATAGCGTAGCGTTTGCCAAAAATGGTGGTCGAGGTATCAATGTCGCTCACGTTGCGGAGCATTTGAGGTCGGAGGAGGATGCTGCACGCGACAACCGATGGTCAGAATGCTAATCAGCCAGGAAAATTCTAGGGGATGCGGCCCACTCATTGAAGGCTTCATGATTGCGCGCAAGTGTGTACTCGTCATCGGCGCCGGTCTGGTAGTAATCCCATACTGGCTTGGCGAGCTTCTCCTTCGCAATCTTGTGGACGTCGGCGATGTTCACCGGCTCCGGGTTTGGCTCTTTAATAAGGGTCATTGTGCCTGGACAACTACGTTTTCTTGGTGGTGCTGACTAGCAAAGACAGGGTCTTGGGCAAGAGCTTATGGTCGTCGAAGATCAAGCAAGGACAGCCCGATCTGCCTCAGAAGATGGGCCATGGAGCTTTATCCAGTTGGCCGAGGTACGGTCCGATCTCGGGGCCACGATGGATCGCGTCACTCGGTGCAAGCTCCGTATCCGCCCGGCGGTCTCATGAACCGCTGCAAGTTGCTCAATCCATTCGAGAGCGGATGAACTAACCTCAACCGTGACCCGTCAGAACGGATCGGTACCAAACAGGAGGAAGTTTGTGCTTCAGCATTCGTATTGGAGCTTGATTTAACGTCATACTTGCTCAGCATTGGCGAATTAACCCTGCCTGTCATGGAGCTTTCCTTGCTAGAGGATAGCTGCTTGTGGGTGTGGGTTCATTGGTCCTCTCGGGATTTTAGCCTCTCTTGGAGTCTGGAGTCGAGACCCCAACAATCCCTTTCTCGTCTGTGCTCAGAAGCCCATATCCATCCAGAAACTTTATTAGAGCCTGGGATCGAGTCCCCAACATCTCAAGCTCCTGATCAAAGCGGAGTAGGAGGACGTCCTCCCAGAAATCTATGTGTGTCTCACTCTTGGGGGCCGAGTGCCCGAATGACTCTTTTCGCGATAGCAATACAACTCTTACTAGGCTCGTTCCCCTCGATCGCGGGGGATCCAGCAATGCTGATCAAGTAGCACCGCCGCCCGCGTCATGTCCTTGAATCTGTGGCATCTTGCGGACCAAAGCTGGGATTCGAAACCTACTTGTTCAATGTGTTTTTCATGTTATAATATAGGTGTAAAAGGTGTTCCAGTGAAAAATACAATCTGGCATTATTGCCTAGGCTGTCATCGGAATTTAAGTATCTCAAAGGTCCAGTCTGCAGCCTACATTCTCGAAGGTGCCATCCAAGTCTAACGGAAGCGGATACCAATGCTACACTCGGAGGTAAGAAAGCTTTCCTCCGCACGAAGTCAGAGACCCAAAGACTTACAAATGACTTACCCCATCTTCCCAGAACAATCGAAGTATTCGGTTTGAATTGGTGAGACCTTGTGCGACGGGCTCCAAATTGTGGTGTGTAATTGTACATGTAGCCACCGCCCTGGAAGCGAAATCTCCATGGCCAATGATATTTAGATCCAAGCTAACAAGGAAGCAGATTTCAAATCAACCTACTCCAAGCTACTTCTGGCTCTTCCATGGTCGGACGTAGTTGTTCGGGACAGGTACGTCGTGCAAGCCTCAAAACTAAGCTTAGCTAAATGTTGCAATACTTGGGGAAGCTCTCTGCTCCTCCGCGCCGGACAAGCTGCCGGTGTAAGCGGGGACCTGGTATAGGCTGGAGCCACGTCGTAAGCAGCCTGAGTCGCGACCGTGCCGAAACCGAATAAGCGCTAAACTTCAGAGAGTCGCCTATCTCCAGTCCCCGTCGTCATAGAACCCGGTGGAGAAGCATTTGTCAGCCCAATCAAATTAGCAATACCCTTCTCAACTTCACATTCCTAGGAGTTGTCTCGGCGATTGCAACATCGCGGATCCTATATATACTGTGCTCCTTTGCAACCCAGGCTGCCAACACTTTTCTAAGCTACCGTCACAATCAACTCCACTTTCAATTTGATCTCATCGCCCATACTCGCCTATTCACAATGGCTGCAGCACGTCCCACAGGTCTCATCGCCAAGAAGGGCATTGAGCTCTTGACTTTCGGTAAGGCCTGCATGCGAGACACTATAAATAGGTTATAGAGACCATGCTAATCAATTGTAGGCACTCCGAACGGCTACAAGGCCAGCATCATCTTGGAAGAGCTGAAGGAAGCTTACGGGCTCCCTTTTGTGGTCCAGAGCATCAACATCATGCAAAACATCCAGAAGGAGCCGTGGTTCACATCGCTCAACCCCAATGGCCGCATCCCTGTCATCGTGGACCATGACAACGAGCAGCTTGCTGTATTTGAGGGCAATGCTATCCTCAGCTATCTGACGCGGAAGTACGATACTGAGCACAAGTTCTCATTCGCCTTCTCAGACAACGACTATACGCGAGCTGAATCTTGGGTTGGCTGGCAACACGGTGGACTGGGTCCCATGTGAGTTCGCCCCATTCCTTTTAGATACAGCTTCAGATCAAAGACGTTAATGGCCGTCTTTCAATCAGGCAAGGTCAAGCGAACCACTTTGTCAGATTCTCCAAAGAGAGAATCCCTTACCCTACGCAGCGCTACGTCGGCGAGACGGAGAGACTCTTTGGCGTCTTGAACACGCACCTCGCCGAGCGGGACTTTGTCGTTGGCCCAGACCGCGGGCGGTACAGCATCGCTGATATCTCAATGATCGGATGGGTTCAGGGAGCCCCCATGGCCGGTGTGGATATTTACCAGTTCCCGAACGTCAAGGCTTGGTTGGACAGGTGCTATGAGAGGCCTGCTGTTCAGAGAGGCATTCAGATCCCCAGTTCTCCATACATGTCCATCGCTAGTATGGAGCAAAGATTGAAGGAGGAGAAGGATCTTGTCGAGAGTGAAGCCGAAGTCAGGAAGCAGGTTGACGATGCTAAGAAGGCTTACGGATACGTTTACACGTCGCCATAGATATATGAGGAAAAAATGTAGGCCGTCTTTGACCTTTGTATCGTAGGAAGTGTTGGGTAAGACTTTTGTAATAGGAAAGGACTAGTCACCAGGAGGGTACTTCGAATAGACGAAAAGACTGTCCAGGCATAATCCCCAACCCGTCGTTCTGGCCTCGGCGGCCTCTGGGCTTTACGAAAGTACATGTATACTTAGCCAGTAAACCCTCCCAAATATTTAGGGACCCTTTTCTGTTGAATTCTAAATTCTATGAGAAAATAGACTGTCGGGCTGGCGGCAATTCGGTGGAAGTAATATTAAAGGAAACTACATCATGGCGATGGGATTGGAAACCAAGTTCCCTGAGAAAGTCCGATTCCGACCGCTCAAATTACAGGGGTTCCAGATCCAGGCCAGAAGGCGCATTGTTTATGTGGATACCTTGATCCACGACAGAGTTTGTGGCTGGAATGACAAAAGCAGGTACATCGATGCAAACTTGTCCGGTTGAGGCCTGATAGACCTTGATCACTCATCAACCAAGGTCATTATCTACCTTCCACTGCTACCAACGCTTCGGGTCGTGGCTCAGCTTCAAGTTCAAAGAAGTACAATAGAGATGGAAACGTACGTGGAATCGTCTTAGATTCAAAAAAATAACTCGGATCCTGACACGCAACGAGTGATTCATGCTAACTTGCCGATTTGAGATGACTTCATGAGACGTGAGCTTTGGACTGGTTCATCAAATATATATGAAAGTCCGGAGGGGAGATGTTATACTTGGCAGGTGGATTCCATCATCAGCGCCATTATGCTGAGCAAAGAAGGAAAGCGCCGAAAACGAAGCTACATGTCTCCAACCCGTCCCGACGTGTCGGTTGCTGCTAACCGACGTGTATTCAACCAATCTTAGTCTACCCCGCTCAGAACGTCTCATTAACTAAACAAATCTTTCCACATTTCCTTGAAGCCATAGTGGGGAGCCCTTGAATCGTATATCCTGGCCGATTTTCCCTCCTTGCTAAACCGGTCAAAGATTGTGACTTGGCCGCCCCCTGCTGCTTCAAATAACGTCTTTGTTGGCCTGGTGGCTCTCTCCCTGATAGTCTCCGCCACCAAAGGCGCGACATCCGCGTAGCAGGCCTTGAGTTCGCGCTCGAGCGAAAAATATGGTTTCTTGGCCAGCTCTGGCGCCATGAGGTTGTAAGAACGTGCGATCGCGTTGAGATTGTCGACGGCGAGCGTCATGTACGAACTTTCAGTTGCTAGCCAGTCAGAATCGCGAAAGGGTTGTACCAGAGGCCGAGCAGGCTCCGTCGATCTCGTCTCAGGTGTGGATTTGCCAGCGTTGTTGTCCTCTGCTGCCTGTTGACGCACCTTTGCCATCACAGGATCGTTCGTCACATTGGTGGGCACCGAGATGCTTTCGCTGTTTCTCTTGCGCGGATTATGGCGTTCCTCTGCGCGGGCATAGTCCTCGGCCAATTGCATCTTCTCCTCCAAGCTACCACCTTTAGACGAGATCATCCTCGCCACGTGCCTCCTCCAATCGTTGCGCAACCTCGCTCTAAACACACCAGCAGTCTTTGCCAGCTCTTGCTGCTTCTCTATCCACGGAGGAACAATCTCCTGCCTCTTGATCATCTTATTCATTATGTACTCGGTGGTGTCGATGAAGGGGTTGTCGGCTCTTGCGTCTCGTTCAACCCCTTTGCCACGAGGAATGTTCTTGAACTGCCCACGAGCAATCGCATCCTCTATTCTCTCGTTGGCCAGTGACTCGAGCCCTGATATTGTATTCGGTACGGCGCGAGCCGCTGCTCCAAACCGGTCGCGGAGCTCCTTTCTAAACTCTTCGCGTTCCTTGGCGCTCTGCCCGCTCTGATCCTTGAAACCCAGCCCAGTATACGTCGAGGCTTTTTCGCGAGCGTTGGCAGCCCGCTGGCTAGGGTGAAGCTTTGGATCCTGTCGTATACGCATATCCACGGGCGGGATCTGGAACTGGCCCCTCAGCTCGGGCTTGAGAGGCTTCTTCGCATCGTTGAGCATGCGCAGGACCGTATCGGACTGCGATTCGTCACCCGTCCAAGCCTGCGCAGCGGCCATTGAGCGCGTTCCCTCGCCCGCTGACGTGGGCATTTCGGCCTCTGCGAAGGCGGATGCGTATTGGGATCGGAACCTGGCGGTTTCGACCTTGTCGAGAAGCATCTGCTTCAGCTCTTCAGAGAATCCAGCGTCTTCGACAGCTTGACGCCCGCGCCGGCCACCCGTCAAAAGAGCTTCCTCTGTAGCTTCCTCGAGCTTGCGCGACATGGCGCCCTTCTCTTTTTCTGGCGTGTCCTTTCTGTGATCAGGTTTCGGGGCTTCGGAAGCTTCGGGGGACCGGTCGGACGTATAGAGTCGGCATCTCGCTGGTGTGTGGTGTTTGGTGCGCCAATTGGATAGGAGATGGCGTCCGCAGGCCAGCGGCGTTCGCAAAGTTCTAGTCGCCATGTTCAAGATTCCAGTCCTCGGTCGGCTTCGGAGGAGTGAACATGGTTGAGAGGGCGGGAGGATGGTCGCGAGGGTGTCAGGAATTGCCTTTCGCTTCGTGATGTCAACGAAAGGAAGAAAGTGGCGATTGCCGGAGTTAAGCACGGGCCAACTACCGAGCAGCCGATGGGTCCACCTTTCTACGGAGCATGATCGGGCTGGATCCATATTTCGGCCGGCAGGGACGGCGCTGACGCCGAAGTTTCTTCCAATCAGAACAAGCTTCTCTTCAGTGGAGATTTAAGGCAGTCAGTGGATGAACCGCCTTAATACTATGTCATGCGAATATTGAAAATCAGTCTCTTCAGGTGGCCATCCACTTGACGGATTAAACCATTAAGTACACCAAAAATGTGTCCATCTGGACGTTGAAGCTCTCACAGCACTCTTGTCTCTTATTCTCAAATGCGTCAAACATGGGCTTCGTGGTTTCACCCGGGGTCTTCTCTTATCTATTGACCCTTCGCTGGTCAACCTCGTCGGTGAATTCGTCCACCGGCATTCCAATAGCATCGCTGTTTTCCAAGTTTGGCTGATTCTTTGCATCATGCAGCTCCGTCTGGACAGCAGGCGGGTAAACTTCAATAATTTCCATCTTTGCTTCAGTTGCGATCTGAGTGCTAGGATGAAGCCATGAATGGCAGCATTTGAGCTGCTATAGTCTGGTTGGAGCACAGTTTCGTCAGGATGAGGCCGAGTTGTGAAGTCGTATGCAGCAGAGCTGTCTACTTATCTAGCTTTGAGAGGTGGGGTAGGAAGGCTTTGGTCAAATTAACGTGGGAGAGTTAGTTAGCCGGTAGCTCGTCGTGGATAATGTCCAAGCTGAGAGCTTTCGGCTTGGTAAAATCGATACCTCGCTGAAGTCCGGCGTTCAAGAAGACGCAATCGAGACCTGGTTACTCCTTGATGATGGAGACAACGAATTTTGGGATCTTTGATACAGATTCGGTCACATTCTCGGCAAAGTCGTTGCAATAAAATGCGGAATTACCAATTTGCTTAATCTACCTTGGGAATATCCATGACAGCTGCTCCAGCCTTGTTGGTGCCGTACTTGGTGACGAAGTGGTCGAGGTTTCCCTTTCTTCTGTCGACCGCAATGGCAAAAGGCCTATTCTGTACGAGTTTGTCCGCCAAGGCTGCAGAGATTTCTGATGTCGCTCCGACTTGTAAAACTTTCTGGTAGGACAGAGACATGGTGATTGAAAGAGGAAAGTCTGGATCCGGATTTGATGCGTGAGGTGTGTGGCTGAGACAAGTGATTGATATCTTCGTGGCCTATCATGCTTCAGACTGGGCTTAGGGCTACACTATTGCAGCACTTTATACTCGCTCATCTAAATCTTCTAAGAGTAAGGTAACTACATATAACCTCAGATGATTCCACAACATTTGTAAGCTTGTACTAGATCTATCAGCGCCAACCCTGCACGTAGAGTGAGGAGTCTACTAGAACCCTATCAAGAAGATTTTGGGCTGATCATGTAGATGAACCGGTCCGCTGGTGGTAGTGCGAGCTGTTTCAGTTCCCCTCCAGGTCCGACATCTCTGCCAGTCAGAGGTTCACAATCAGGCAGCTCGGATTCCCCCACACCACGCTATAAATTTGAATAGAGCGGTGGCCACCACCAGTGTCACTACGATTGGATAGAGACGTCATGTCGTTAGCTTTTCCCAGCCTGGTGAATGTAGTAAATCATTCCACGACACGCCTATTTCGCGCTGTGGCAGGTGAACTGTGATTCGTGTCGGTTTCCAGCCTCACTCTGCCGCAGCTTACTGATATCTGCTTCGGCGAACCACAATTTTCTAGTGTATACATCGCATTGCGGCGTAATTGATAGGATTTCCTACAATACTGCTAAGTCGGCAACCAGAAGAGGATAAATGAGATGCGAGCCTATAGCATCCCAACCAAGTAAGTAGTATGCTTACGTTGTTATAGTGTCAAATTTCAAGTTAGACCTATAGTAGAGGTTCGACAACACACACATATACGCACACATATCCTACAGTCTGCGGCCGTCTGCGGCCAGCAACTGATTCAAAACTAACTTATATTCTAAGCCAGCCAGCCTCACAAAAGTGAATTGATTAGCAGCAGGACTTGTGTTATGTATCCACACCTGACACAATATCTGCAAGCAATTCTAAGGTAGTTCAAGTCTCTTTTGACACCTGGTTCCATACCATGTCGAGTTTCCATGAGGACCGATAAGCGTTCGATGCCCTGATGTGAAAAATCATGTTTCAAGTCATCGGCTATGTGTTTAATCCTTTAGAACCTCCAATTTAATCATATTGTCCAAAGCCTTACAAGTCATAACTTGTTCGTGATTGAGATGTACAGAACCTCCGCTGTTGCCAGCACCTTGCCATTCTCATCCTCTACTTGCGCAGCAACGAAGTGTTTCCGGCCCTCGACCTTGGCTATCCTGGACCTCACTAAGACTGTTCCCGGCGCCGGAACGGGCCCGCGAAATGATGTGTTCAAGTACCCGGTTCTGAAGTCTTTGTTGGGCTCGGCTCCTGTCGGTCTCTGTGCGACAATGTGTATACCCGTGACTTCGTCCAGCACCAAGGCAACGACACCTCCGTGTGCCGTATCGGGAAACCCAATCGTGCCATGGTCGAAGGTGATGAGGGAGCACAACTCATCGACTTTCCAATCGGGGCCCTGCGGCTTTGGGTGTATGATCAACCATGCTTTGATGGTTTCTGGTGTGTTGAGAGTCCCGCCAACGTATGAGTTTTCTCTTGTCGGGAGGACTGTTCTGTTTTGGGAGACTTGGACTACGTGGGAGGCAGTGTCGGATTGGCTGAGGATTTTTGCGCACCATGGGATGGACGCGAAGTGCTTGTAATCTGGATGCAACTTGACATTGTCGCCAGTCATGGTGGGCGAGTCGACAGCTGGGCGATAAGCTGAGCGCGAAAGGTTGATGGCAGGATTGCAATTCCGACGTGAGGGGACCGATCCCGGTACCTCGGATTCGGATAGTTGAGGTGGGTCTTACGACGCACCCGAGGTAGTTGAACTTGAGCGGAAACTAGCGCAGGGGTTGGATGGCCCCGTCAAGTCCTCGGAAGTTGCCAAGCTGAGAGAATGCAAGTTGAAGCTTATCCACGTAGTAGAGCTAGGACTTAAGGCGTGAAGCTTTTCGGGCATTATTTCTGCATTTCATTCTACAGGCTCTCAGTGACAGATCAGACGACACGTGGACGCCCCGTCCGCTAGCGCCCTTGACTCGCACCGCAATCATGCCATGCTACCGAGCATCAAACCTTCGCGGAAAACGGCTACAGAAAGTTCACGTTCTAGACAACCGCAGCAGTCATACAAATCATGAAGAAGACGGGCCAATGCTACAAAGACCGGGTTTAGGCTTGTTGCATTTTCTGGATTTCCGTGGCCGGATCCAGGCCTTGGCTTAGAGTCTTGCGCCTCGATCGGAAACTCGCTTGTGTTCCTCGCGCCATGCGAGATCGCTCAGGATCTCCTCGCTACCACCCCCAATGATTTTCAAGCGGAGATCCCGAGAAATTTGCTCCGTCATGGTCACCCCCTTTTCGAAGCCTAACCCGCCGTGTACCTGCTGACTCTCTCTAACGGCTTGCTCAACGACCCTGCCACCTTGGATCTTCGCCAGCGCGATTCTGCTCGCGACATCTTTCGTTTGCCAGCCGTGGATATAAATGTGATATGCAATCTGCTCCAGCCATGCCCAGTGGCCCTCAATCTCGTGGGCAAGCGTCGTGAGCTTATGCCGGATGATCTGGTTGGAGGCGAGAGGCTTCCCAAAGGTCTCTCGATCATGTGCGTGCTGTAGTGCCTCGGAAAGACATATACGAGCTTGTCTGTTGCAGTCAACCGTGAGGATGAAACGCTCCTTGTTGAAATTGCGCATGATGATGGGAAACGCCCGGTTCTCTTCGCCCAGCAGGTGGTCAGTCGGGACCATTACGTCTTCCAACACAACCCAAGACGAACCACCGGCGTTGTGACCAGAATTATGGATCTTCCTCATCGTGATTCCCGGTAGGTTGAGAGGCACGACCAACAGTGAGATACCGCTCCGCCCTGGCTCACCCGTTCGGATAGCGGTGGTCATGTGTGTTGCCCAAGGTGCCCCCGTAACCCACTTCTTGCGGGCGTTGACGATGTAATGGGTGCCATCCGCGGTCTTCTCCGCAGTGGCTCGGATGGCGCTCACGTCGCTGCCGGCTGTCGGCTCGGTGATGGCAAGGCAGAAGCTGGTTTCCCAGGTAAATAGTCCAGGAAGCCATCGTCTCTTCTGCTCCTCGGTACCCGCAGCCAAGATGGGCGGCGCGCCCACATTCGAAGCTCCTGCTAAAGCGAGAGGAACCCCACTGGGTATGCGGGCCATCTCGTCCATCAGAATCAGCTCATGGAAGACGTCCAGCTCATCAAAGGGGATGCCTGCGATAGTCATGAGCTCCCTGGGCCGGTACTCTTTGGGAACGTCGAGGAAAGCAAGACCGGACTTGGCAAACTTCAACCTCGCTGATAGAGGGGCTCTCCCGGCTGCCTCCCATTCTTGCGCGTGGGGAAGCAAGTGCGTGTCGACAAAGTCCCGCACATAAGCTTGGAACTGCCGGTGAGAGTCATTGTAGTAGGGACTTTTGAGGGCATGGAACCACGCCGGTTCGCCCCATCTGTAACTCGTGTTAGATGGTAACTCGGGTAGAGGGGGAGAGGACTGGAGGGAGGGATCGGGGTAGTACGGAGTGAGTACGCCTATCGCCTTGTGTTCGTTGCCAGGACCGGCCTGCCTTGATCTATGAGCGGCTGTCTCGGGCATGTTGCGATTTCGTTACTAGTTTTGCTGCACAACGCAACCGTCGTTGTGGGGATTTAGTGATGATTGGGGATCTGTGTGCGTGGGGCATGAGGCTAACAATCGAATTGGAGCTGGTCCTTGAGAGAACTTGGGGGTACTTTTGTTGAAATTTCAGGCGGGGGATATGGCGCGGGAGATGAGGTTGCAGCCAAAGGACTTTTATGCTATAAACTTTGCCATTGCAGAGGAGCACTTTCACGTGAAGTTTGTGTCAGACCTGACCAGTTCATTTGTTCAAGTTGGCGCGAGTCAAGTCAGCAGAGAATACATGTAACACGATTACTCTATTCAGCCGCTTCCGCTGGGCTCCGCTTTATCTAAAGAGGTGTTGGTCCGTTCATCCGGGGGTGCAGAGAGACAACCCACGGGGTCCTTACAAAGTCCGGGGCTCTGGATCCAATTCCGTACTAGGCGTCTATAAGCCCCAAGCAAGAGCGCATGCCTGGCGTGATTTACGACCAATGCATCGCAACGAGGGAAAAAGCTTGTTTCAATGACAATCCCAGTTATCCGGATGTGGAGAGCCCACGACTCGTTGTGTTCTAGGGGACCCTTTGACGACAAGGGAGATCCTCCAGTTCCTTTAGGCTTTGGTGCAACAATGTACTCTGTCAATGTACTATATCCTACTTGGCAAGTCTTATGATTGTATCATTGACTAAACGCTAAGCTACAAAGTAGTCGACCGAAGATCCTGTACTTCGACTATCTTTCCACTTCTTGGGTTGACAGCAAGTTCCTGCACGGTGACAAACTTAATCCGTAACGGGTTGATAAGGTCCTTCTCTACGTGTTCCCGAAACATGGGCCGCATCATGCCCAGCTTTTCTCCCAGTTCTGCCTGCAGCTGCAAACTCTCCTCATCGGTAGCCGGCGTAAAGGCGACGTTCAGGGTCAAAAGATCTTTTCTGTCTTCTCTCGTGACGATGGCTTGCAAGCGCCCGACCGGACGGTCTCCGAGGACCGTGGAAACGATCCGTCGGAGGTCCAGAAAGTCGACGGAAACAGGGCCGAGGCGGATGGCCGTGCGGTCCCTGTCGAGGACGCGGAAGAGGCCTAGACCTGGGTCAACCCACGCGGCCCGATCGCCAGACGGGTATCGAACGATGGGCATCAGCTTGCGCTCCAGGTTTGTCACGACCAGGCTACCCACCTCCCCTGGGGCAGTTGTGACCTCACCGTCTTCGGTGATGATCTCCACGATTATGTTGGGGTCGTTGACTTCGTGGAGCCTGGGGTCGTTTGTGTAATGCTCTTGCTTCGGCGGCAACCCGATGACGCCGCAGTCCATAGATCCGTAGACAAGTGACCTGATAGTTGCGTTTGGGAAGGCGGCTTTCAGTAACCGGGCCTGATCGTCGTAGAATGCCTCGCCCGAAAAGAGCAGCAAGCGAACATAAGGGAGCGTCTTCCCACTAACGAGTATGCATTCTGAGAGTTGCGACATGGTAGTCACCGTAGCGAGGACGACTGTTGCTTCAAACTCAACAATCTGTCTCTCCATGGACTCCAAAGAAACGTGTCCAGCCACGGGAAGCTGAATAGCGCCGCTTGGAAGATAATAGACAGAGAGGATGTGCAACAAGAAGCTACCATAGAGATCACCGGCGTAGAATAGGTTGGCAACCATGTCTTCTTCACCGACTCCGCAGCGTTCCAAGCTCTCTGCTAGTTGAGTCGAGACGCCATGGAGTTCCTTCTGGCTGTAAAACGACACTTTGGGATGTGCGGTTGTGCCTGAGAAAGGGTTCAGCTGGTGCTTGAAATGGCTGTTGGGAATGACTCACCTCCAGTTTTGAAAACAATGCCATCCTTTTGCTTTGATGTGACAACCTTACTATTCCGACATGTGTTTGATGCCCAGAAAGACTCATGGTCTACAATGGGCAAGTCCGTCAAAGACACTGACTGATCTTCAAGAGTCTCACCCAACTTCCAGAACTGGGCGTAATACGGAGAATTCAATTTCACAAACTTAATGAAGTCTGCGAGATTTCTGGACGTGCTCCTGTTGTCTATGGAGAGCGTCATGATGTTGATGTTGATGGTGCATCTGAATTCTGCGATGCTGCGGGTTCAATTCCAATTGCGAGCTTCAAATTATAAGTACGCAATGAGAACGCGTAGGCAGCGGCCACGCTGCGACTACCGCTCATATCTGCATCGTCGACATAAACCTCACCGATAAACGGAAAACGGCACGGCAACATCAACCTCTCGGGGTTGGTTACTCCCTAGATCCTCGCCGTCGGGTCTCCCTCTTGCACATCTTGCAAGTCCCACATTGCGTCCTCAATGTAGACTCGATGTAGATCAAATAAAGTTTGGCCTTGCGGGGGGTCACGACGGCTTTGAATGAGGCAGGAGTTGCCAAATGAATAGTGCTTGGAATGTGAACGCAAGGGAAAGGGTTGCATCGAAATCCCGAGTCTCGGACCTCTGTTATCTCTGCGCATTTCTAGAATCCAAAACGAAGCCATTTAAGCTTTCGCGACTGCTTCCGTCCAACGGTGCGAATACTCGCAATCTGAACAGGACGTGCGCCGAGGCTTCCGCTAACATTACCTTGCGCTCAGGCCTGGCGTCGCTAGATTGACAAAGATCCTAGATTGTGGCTGGCAATGCAAGCAATGCTCAGCCACGGAGCTGGTCGAACTGGTTCGGTAAGCTCAAAAGGGGGCGCATTGGCACATGTCAAAGATCAAAGGGATACGTCCCTTTCTCCCGCAATCCTTCCCCCCTCTTTCCGTAAAGCCCCGAGTGGGACGCGACGTTACCGCACGGTCCCTTGCTTTGAACACTTGGGGGCGGCCTCTGAGTCTGGGCAATGAGGGGAGGGGGACTGGAGAAGATGGAGATGTGTCCCGAGATACCGTCGTTTGGCCAATGGAGTTTGTCGAAATGCCACTTGTCAACAAACGGGTTTGCAGGGTCCTGCGTGGTTTTACCAACTTCTTCGTTGTCTTGGAACTCCACGTTAAACGAGATTCAAGCTCCAACACACACAGTGGGTGTCATTTCCCACAGCGAATCTGAGAACAAGGGGTGCAAAAGTGTTGGGGTTGAGAACCTTTGTGTGGGTTTTTCCAAGACTTCTGTTATCCGCACGTGGAACCGGACCCTTGGATTACTTTTACGACTAGGCCAGATTGCGTTTAGTTCTGTTTAAGCGACGGAATCTCTTCTTGAACGTGCTAGGATCTTGCAGCAGATTAGATCCGCGGTTCTCAACACCTGCCCCCCAGATACGGCGGCTCACCGCCCAGGGGCCAGGGCAACGCTAGATGCCTCTTTGATTGTTTCACTTTACGGCACGAGTACCGAGGGATCTGCTAGAACTGGAACTTCGGCCACGAGGCTGCAGTAGCGAGGGAGAGACTGAGACACTCTTCAACAGGCGCCGACTTGGCTTTGTGCTCGACGTGTGGCTGTCATCGTCTGTCATCATCGAGTCATGGAATACGCCCAGCCCGAGGCTCTGCGATGCTTTGGGGCAAGCCACAAGGTTAGACCTGGTGGCGAGTCACGTCTCGAGGCGGTCTCGAACAATTCCAAACACTGGACAATTGGCAACCGTAATCAAATTTTCTGCCGCCCATTCGCCAATGCATGTGGGCAAGGCAAGGTAACTTTGCAAGGGAAGGGGGAAAAGCAGTCCAGGCTGTTTGGACCCCTATTCCATGGATCGTCTCTCACCCTGGATAACGGCCCACCTTTAATTGCTGCCGCTCCTGAGAAGAAAAATGGGACAAGGAGACACGTCTTGTTGGCGGTCTGCTACCCGTGTCCCTTGTGAAGTCTGAACCTTTTTGTCTTTTTCCTAACCTCGGGCACCCGAGAAAATTTCACCCTTTTCCCCCGTCCTCTTAGCTTCAGCTTCTTTCTGGTCGATTTCTTTACTCATCCATAATACGTGCGGCCCTGAGTTTATTGTCCCTTCCCTTTCGTTCATCTCATATCCATTGAGCAATATAGAGGGTGATCCCAAACAAATCTGGTTTGCACCTTATTACAGACAATGGCGACCAAACGTGCCTCGACTACCGTGGTGGTCGAGAAACCCCAGCAGGTTAGTAATCGGCAAACACCGTCCCGAATCGCCGCCATCGATCTCGGTGAACGATCATCGATCACTGACCGTCCTCACAGAAGACCAATGAGCCTGTCTTCCCTGACATTCAGACCATCAGAGATGCCATCCCGGCTCACTGCTTTGAGCCTTCGCTCGTGACGTCCTACTACTATGTCGTCCGTGACCTCACCATGGTCGCCGGCCTCGTCTGGGCCGCTCTTACCTACATCCCCGCCATCCAGGATCCCATCCTGCGCGCCACGGCTTGGATGGTCTACGGCTTCGTCCAGGGTCTTATCTGTACTGGTGTCTGGATTCTCGGCCACGAGTGCGGCCACGGCGCCTTCTCCAAGAGCGACAAGGTGAACAACATCACCGGCTGGGCCCTTCACTCCTTCCTCCTCGTTCCCTACTTCTCATGGAAGTTCTCTCACCATCGCCACCACCGCTTCACCGGCCACATGAAGAAGGATATGGCCTTCGTCCCCGCCACTGAGCCCAAGCCCTCCAAGAAACCCTTGTTCGGAAGCATCGACGTCCACGAGCTCTTCGAGGACACCCCCATTGCCCAGGCCTTCAACCTGCTCACCCACCAGCTCTTCGGGTGGCAGGCGTACCTCTTCTTCAATGCCACGGCCGGCAAGGGTAGCTTGCAGCACGAGGTCAGCGGTCTCGGACGTTGGTTGGGCGTCAGCCACTTCAGCCCCACCAGTGCCGTCTTCCGTCCCAATGAGGCCATCTTCATCGCCATCTCTGATCTTGGTCTGGCCATCACCTTCTCCGCCCTGTATTATGCTTCCACCATCCTCGACGTCTCCACTGTCATGCTCCTCTACGCGGTCCCCTACTTCTGGGTCCACCACTGGCTCGGTACGCAACCCCTCCCCCTCATTTTTGATCCTTGAAGCTGGCCTTGAAGTTTCGTACGCAAATGTGTTTCCAATAGCGCTAAATTACCCCCTCAGTTGCCATCACCTACCTCCACCACAACCACCCTGAGGTCCACCACTACACCGAGGAGGGCTGGACCTTCGTCAAGGGTGCCATTGCCACCGTTGACCGCGAGTTCGGCTTCATTGGCAAGCATCTCTTCCACGGTATCATCGAGAAGCACGTTGTCCACCACCTTTTCCCGTAAGATTTACCCTCAGCCTCCAGAATCACCTGAACCTGTGCTAACTAGACCCAGTCGCATTCCTTTCTACAAGGCTGATGAGGCTACTGAGGCTATCAAGCCTATTCTCGGTGATCTGTACAACCACGATGACCGCAGCTTCCTGGGCCAGCTCTGGTCCGTTTTCGGCACGCTCAAGTACGTTGAGCATGACCCCAATTTCCCCGGTGCCATGAGATGGGCCAAATAGAGGGTGGTTGCTGTCAAAAACAACAAGGTATTCTTTAGACGGACATAAAGAGACATAGAGGACATAGACCAATTTTTGGACCTAAAGACCGCAGGATCAAAGCTTGATAGAGCGGGGGCGCGTATGGAGTTTGAGGCGAGGGAATAGACCAAAACTTCTAGACCAATGGCAGGGCCAAGGCTCAGAATTCTTTTGAAACTGTAACTCCACCATGAACATGGCACAGTCTTGGCGTTTCTAAAGGTGTGAAGTATTAGAATTAGGTTTCTCGAGTTGACAGGCAATCAGCTCCAGAGCTGCAAAGTAGTGAATAGCCGACCTTCACATTTCCAAATAACAATTGGCTTCGGATAAGGGTACCTACTGAAAATGAGTAATGTAGGAATTATACTCGGACAGAGTTTACACCAAACACATTAGGCTCGGGGCAGCAGTGCAACCCACCTCCCATGTTCCTGTTCAACTAGCTTGACACCCGGTTTCCAGCCAAGGGGGAGCCTAGTCAGTCATTGGATTGTCCCCTTCTGGACCTTCCGGTTCGCGCTTAGGCAATCTCTCGGATGTCACGTTGATCAACTTGCTTGTTCCCAGGCGAAAAGAAAAGCGGAAGAGCCCAGCTTACTGGGCCTCCCATCGTTTAGCTAATATAACAGAGTTTACACATGTTGAAACACTGCGCGCAGCATCTCGCAGCCTGTCAATGGCTGCTTTCGATTGAGTCGTGTAATTCAGAGCATCTATCTTACGCAAGCTCAGCCACGCTTAACGCACCCGGCTCTGGTCTGGGTTGGCTTGCGCGACTTTCAGCAGAAAGCCCTGGAGAGGACAAGGGTCGATCTAGATTACGGAACAGCTCTTGTAGAATTCGTTTGCGTTCGTCTCGTATCAACCCGAGAAGAGGGCCCCGGTCTTGCGTCGAAGGAATAATCAGTCACTTCCTGTAAAAGCCCTTGATGTTCTTTTGTGCCCTTGTTGACTCCAACTTGTTATCTCATCATTTATCAGTCACTCAAATCATCGAAAAAAGCATCGCAAGAGTCTTTGCCCTGATCAAGACGATCAACAACGGTGGCATCATGGCGTCGGCTTACATTCTCGCCGTCTACTTTGTTGTAATTGTCTTTGCCGGCCTTCAACTTAAACAGAAAGTCAAAGCCCTCAAGTCTCCTCTGAGGAAACTCCCTGGGCCATGGTACGCTCCTCTGACCACATTGCATCTGCGCTATCTCTTCTCAACCGGCACCATCTGGAAGTTAGTTGAGAGAAGCCACAACAAGTATGGGTCTATTGTTCGACTCGGTCCTCGACAAGTCTGGATCTCCGACAAAGAGGCTATGAAGGAGATTTTGATCAAGACGGATCTTCCCAAAGTTGCCATGTATGCTGAAATCTCCAGAGATAAATTCAGCCCCGGGCTGTTTGGAGAGATGTAAGTGTAATTTTTCCTGCCCACAAAGATACCTGCGACGTGAGCCTAACCCAACGTCTCTGCAAAAAGTCGCCAAGAGCCACACAGGCGCCTCAAGCGTTTCCTATCTCCGGCGTTCACGGTTAACTATATCGATAACCTCGAAACATTCTTTAAGAGCACCGTTCGTGATGTTCTCAACAAGTACCAGACCCATATCAAGGAAGACCCGGTGTACAATGCCAAAAACGGTATCGAGGTTGACCTGATGGATGACCTTCATAACGTGGCCCTTGACATGTAAGCCAACAATTCCGCAGATGCTTCGCATTGTCTTGAGTGGCTTCTAAATTGAACATAGCATGGGAGAGTGTTCATTCGGAAAGGGATTTGGCCAAACCAACCCCGACAGCTTAATCGAAGATGGGGTTGATGAACGGATTTGGAAGTCTATTCCTCGCTCGATTTTCGATGGCCTTAGCAAGCGGTACCAGGTAAGTTCATCCTTCATAGTGTAAGCGATTAAGACGTAAAGTTCACCCCTTGAATGCTAACTTTAACAAAGTCTGTCTATGTCAAAAAGTTCTTCCGCGCTCTGGGAATCGACCTGCAGTTCGACTGGCCCGCGGAGATGATCACAGCAATCGACGCCGTCGTCCAACGACGCAAGCGCACCTCCGACGTCGAGCGCCGAGATCTTCTCCAACACCTCATCGAAGAAGGCAAAAAGCCCGACACCGGCACCAGCATGTCCGCGCGCGATATTGTCGACCAAATGGCCGAAATCCTCCTCGCCGGCTCCGAGACCACCTCCGGGACCATTGGCTGCCTCTTCCTCGAACTCGCCCGCAACCCCGACGTCCGCGCAAAACTTTTGGACTCTCTCCCATCCAAGGGCTTCAACGATGAAATCGTTACCAGTAAATCGGTCCGCAACGAGGAGGAATACGAGTATCTTGAGGCGTGCATCAAGGAGAACCTGCGCCTGCACCCCATCGCGTCGGAGATGGGTCGGCGCACCGGCAATCAGTGGGTTAATCTCTGTGGCTATGACCTGCCCCCTCACACCGTTGTGTCGGCTTCATACCGTGATCTTCACCGCAATGAGGCCGTATGGCCCCAGGCGGAGCGGTTCTGGCCTGAGAGATGGCTGCCAGAAGACAAGAGAGATGGGGCTCCCGCACCGGAGTGAGTCGCCTTTCCAGAGAAATACTCTTCGTACAAGATTTGACAAGGTCTCTAGTATGGACGCCTATTACCCCTTTTCTGGAGGCAAGCATTCGTGCATTGGCATCAAGTAAGTCATTACAAAACGCTTTTCTACCTTGTTCAGCGGTTGTTCTAACGGAACTAAAGCTTTGCTTGGGCTGAGATGAGAATGGTTGCCGCCAATCTTCTACAAAGATTTGATGTGCTGGAAGTCCCCGGTCAACACATTGACTTCCGGCAATACATCACCATGCAGTTTGCAACAGGTCACTGGAAAGTTATTCTCAAGCCGAGAAACTAAGCATAAAATACAACCCGCGAGATATTATTGAAATTTTACGCTGAATCGTTTAGCAAGGAAGGCTTTTAGCATTTAAATTGGAAACCAAATCACAAATTTTCTTTCTGGGATAGAAAAAACATGCATGGAAACAAGTGGGATGAGATTTGCATTCAAGCAAGCGGTTGTGCCCTGGAACGAACGAGTCCAACGCTGCGATTCACAGAAAATTTGAGTTCGATACCAACAAGATTGAAAAGAATCGAGTCATTGCATTGAAATTGCCCAAGGACCGAAGAATCAATCAGTACACGTTTTGCAGAGCTTGGCTGAACCCCATTGTTAGTCGTGGTAACCACGGCCAAGAAGCTTTGTCTGACATACTGCAATGGCCAACACTCCCGCCGGATATATTGCATGAGCACATCGGATAAATTGTCGTAAGAGGAACTTGCAAGAGACCCTCATCCTGGTAATGACCACCAGGTTGACGATTTAAAGGGGTTTCTAGTAAACTACGTGGCGGGAAACCCCCGCTCATCACGTAGTAACCATGTTCCTTACTGCAACAAAATGCATGTGAAAAGCTTATTTGCGAAGGAGTGAAGAAAGTGCGAGGGATTGTTTCCGCTGTCAAGCCGACGGACCGACGTTGGCATCTCACTACCTAGCCAACCCGGCTAATATATCACAAGGCATAGAGCAATTGAATAGCACCAAAAAGTTTGACTCATGGTTGCAGTGGGGTAATTTAAGCGACATATATTGATCGAAGCAAGAGGTCGCCCCCGTGGGAGGCGGGGGGGCTGGAGAAAGCTCGTTGGCTTGGTCTAGCCGATATCTTCTAGGCACGGGGTTTCCCACTCAGTGCGGGAGACGAGCTCGAGGAGCTCGGAAGTTGGGAGGGGCTTCGGCATCGATACGGGCCAGACGAGACAGTTTAACCCGCAGCAAAACGGCTGTATCGCTACAGTGTGGTTGGTTGTGCATTGTGTCACAAGGGCACGGTGTATATGGCGTTAATTGCTGCCCGCAATTAACGGCGCCGTTTTTGCGACACATTGTGATCCCAGGATGATTGATTGAGGATGACCGAGCCATTCGCTTTTCCTTCTCACCTTGGTTAGTATGAAGAAGGGGTCTTGCTACGGGCCGAAGACAGAACTTGGAGGACAACAGCACCAGTAACAAAGAGTCATAGTCTCATCTTATCTTCTGAATAGCCTAGCATTCTACCTTTTACCATGTTTGAGGAGTTTAGCCGGGCAAGAAACATTGCGGCTGTATGTCTTTAATATAGACATGGAGCTGAGCGAGTAGGCATATGAGTGCGTAGTTACCCCACGCAAACAATCATGTGTTCAGACACTTTGAGTCCCGGCAGAGTCTGCGGCTGAAATGAACTCGATTGGGGAAGTAGAATGAGCTTTCAGTGACTGAGGTGTAGTCTGTGTTAGGGTCAGATTCAATATTTCCGTCCTTTTTTGGGTGACTTATTTCGCAAGATTGGCTTGTCAACAACTTAAAAATTCAATGTGATGGCCGCGGACCAGTTGTCAATGATGTGGTACCGAACTACGCGATCAGCAAACCAAATTAGTTTTCCTTTAAAGATCTAAATATCCTTGGTTCATCAAATTCTTCTGAGTTTGGAGTACAACGCCGAACTCTGCGAGACCAGGGCTAGATCACAGATTCACCGTCTAGAGAAGCCACGTACATGTCTTATCGCCGAAAATGAGTGCGCATGAGTAAGAAAACGATCATATTAAAAACAAGCTCCTCCACATCATATTGTATCAAAAAGCTAGGTATCAAGCGGAAGGCATATATAACAGTAAGTGGCTTGATCAAGCTAAGCCAACCCCTTAAGCGGGATCACGGATTTATACGCCGTACGGACCGAACCCACAGAGCGGTCGTTCCATGGTGAGCGGTGTCCGGTGGCAATATGCCGGGCGGCGCCACATGCGGCGCTGCGACATATTGTGATACCAAGCACAGAGGCTAAGTGCTAAATCTTCAATGTTAACACAGGACTCTTTCCAGTCAATTATGCTCCGGACTGTGGACAAAGCACATCGTGAATTAATGGAAGCCGCATGTGTCCCGACGTGCGTGTCATTTGCAGAAGAAAATCGACCAATGTTCTGACCAACTGAGATATCTCACCTTTATCCCATTTCATGTCTCAACAGAGGTACACATGACGCAATATGAATGGCGTTGTGCCAAGACACTTGGAGCGCCAGATAGCTTCGGCAATGTGCCTGCCTAGTACGCTATTGCTATGTAAATGATGCTCATCTTAGGGTATTGGTAAGATTGAATTAGTATCAAGGATAGCCATTAAGAAGCGCTGGCCTCGTGGTTCTCTACAAAATCAAGTACCGATGAAGCAGCTCAAGATTTTGACTTTGTTTGTTTAAGCACACTCACGTTGAGCCACTGCAAAACACACTTAATGTCTTTAAGAGCAATTCTAATGACCGATTTATTTGAAGAAGGGGTCGTTGCAGTCAACAATGCCTTTGACAAAGCGAAGGGCGTCAAAACACCTCCAAGATTAGTTCATGTTAGTCCCAGCCAGACTTTAAGTTGGTTTTACGCACACTTTACACACTTTGACAAACACAGCCCCATTTTGCCTCAGCCGACATTCGAACTTTCGTCTATCCCATATAGGTAGACGTCCTCTACGGAACAAAGGCTGGTCGTTTGACATGAAATCACAAATCCTTTACCTCTGTCTATGCTCGCCATTGGTGGGTGTATTGCCTCAGAGAATGGTTCCGCCTCAAACGCCTACGAAGCTTCCTGCAATCTCCTAGCTCAGTTATGTACCAGTTTTATTTAATATTGACGTCTTTTGTCTAATAGCGACATGTTCGATCTGATATTCACGTCCTTGATCCATCTTGTCTTCGGTATGAGCAAGATCTCTTACAAAGCTCCATCTCGGAGTTCCAGCCAATACAGACTGCCCTATTGTATATTAAACTCGGAGCATTTTCAGACAAGTCTCGATACGCGCGGCAGGCATAGCGACCGTTTTCACTAGTAACAGACGTGAGTTAAACACATTTTCCTTCGCCAGTTCTCAATCCCCCCATTAGCTATGCTGATACTCCGAAGTTCCTGCGCGCGCTGGAAATCCAAGTTCGTGAGGCTTAACTAACTTAAGACTCCGACTGGAAAGACGAAATCTTCATAGAGACGCTGAGCAGTTCCGTGACACTTTGACTCTCCGCTTAGGAAGAACCCTATTTAGCAAGAGTACACTATACTAGGCTTACTAGCTAGATTTTCATTCTGAACGTAGCTATACCAATTCATGACCTAGAGTTGACCTGCATCGCTGCACCTTAAGTCACAGCAAAGATGATCATCCTCTCGAACGACAATCTCTGGTGAGCACCGCTAGCCGAAGGCTGGACTCACAAGAAAGACTGGCAGGTGTATAAGCCAGTCACTGCAGCCGAAACCTCGAGACGAGCATTATTGTGACAGAGAGCACTACTCTCTCGGAATAGTTCCCATCCTTGATCTGGCATTCTGTGCTAGGATGGGGCGGAGCCTCCAAGGTTGGGAGAATCTTTAGCGAAGTCACTCACATCCTGAAATTACATCCAGTCAACAAAGTGATCCATTGATGCCGGGGAGTCTACATCTGTTGGGTTCTGCATACCATAACACACTATTTAATAATCACAATCGTTGATGGTGTAGATATAAGAGCCCTGTGAGCTTAGTTATAAATATTCTTACAAAGAAAAAGGCTAAAAAGATATTCATTCATCTTTGTGCGTATCTATTTATAATAAGAATCAAACCATATATCGCTGTCTTTACTTTGTACAGTAATATATACGGCGATTCTACACTACTCTCTGATCAGCTCGGTTGATAATATCGATTGGAATAAGTGTCTAGGCAAGATAATTAGCATGCCTAGTTTAAGTCTTGGCAGGTTTAATTACAACGAGTTTATTGATATAAGACGCGTGCTTGTTTGATATAGTCATGATATTGCCAGCACTCTTTACGCGCTTAAAGATTACTGGAGATCTCAGCCAAATGGTACAAAGGGTCTAAGGAACCCCCTGGGCCAACGTGAGCTTTGCACACCCGAGCAGTGTGAAGAATTGAGACTGAATTTGATCCGTTTCTTTGGAAGCTGTCACTCACCACGGGTCCATAGGCCTGCTCTCTCAGATTGAGGGCACACGGCGCCAAGGGTTATAAGCCTGCTGGAAGCGTCGAACCCATGGCGCCGAGGATGTACTGCCTGAAGAGTGTCAATGATGCGTACCGATGGTTCTTTACTGTAAAACGATAACTCAGGTTCGCTCTGTCCTCGGCCCCGAGGTGTCTGTGACCTCGGGGGTACGTAGAAATAGGCCACATAATTTCACCTTGGACATTGATGTAGATAGGCTTCCAATTATGTCATGTGGCCTTCGTCTCCTATACTGCTCTCTTCACCCACAACGACATCCTCATCGCCTTTCTTCCAACGATACTCCCTCTCGATACCTAATTCCCTCTGCGCCGTATCACAGAGCGTTGCGTTCCCGCAACCGCATATGGCCGGTTCCCTGATCCATCGATATGTAATGCTCCACCGATCTCCCCTCTTCCGCACCGTGCCATCGGGTAACGTGTCCGTCTTTCGCTTCCTGATGCCGTGCTTCCAGTGCAGTCTCGAGTCCCCGGACATCTGCAACATGCTCCTAGGCGTGAGGTCGACCTCCACCGTCCTCCCTTCCCCGCCCTCGTCCGGTGGTAACGCGAATTGCATCATAACGGGCGATCCTAGTGACAGCGCATACAACTGATCATATGCGGAATGAGTGTCGACATGAGGTGGGATACCGGCACCAGGTGGATAGTGTTGGAGGCAAACTTGATCCGGTGGTCTGCCCTCGCGTGTGGGAATTAGCGGCTCCAGCCAGTCCGGGAAAGGGTTGAAGGGAATATTCGGATCTACGCCAAATGTTTTGTAGTCGAAGGTGTAGCCGTAATGTAAAGATAGCCGACCGGAGCGATCCGGCCATGATAGCTCGTTGCGGAAGACGTGTATCAACTTTTCCTCATGCTCGGCTGTTATGAAGCCGTCTTGCCAGAAGATACCCGATGGTTGAATGGGTAGTTCCTCCATCATGTATTGTGTGATACCATGAAAGTATTCTTGTTACAGGCCAGTGTCGGTGAAAATGATTTGTTGAAGCGTGTTAGGTGAGGTGATGTTGAATGTGAAATTGACTCAGCGGCAAAAGTCGTTCAGTGTGGCACCACCAAGGAGCCAAAGTGGGGCACTTGCGGGAAGAAAGGGCACCCACCCAGGGGAGAGAAAGCTAATCTCAAAGTTGACGTGCAGTCTCAAAGTTAAGTTCAAGTCATTCACCAAAGAATTGACGGAATTTCAAGGCATGAATTCAAGGTGAACTGTAGAGTTCAAATCAATGAGGCGCTTCTCATAGAATCCACCGAGGACGCCGCCATTCAAGGAGACAACAGTCACTACCTACCTACATCGCCAATTGCGACTTCACAACGTGCACTTCACAAAGGCCCTGATACTTTGCAACTTTGGCAGCCACTCCAGCTGTCATTTCTGAAAAGTCTGCTGTCTAAATAATGAAGATTTGGCATGAGATTTGCCTGGTGTCGCTGGTCTGAACGCCGACTGCAACTGTCACTGGCCTTGGATGCAGCGAGGTTTTTTTTTCCCCCGGGTGGCGGGGTTGAGAGAGTGGAATGTTAATGTTGCAGAACTGTCAACAGCTTGAACCCTGGATTTGGGAGCACTATTGAGTGAAGTGACAGAGCTAACTTCCAGTGTACAAATGTATCCGAGGGACTCAAAGATGATCTTTGATGAGACTTGGGTGACGAAATGATGAAAACCATACACACCGAGAAATTGTTCTCATGGAATCGCACAGACCTTGCGAGGTCCCATATCCCATGTCGTGGATGAAACAGTTCTGAGGCTTGATCTCCAGCAATGCCCCGCTAGACACGGCAGGCACACTATTCATCAAACATGAGATGAATGACGGGATGAACAACACACAAAAGCACAGATGGGGGATAGGAAGCATGGGAAGCTTCTATAGTTTTTAAAAGGATGAGTTTTTATGTCGCATTAAGCAGCAGACACTAGGTATATGTGTGGGTTAGGTAGGGGGGACTAGATTTATGTAACCGTTCCGTTGAACAAGGCGTCCCTTAAAACCAACCGTCTTGTTCGTCAACGCTTTTTCCCATATCCCGAGAATCTGCACAAATGTCCAAAGCAGAAAAGGCTGGTTGGTGGTGGGCGCCAGGTGGGGGGGCAATAGCAAAAGAAAAAGGCCGCACCAACCAAAACAAATATGCCCCGAAAAGAAAAGAGGTATCTCATGCGATGCGCCGTCAAGAAGCTCTGAAGATTAAGAAAACATCCATTACTGGGCTTCGTCATCGTGGCGGAATGAATGGGTTGTGTGAGATGACCCCCTTTCCCCGACGAAAAAAAACTCACCCCAGCACAGGAAAAGGCAGTACCAAGGACGAATCAGCGGAAACGCCGTTCGCTTAAGCATTGGGATTGAAATCGTCACCGAGGGTGACGTTCAGGTGGGCCGTGTAGTAACCCTTGCAGCCGACGCCATCAAGAGCCTCCATGCCGGGCATGTAGGCGCCCTCGTTGGTGCCGTCAGACTTGAGCCAGGAGCAGGTCTTGCCGTTGGCGGCGACCTTCATGCCGTAGTAGGGCATACCCTGGGAGCCGGCCACGAGGACGGAGGCGTCGGCGCCGGAGTTGCCGCCGTTGGGAGTGGAGGCCCAGTCGAACTCGAGCCAGGTGCCGGCGAACTGGCCAATGGGGGTCTTGGGGACCGTGGTGCCGGGGCCGAAGGCGCAAGAGCCCTGGGTGTTCTTGTCGAAGGCGACGTTCTTGGACTGGCCTTTCTTGATGGAGAAGGTGATTGCGGCAAACCAGCAGCCGTCGATCAGGCCCTTGGGGCCAATCTTGTTGAAGCACGAGCCGATGTAGTCGGCGTCGCTCGCGGTGAAGGTGGCGGTGTAGTTGTAGAGGGAGACGCTGGCGTCGTTGACGATCTGCATGTTGCAGCCCCAGTCGTCCTCGCTACCGGTGTTGCCAGCGTAGGCGATCTCGGCGATGGTGGCGCGCTTGCTCTTGGAGCCGCTGCAGAAGGGGACGTACTCGCCGCCGGCGGTGGAAGGGAGGGGGGTAGCGGCGACGACGGCCGATGAGGTGGAAGAGGGCGTCGGAGTGGGGAGGATGTTCTTGAAGAAGGTCAAGTCGCGCTCCTCGACGGCGTCAACGGTGCGGCGCTCGTGGAACTTCTGGTGGTTGTGTGCAGAAGGGTGGGCAGACACGCCGGTGAGGGCGGCCGCGAGGACAACGGCGTTGGCGAAGTGCATCTTGAACTGTCGGAGATCGTATAGAGACTCGTTGAACTCGTGGTGATAAGAATGCTAAATGTGCTGTTGTTGCTGGACCCGTCCGGAAAAGAGTGACAGCGGGTTATCAAGATAACTCGCGGATTTGGACGATGGTTGAAGAGAGAGAGTGTGTGGTGGTGACAGGAGACCAGAACCCGGGAATTGGCCAGAATAGGGAGGGAGAGGAGGGCCATTTTGAAGGGATGGAAATAATCTCATTCGATTCGCCCTTCTGCAGTGCGTGTTAGCAAGGAACAAAGTCGAACGAGGGTAACTTGGTGTGATAACAGGGGCGTCGTCACCATGGCGTCGCGTTCTACTCTATCGTCCACCATCAACAGCCCATCGCAACCCGTCAACAACCCTGCTTAGCCAGGAACAGACTCCAAAACGGGTAAAGGCCCAGAAGTGATGACCGAGAGGGCTAGGCGATGTGGGGAGGGGCGTGACGTTTGGTTCCAGGGCCAGACAGGCCGGGTCAGGAACAATCTCTGTTTCTCTCACAGAGTTGACGTGTGAGGAACCAGTAGAGAGACAGGGGTGAGTCGGGGAGTGGAGGGAAATGGATCGTGGATGGATCACGGTGCACCGCCAGCGCCAGGACAGGATTGGACGGTGATGCGGGAAAAGGGGGGTGGGGAAACTAATTTCACCGCACGCCAATTCCAAGGACCAAAAGGGCCACGGCCAGCCCAAGCTTGGTCCCGGGGGGGGTTCGAGTCCAAGCAAATCCCTCGTCAGGGGGCAGTAGTAACATTCTCACATTCCATTCCCAAGCCAACCAGGAGCCAAGTATCGCTAGACCGTTACACGGCGGACCTGCCAATGGGTGTGATTATCGACTAGGAAGACGAGAAACGAATCCCTTGGGTTTGTTTGGTTTGATGGATCGTCATCCAAAGTATTTTCATCTCATCTAGCGGCTAGCTGGCGTCCAAAAAGCCACAACACACACGGTGACGCGCAAAAGGATGAAAACATCCCATTGCTGTTGGACAACAATCAATCAGCCCCTTCCTCAAGTTCTTCTTCGGTTTCCCTCTCTTCCGTAGATCCCATGGATCCCATACCAACAAATGCCGGCAGGAAGCGCGCGCCGGCAAGGCACACCCGCGCGTTAGGTTTCTGGCTGCATGAGGGGACGAGCCATGCCAGGAACCTAACTTCATCCTCTGCGCCTGGAACCTTGATCTCTCGACCTTCATTCACCTGGAACCGGAACCCAAAATCTTCGACTCGGACGGGACAGTGACCACCAATGTGCACCTACCAAGTGCCACTCCACTTCAATTTTGCACGACTGCCCGCATATGAAGAAGCATAATAAGCTATGACTCGGAAGATCGACGCCGCCTGTCCACAGTGCACACGTTCACAACCGGCGGACCGACCTGCAGAATCGCACCAAATTCTCCCTACCTGATGGGCTGCCGCTGGGCCGCCGCTGGGCCAGATTCAGGTTTCTCGAGCCTTTCCACACTTGATAAGACGTAAAGAACAGTGTTGACTCCAACGTTTTTTTTTTTTTTTTTTTTTTTTCCTTCTTCTTTGCTTTAACCTCTCTCTATGGCTTCAAAGTTCAATCAAGCATATACTGTCCCCCCGGTGGAGATCCGGTGGAGGCGCCCGTGTGCATCAAGTCAAATCTCTCACCCAAATGCTTGGACAGGCACGACGGGCAAGTCGAGGCCCCGACACAATCGTCACTGACCGCCGTCCATGACGTTGCATATCCAAGCCCTACGGTCGCATCACACCTTCATTGACGTCCTATTCGTCCTAAACCTCGTTGTCAGCATGCAATGTTCGGCAACCGAAAACCCCTCAGTGATCCTCTGGTCCTTTCCGCAAGCCTCTCGGGAGAGGGTCACCGGGAGCGTCGAAATGCAGCATGAACGCATTCAATCACCAACATCATCCGATGTAGCTTACCTGACAGGGCCTGTCAATTGAGGGATCAGAGAATGCCCGTTCTGTTGGAGAAGAGTAACATCAGATCCAGAATTTACAGCGAGGTATCTTTATCCTGAGCCCCAAGGGGTTGTTTCTAGGCATTTGGACTGGGCCGATGGCACATCATCCCCTCTCTCCTAATCCTCTCCCTCCGCCTCCCTTCGATTACCTTATTGCCCTTCCAATACGGATATTCACAGGATGTTTCCTCGGCAGTGCCCCATTGCTCATTATACGTACGGATGGAAACTTCGTACTCACAGCGTCCCAACTTTTCATCTGCCATGTTCCGATCCCAGTGCCGCTGCTGCACAGCGGCCCGTACGCCGCAGGGGTTGGTTGGGAGTGCCAGGAACAGATGGGCCTGGATCTTCCCAGCAAACCCAGAAATCCCGTTCAAGCCGCTAAGCGCAACGGATACCGCGACCGGGTCCACCCTGTGGGAACACAATCACCATTTTACTTGGTCACTGTAACCGTACTCCGTACTCCGTCTCCATACTCCCTACAAAATCCCTCCCCCTCCCCCCTTTATACTCGGTTTTCCACCTTTGTGGACTTTTTAAATGCCTTTTCAGCGAATCTGCGATTCTCTCTGTCCCGTAGCTCCACTGGGGCAGTGCTGGCAGCAAGCCAGCAGGCAGTGGGCGAGTGGCAATCTTGAACGCGTCATAGGCCTCGTCAGGGCAGATGGAGCTACCGCCAACCCAACGACGGCCTGCAGGCCGGCTGCTTCTGCTACACTACCTACTGCAGGGCCAGCTGTTCATCAGGGCGCCCAAGCATGCATGCATGTGTCGAGGTCGTCCGTGAAGAGGGCTGCTGCCCCTTGAGGGAGACCTTGGGGGTTGGTGCTAATTGCTGTTTGCCGCGAAAAGACAACAAGTTCGGACGAGTCGATCTTCCTCTTGGTAGCTTGGCTTGCGGCTGTGTAAAGCCCGGACGGCGCCAGCGAAGGGGAGCCGCACCCGGACCAAATGCGCCCATGTGGCATTACCCGGAGGGACCTGGGTTGTTTGCCTCCAAGAATAGTCGTCCCTTTTCATTGTTTCCCTTGGCTGGTGGCACGTGTGAGTGGCTCGTTGCCCAGGGAGGCAGCTGGAATGTGCCCGCAACGCTGGTCCTGAAGATCATTCACTCATTGGGATTGAGGGCACTTTGGGCATACTATCGGGTGAGATCCGACCTGACTTGTCGATTGATCAACAAGAGAGCAGTGTTTTCCCCTGGAAAAGGGGGTTAAGGCAGCACGCGGTGCAATTGACCGTCGTATCTGAGGCAGCGCTCGACTGGTGCCAATACCGTCAAGCACCATTCAAGGCTTGATGAGCGGCGGGTAGGCGATCGATGTTGACTGGGCGCTTTATTTACCTGCGACAGAGGGCCTTTTCGGGTCGGCTCCACCGCACTACCAATATATACAGCTATTTGCCTCTTGGCTATCATCGAATCAGAAGTCTTCATAAACTGACTAGCCCTGATGGTCTAGCGGTATGATTCTCCCTTAGGGTGTTAACTACATCTCGCATGGGAGAGGTCCCAGGTTCGAATCCTGGTTAGGGCCCATTCTTTTGCCTTTTTATGAGATGTATGTACACATGTATCCATAAACCCTTGTCGTCTATACTCATATGGAGTGATCAAAACGCTATAGCAGATATCTTGATGTTTATCTACAGGTTCTGAATTTACTTTTCGCGAACTAACTTGTATAGATTATAAGATGTAACGTAAAGCATAGAGTTTGGCATTCATTTCAAAGTACTTTGTTTCTACTGCTGTGGGTAGGTAGAATTGAAGTTGAAAGTTTTCCGCGAAGTACGAATGATTCATTGTATAACACATTAGTGGTCTAAAATGGAATGTAAAAAATTAACGACGCTCGGTTTTCAGCAAGGTTGTTTTAGATTCATTCATCTCTAGTCAAATCTTGCGCGATAGTTCTGTCAGTCGGTGAGCGTCGACCTCGACAGTTGCTTGGGCGCCAGTTCAACCTGGACGGTCAAGGAAATATCAACTTGGGAAAATACCCTGGTGAATAAACCTAAAACCATGTTCTTGCAGTGAGTGATGTTTTTAAATGTCACAATCAAGGTCAACGGAGATGAGTACAGCCGCAAGGTGGGCAAAGTTTGTGGTTGACCCAAGATCCATTTCAGAGGAGGAAGTCAATTATGGTCTAACTTTGGTTCAGTCTCTCACGGTGAACTTCGAAGCAGTCGGAGAAACCTTTTCAGAAGAATTCACAATAGCAGCATTTTTCCAGGACCTGGATTGACAAGGTAGTTATATCACCTTCGACACACCACACCCACGACTACGAAGAAACGCAACACAACACTCTGTTACACTACACATAATCGAGTTATCAACTCAACTCAACTCAACACAACCAGTTACAAACACTCATCCCATCAGCAATACAGCCAAAAAAAAAAGAAGAAAATGAAGATCTCCACGACCACCATCCTCGCCCTGGCCCTCTCCGCCACGAGCGCGCTGGGCCAGATAACAATCACAAAAGACGTGGCCTCCTGCACGGGCGACTATTGGCTTGGCCGCATCTCCCGCAAGTACTTCGTCGACGCCCTGGTCGACGACCCCGACCTGGTCCCCGCACTCTGCGGCCAGCTGTGGGACAAACTCAAGCGGTTCCCTGCCTGCCACACGAGCCTCAACGTCGCCTGCGAGAACAAGTGGGAGGGCGAGCTCAACTGGCGCTTCCAGGTCATGGGGTACTGCAACCACGGTATGGTCGAGTCCGCGTGGTATGAGGCCACGGCGAACCGTTGGGGCATGATTCAGTGCAAGAGCAAGGACTTTTGAGGTTGAAACAAAGCTCTTGTTCCACATGATGGAGTTCCATTTCATCGGTAGAGAACGCATGGTTACATGATGGATCGTCGAAAAGGATTGAACGTGCGGAGGGGAGATTAGTTCTTGAAGAAATGACGGGATTGGAGGGAACATGGAATCAATATGGCTTAGTTACACCAGTTCATTCGTACCGGACCCCCCTCAGCCTTTTCGGTCTTTGTCGATATCAGATGAAGTTGATGATCTCAAAATATACGCGATACTCGCAACAAGCCAGCGTATTGAGTCATCTAGCATTTCAAATCAAACCATCAAACCAACAAACACCATGCCCCATGTGCCTTTTCCGTGTGATTCCCCTTGTGATTCCCCTTGTGAACATGTCCTCTTGGTTTTCTCCCCACACATATCAATTCCTCATAAGACTGCCAATATCACCTATCTATCGGGATGGAGGATCGTAGATGTTACAATCCTCATCGAAATCTGAAATACTCAGCGTAGTAAAACCGTAGCAGGAGTCCTGGTCGTCATAATCCAAAGAAGCGTTTCGCTGAGCTTCAGATGGAACATGTAAAGTGTCAATGCCATCATTCGCTGTCCGAGCCGCAGCCCTTCTAGCGTTGCGTACTTCTCTGTGAATAGAGGCAGCCCCAGTCTGCTGATCGCGGCTGGCAGTGGAACGAACATGTGGCCGCGGCGATCCATTCGTCTCACCGGCTGGGTCATAATTGTAGTTCCTGGGACGTATTCTGCCGACTCTACCCTCGTACTCGAGGATCGCAGTCAAATCACCTTTCGATCTTGGTTCCGGGGCGAAAAGAGGTTCGGATGACCAAGGTGTTGCGAGGTCTTCATCTTCATCAGACACAGTTGCTTGAGGACCGGCTGGATGAGGTGTGGCGTTTCCGCGCGACCAAACCGACTCAGCATCCTCTACTGCAATGTTGAATCTCACTGCCTTGGTTTTCGTCAAATCCAGCGGGGCCGGTCGGCGACGCATAGGAGAATGAGACGAGTACTGGCGAGGATTCGAGGTCGGCGTCACCGGACGAGGGATAGCAGTCCGCGACCACCAATTCTTGCGCATCCGATGTCCCCTTGCCATAGACTCAAGCAGGTTTTCTCCCCTTGACGGCCAGGGCTGGTGCTGTCCCCGCTCGTGCGAGAGCGGACAGGACGCGACCGTACATGGGCGGAAGAAGCAGCTGCGTCCCGCCTTGCTCATGTACTCTCTTTCCTTGTCCGAGATGTGCTCGTACCGAGCGCGCTCAATCATCCGACGGCCCACCAGCGTCGCGCCCTCGTCGTACACCTCTCCAGACATCACTCGGGCTTTCCTGCCCCGGGGTGTGACGATGATGACAGTGAGGTTTTCTTCCCATTTGCCTGGACTGTTGTTGCTGTCAAAAACGTGGATATCGTGCCCGTGGACGGTACTCTGAGGAGGGTACTGGTCAAGAGCCTCGGCGAGGTCGTCGGGGAGGTCCTTTGCAGGACCCCAGATCTCGGGGTACCACCAGGGGTCTTCTTCGGGGTTGCTCACGACCCTGGCGCCCCAAGGCGATTCAATGCGAAGCTGGGCGGCGGATTGAGGAGTCTCTGGGTGGTCTTGGCTCGGGTCTCCGAGGATGTTCAGGGGTGGTGGCTGTTTCTTGCTGCTCATGAGGTTTGCTATGTTGGCCCAATGAAGGCGTTGGCTATCCCTTCCAGGAGATTCTTCAGACTCACTGCTCGAAGAAGAATGAAACTCGTACCTTGATCTCGTCGGCTGCGCTCTAGTAGGACGGTGGTTCAGGTGCGTCGTAGCAATTGACGCTCCAGGCTGGAGAGAACTCGGCCCCGGCGGCATCACGCTGATGGCCAAAAGAGGCAAGCTGTAAGCGATTCCGTTGACGTCTTGATCAAAGGGACGTTGTAAACCGGGAGGAGGCGCACTCAGACGGCTCAAGAACTCTTCAGCAAAGCCGTGACCCGAATCGCCAAAGTACTTATGCGGTGATGGATAGAGGAACTCATAGAAATCTTTTGCATCCTGTTCTGCCGACCAGCGGCAGGCTTCGCAGACGTAATCGGTGAGGCGTTGGACTCTCTGCAGCTTGAGTACGCCGCAGGAGCCCAGGCCGGAATCTGGGACGTAGGCGATGTTGGCGCAGAACTGGTTCACGTCTTCGAATCGGGTGAACCGAAAACACACCTTGCATTGGGAGGTGGGCTGCAGGATAAGACACATGATGATGGGCTGTTCGAAGCCTTGTTGAGAATGGAATGAGACGATACTCGCAATTTAGGGCTTAGTACTGTAGGTTAATTGATGCGAAGAATTGATTGTGGTGGAACGAATCGGACCGGAAAGCTATAAGTTAGAGGATGCTAAGAATTATTGGAGGTGATGAGATGGATTGGATTGGAAAGCTATAGATTGAGGACGAAATGATTCACATATATACGTAGAGAATCGTGCAGATCCTTACAGACTGTTCTCTTTGTTTTACCCTTGTTCAGAATAAAGATCTTTGCAACTATTGACAATGTCTGAGTTCAACGTTCTTACTGTCAATGGGGGATTTGAAGATCAAACAATTCTGGAAAGCCATTGCCAGTGGACAATAAGACAAAAAGGCCTTTGAAGTGTTCGAAGGAGTGGGCCTACCGGTTGACTAGGCGTCGAAATAGCTGCAGTTCCCAGTCCATCATTCGTCAACTTCGAGAAAGCTAGATCAGATGAGAAAATTAACATCAGGATAGGGCAGGACTCACGCGCGGGACGGAAACTCTGAAAATGTAGGGGCTGCAATCAAATTCAGACTTTGTACCTTCATGCGAGTCGTGTGGTATTGTCTACTCTCTATTTACACGTCGAGTTTAAGACGCGCCCTCGCCCTTCATTCTGTGGTCTAGGGCTATCCCTTTGCGTAGGCGAAATATCTCACGTCACGGGCTGCTTCAATCAGCATGACGCACCAATAATCAGTCGAGTTGAGATACCGACGATGATCTACGAAGATGTCAAGGTTCATATCTTTGACCTTCTGCTCCACCAGAAGCCAAAATCCCGCATCGCCCGGCCTGCTGAGGCGTCTCTGCAAGTATGTAGCGTCGTGGCATACCCGCTTGGCAAGTTCGGGCTACCGACTCCATCAGATCATATGTGTGTAGTGGTTGGAGTGCCTCAGTCGGCATCTTTTCTCGCACAATGTCTAAAAGTCAACCCTAGCCAGCTTGATCTTAGTCAACTTCCTGGATCAAGTCGGACTATTTGGAAATCATCTTCCAACCCTGTCGATACTACGCGTCCGCAATCTCCTGCGGTATATATCTCCCAACGCCGAATCTGATGTCTAGTGCCGGCAGGTCTTTGGCACGACAGTTGAGATATCTAATCACGTAGTGATCCCTAAGGATCTGCTCGAGCTCCATGATAAGGCCGCGGTACTGTGCCTCCTCTTGGATGGACTGCTCGAGGCATTTTATTCCCTGGCGGACCCTCTTACGCCTTCTTAGCATCCTCTTCTGTGTCTCGTTTCTCAAAACGGCCTCAATTCCCTCCGAAGCTCGGGCCTGAGTCCAACTCGCTATGAGAGTCACTGGCGAAGAGATCCCCCTTTTCGGCAAGGCATTGCTGTTTTCTCGCGTTTTCCCAAGCAATGAGAAATAAAATCCATGAAATCGTTGTGTTGACGCTGAGGCATCTTCCTTTTCATAGCCTTGTCCAGGTTGGGAATATAAGTTTTATGCGATGGTACGAAAGGGTTGTTTATGGCCGGGGCTGTGCCAGCTGTTGCTCGTTGGGATTGAACGCTTTAGGGAAGCTGCTTGAAATAATTGAACATAGAGACGCTTTGAACCTAGAGTCAAATGACTCAAACGCAGAAATGCTTAGATTCTATGGCTACACATTGGTCAAGATACCGACTCGTAGTCACTTTACATTAAACGTTAACAGCACGTCTCAAATGATTGTGCCAAAAGAGTGATTGTATTCAATTTGTACTTGGACATTTTCATCTTGTTTTTATCTCAAGCCCTGACAGAGTATCCAACCTCGTGTCATCATAACCCAGACTTACCTAACCGGAAAGAGCGAGTGACTGGAAACACACTACTCGGATAAAAGAGCGTGAGAATCTCCCCAACTCGGCCGACCTAACCAGCTCAGAGCTCATTCTGCTTCTTGCGGGCATCGATGATAGCAAGAGCCTCCTCGGCAGCCTTGACACCAGAAAGGGCCATGGCACCAAAAGTCGGACCTAGGTTTATCGTCAGTAATCACCACAACTCTCAAGTCTTCAACAGGCGTAAAGAAGAACTTACCCATGCGGTTGGCACCATCAACCTCGCTCAACTCCATCCCGCCAACAATCAACCCAGGCACAATCTCCCTCGTCCCCTTGACAATCGCGTCCTCGGCACTCTGCATGTCCAAACCCCGCATACCGCCCAACTGCTCAATCTGCTTCATGCTCACAAGCCTCTTGACGCAAAACGCACCAAACGGACCGTCGTGGCCCGTCGTCGACACCACGAGCGGCGCGTTGATGGTGTTGGGGTCCATGCAGCTCTGGTCGTCGTGATGCATCGACACGAGCGTCCAGTTCGTCACCACACCCGCGACCCGCAAACTGCCATCCTCGTTCTTGCGGGTAATCAGGTCCTCCACCGTGGTGGCGTTGAACAGCTTCACGTTGGAAAACTGCAACACCTTGCTCATGACCGTGCTCGTAAAGAGCGCAGCGTGCTTGACGACGACAAAGTCGCCCTCGTCCTCGTACGGCACACCGACCTCGTCCAAGAACACCTCGGCGGGCTTCCGCATCACCATGGCGGAGAAGAGCTGGCCGCCCAGCCAGGCGCCGCCGCCCGGCGCGACGCCGGCCTCGACGATGGCGATCTTGAGGTCCGGGCGGGCTTTAGCGAGGACGTAGGCCGTGCTGAGGCCGCAGGACCCGGCGCCGACGATGACAATGTCCGATTCGGCGTAGGTGTCGAGGTCGGAGAAGTAGCGGCGCGTCATGGCGCGCGAGACCTGGGACTCGCGGATGGGAGCAAAGGTGAAGGTGTCCCACTTGCCAAACATGTCCTCCACCTTGGTGGTGGCGGAGGAAGTGTTGACGGCGACGGAGGCGGACTTGGTCTTGCCGGCCATCACGGGGACGGCGTAGTCGCGAATGGGGGAGATCGCAGCGGGAGGAGCCATTGTGCTTGTTGTCTCGGGTTTCGAAAGGGGAATTTTCGACGAGTGTTTGTGGAATATAATCTGCTTGTGTTAGGGTGCATGATCCTTTCGCTGGTATTATCCAGATCAAGTTCAAGGCCGTATATTCTCAGCCACACCGTCGGCATCAGTCGCTGGCTCATCATGGGAAGAGATGGCAGCGACGTCTGCGCTCTGGTGGGCACCGGCTCATGCAATTGCGCATCATGGTGTTCACATACTTGTGAAAGTATTTGTGTGGCAGAAGCCTCCTGTAAAGGTGTCAGTCTGTATGCGTTCGGTCACACGGATTTGGGCCTACTGTTTGTGTGTATGCTGGAGTTGGTCGATGAAATCAATGGTTTACCAGGAACGGGATTCCCAAAGTGATAGAGCACGCCGAGATATAAGCTCATTATATAGACCATTGATAAGAAACACACCGCACAAACCTTACACTATCGCTTGCGGGGTAATTCAAACACATCATACATGCGCAACCCTGAGCTCTTTTTCTCCCGCCCGCTTTCTCGGCTTGCATTCTAGGGCGGGATCGGCCCATCTGCCAGCAAGTAGGTAGGTACCGGGCCCCAGCTCACCTCGCGCTTCGCCTCAACGGGCACCACTTTGTACACATAACCTCCTGTACTCCTGCGCCCTATGACGGGTGTCGTTTACTAGTCGCCTGTTGTGGGTGGGGTCTACGGGGCCTGACAGTTGTCGTTGAACCCCAACGGCGGAGTCATTCCCGAAAGCCGATGGCACCCGCCTCCGGGATCGGTAGCCCTGCAATCCCCCGCCGCGCCGTGAACTCCCGCCGAGCTGTGCTGAGATGTTACCTGATACTCGGCATGGGTGATAAATTGCCGCAGAGCAAACGAGTGTCTGTAGCAAATTTCGTTTGAATTCTACGAAGCGGTCATGAGAAATTCGTCCCTCCAAACCAACGAGACACAGAGGAAAGTTTTCTACCCGCCCGCCGAGGCCGGACGAAACCTCCCGCCTGCATGCCGTCACTCCACCAGTGGCAAGACACGGGCACACGGACGGGCGGGGCGGCTATCCCAGGCACGCGGAGTTGCTGTTAGAGGCACTGGCGCCTGGGTACCAGATGTGTACGTAAACGTGGATGAGTACCCAAGGTACATACAAGAAACGCTACTATGGCCTGAAAAGTCGCGCACCAGAAATACGAGAAATACGACCAATCTAACTTGTGGCGTCTCGGAGCCATCCACTAATCCTCTTGGTGGGAACGACCAAATACATTCCGCTATTTGTGAGTGGTTGCTGAAGTTAAGCGCTGTTGTAGGTTTGGTCTACTGTATAATGACACTTTGATCGACCCAGCAATACGCGCAGCGAATGTGCGTGCATGCATCGAGCACATCCTGGCCAAGTTTGCAACAGCCAACTGCTCCATAGGCGGGTGATCTTCATGCCATTGTCATTAATAAACCACCTATTCACAGGAAGCAACGTATCAATGTGGCTCTGCTGTGAAACAAAAGTTTTTAATATTCATGTTATTAAATCTCATCGTTGCAGGGTGCCGGAGTGACACATGAAGTCACCTTGTATGCGTCTGCTTGCTCTCAATGGCCCGCCCATTGGGCCCATCTCGAGGATTGTCTGCGATTATAGGCACACAACAGTGGCATCAGTAGTTAAAATCTGTGCTTCGACTTGCCTCCAGACAGATTATCGTGGGATATAGTTGCTCTTTGCGTGATGAAGGACGATGTAACTGTCGCATCTTGCCAGGGCGGCAAACTGGCCACACCGAGATTTTATCGTGGCCAGTCCCTACGCTTGGTCTCGCGTAGCCCCTGATGAATATCAAAACCCCTCCTTCGGCCAGATTGCATGTGCAAGGTCCATCTAACGGGTTCAAGGAACCATAAAGCCTTTGAAACGGCGCAGGGAACGGGAACGGTGACTGCGCGCAGCAAGAGATGCCTGATTGACTCTCATCAGTTTGCCTTTTGCGCCAATGCCGGAGCGCCCAGGTAGGCTTTGCTACCACTGCAGCCCTTTTCCTGCCCGACATATTCCTCTCCATTTGACAACAAGACGATGCCACCTCTCCGTCGCCCTCCGTCGTCGCTCCTGGCAATGGAAGGACTACTCGCCCACTCCACGCTTCCTTCAGAATCCTCTCCTGTGGTATCAGACTGACTGTCCTCGGCCTGTAGCACGTCCCAGAAACGACGGGCTGGTGTATCCACTTGCTTCCCGAGCTCCGCCATCGCGCTGGCGTGCCCGCGGTCGTACCAGGGCATGAGAAACCATCTCTTGGGCGCAAGGAACATGACCTCGATCCAGGTAACAAAGATCATCAGTGCCACGGGCTCTTTGAGCCTCAGGAGCGAGAGGTACTGCTCCGACACTAGTGACGGCCAGATGATGAAGTGCTTCCATACCCTCGGCCGCCCGGGAAGGGACATGATCCAGGATTTGAGCGCACCCAAAGCGCCTAGGCATATCTTGATGTCCTCGACTTGTACTCCGGTCGACTCGGGACCAAGACACAGGAACTCGACGAACTTGGCAATCTTTAGCAGGGGCAGTCGTAACAGTACATCGCTGCTGTCGCGCCATTCTTTGATGTCTACTTGTGCCAGCTTATCGCGAATCGGGCTCTTGTAGACGTGTGGTGTGACCGTATCCGAAAACCTGGCCGCCACCCGCATTACTGTGAGGGCTTTGCAGGGCTCAAACGTGTTGGCTTGTCCCATCACCTTCTCGTCAGCAAAGGGCCGGTAGTACCCAAAAATGCCGTTGCACATGGAAAATACAAAGGTTGCTAGCCAGTTCTCCTCCGTGACCTGAGGAACAGCAAGCCTAAAGTAGTTGCTCGCTTGTATGGCGTGTTGACAAGCCATCGAGTAGTACCGCTTCGTATTTGGCGGCTCGAGGTAGCAAAGATGTAGAGCCGCGATGGAGAGCATGCTCTGGTGTATAAATACGTTGCGGGACGCCAGCTGGGGCACCCATCGCGACCACACGTCGCACTTTCGGGGATCGCTCTGTAACGAAAATGTGAACCAGGCTTCGTTCAGAAAGTGGTGCTTGAGCTCGGCCTCGTCGGCACGGAGCTTCTCGGCAGGTAATGAGGCGCTGAGGGCATCCCGCGAAGACGCATGTGCCGCGACCGTGGCTGCACGGCGGACCATGCTCAGGGCATCGCTAGCTTTCTCTCCATTCTCGCGGTTCAGGGCGTCTGCGAGCAGTCCAAGATAACTGCAGTGTTCTTGGCGACGGCGACAATTGGCGCATACAGGACCGACGCAGTCGCACTACCGCCCAAAATCAGTCAGCAAAAGAAAGCCCCGAAAGATACAATGTAATAGTATTGGGGGCCAAGACGGCGATCATGTCTTGTTCGGCTAACCAACACCGTGACTGGCTGACTGGAGAGAACCCAATAAACCGGGACTTCGACATGCAAGTCATCAGTTGGTCCCGATATTGACGGAACGCTTCTTGCCCATGCCAACCCGCTTTAATGAGTTGAATCTTTCCATACCTTGACACGGCGCTTCTTGCACTGTCGGCACCCGTTCTTCGTCTTTCCGTGATATTGCCTTGAGCCCTTCGGCATTCTATCGGTACAAAAGCTCGTTTGCAGACGTTCTGCCCTTTGCGCTCCTCTTGTTCGGATTGGAAGTTCGTAAATTTTGTCCCGGTAGATAGGCGGGCGGAGAGTGGCGCGGGAGAGCAGATCGCGGTGGGCTGACTACCTGTTTTTAAAACAATCCGTTTAGTTCAATATGCGAAACGTCAGAACTTGGGGAGATGCTTGACCTTGTCAGGGATGCATGGCTGTCCTGACGCAAACTCAACTTCAATGCCGCACGTCCCCCGCTGTGACAACGGGGTGACAGAAACCCGAGTAGCGATGCGTGAGAGGCTGGAGCTGACCGAACAGCGGGCAGAGTGAGCATCAGAAGGCTGTTGCCATGCAGGGATCCGATACCGAGGTACGGCTTGCAGCACTGGGTTGGCATTCCGTTCGCCCCAGGTGAGGAGACAGCTGCCAGTGCGAGGTTACTTGGACATAACGATGCGCGTGGCCGACTCAGTGCGAAGTCTATTGTTCAGCAACAATGGAAATATTCTTCTTGTGTGTTCGCGCGTGCCCTAGCACCTCGATTTCGAGAGCCAAGGTACCTGTAGAATGAGCTTCCACACAGGAGCCAGGCCGCAGAGAGGACCACATAGAAAGGTGAGGCTGTACTTGTGTCGAGGGCGCACAGCGTGTATGTCATTAGGCAATCTTATGTTATGGCACGGAGTGCTTCCACCTACAGAGACGAAGACTGGTCGAGTTGACATTGGCCGTTGTTAACACTGGAGCTCAGTTAACGCTTTCTTCTGCAATATGGATCGTCATAGACGACATTGACAGTGCCATCTAGGTTTGAAACAAATCCAAAGATGTTTCGCACTATAGCCGTAAGCTAAGATGATGTGCATTGACATAGAATCGTAGCACTTGGGTACCCCGTTGGGTTTGCGACGCTGATGCCGCGGCTGCACATTGGCTGGATCTGAGCTGGTTGGTGCGTCGAAGGCAAAGCCGGAGCTGCAGCCTCGAACTCTCGCGGGCTGCGTTTGGATGCAGCTGCCCGCCTAGCCAAAGTGACGGGCTAGGAGGGGTAGCCCGGCCGTTCGCCTGGGACATTCCTTACGAACTATACTTCATGTAGCTAGGATGGCCGTAAGGCGTTCTTGTTGCGGGATCTCGAACAGCGGTGAATGTATAATGACAAATGAGTCCGCTTCGAAGCCGCCTGTAGAAACCGGCTGGTTCATCATTGCCGTAATGTGTGGGCAAGAGTTGCCGGGGGTTCGGATGGCGTTTGAGACAGCTCGATCTGGAGGCCGTATGCTGTCAATGATCTCAAACTGCTATGCAGCGAGCAGGTCAGACAATTTCTGGAATGAAGCTCCACAGGGTCACGGCCACTTCGGCAGAAAACCCGCCTCAAGGTCCCATACGCGGATTACACACCTGGGCTTAGGTCGTGTCAAAGAGTGAGAGAGCTGTCATGCTCGAGCGTGGATGCAGATCATCGCCTGTCACCATCAGAATAGGTTAGACTGGAGGATCCCATCGCAAGGGCCTTTTCTTCTCGAGCCGCACGTCTTCGGCCCTCAGCTGAGGGACTACTCTTCTGAATATCTGTCGAATCAGACATTGCTTGTTCGTTCTCACGCCAGTGCGGCAGTTGTCATCCTGGGTAGTTGATGCGATGGTGTTACTGCTGAGGCACCCGACGGCACAACTTCACGAGGTCTGGCAAAGCTTCTGGGAGGTCGAAATGTGAAGGGAGAGCATCGAATGCAGGTGGAGATGCGGCTGACAGCCCCCGAAGGGACCTGAGCTGATCACGACCTTGATGGAATTTTCTCAAGGCTTGCGGAGATAGCAGCTCTGACTCTGCGGTTCGAATAAGAAATCTCGCCGCCTAGATGATCGGCCGGCGTCTTTGGTAACGAGCTTGTCCCAAGAGGCGTTTTTAGTGCTGACTGTGTGTGCCCATCAGCCCCAATATGCAACCTCCCTGGCACGCCTGACAATAGGGAGGGGGGGGATGTTATGTTTTATAACGGTACCGTACGCCTCGATCCAACCCTACTGGCAACTACAGCTTCCCGCTTCTATCCTCACAACCGTGAATCGTGCTGGCTTAGTCGATCCTTGCAAGATGGCAGACAATGGAGCTGAAGGCGCTGAGCTTCAAGCCGGCAGGAGTTATCCGATGATGACAATGGCGACGGCGGCATTGCTGTTGTTACCGCTGGCCTTGGTGCTTAAGAAGCTCCTGTATCCCAACTTCGATCCTCGCGAACCTCCTGTGCTCCGCCCAAGGCTTCCAGTCCTCGGGCATATCATTTCTCTCGTCAGGGAGTCGGGCAGCTTCTATGCCAGATTGTAGTATGTTTTCGGATCATCCAAAAAGAAAAATAAAAAAGCCTAGGGTTTCGCTGACCGGAGTGTATAGCAAAGAAAAGCCGATGCCGATTTGCACATTGCCCATATTGCACGGCAAGATGTACGTGGCTAACTCGCCCTATCTGATCGCAGCGGCGATGTGTCACGGAGACATCTCTTTCGAGCCTTTCCTAATCGAAGCCTCGTCGGTCGTGCTGGATCTCCCAAAGCATCACCACGACATCTTTCTACAACCGGGAGTCCTGGGACAGGTTGGAAAAACGATGGCGTCAAACCTAAGACAGGAGGCGCTGCAAAAGATGAATTATGCTGCTTTAGAATATTTGGCAGGGGTGTTGAATACAATCAACCTCATGAGCGCACTCGAATTGCCCGATTGGTTTCAATGGATCAAGGGCACCTTATCCATGGCGACAGCGACTGCTTTGTACGGGAATGACAACATGTGGGATGCCGAGAAGCTTGAGGATCTCTGGTGAGAAGAGCGTGAACTTCATAACCTGAAATAGACTGACATCAAGCAGGACATTTGAGAAAGGAATGGGGCTTTTGATGATGAAGATTGCGCCGAATTTGGTTGCCCCCAAGGCTGTCGCTGCCCGAAAGCGGATGAAAGATCTCATAAGGCCCTTCTATGAGGCACAGAAAGACGAGAATTCGAACGTGGCGAAGATTCTTCAAGACCGGGCCAAGTATTTCCGTGAGCTGGGGATGCCATCTGAGGATCTCTCCCAAATTGAGTTTCTCATTCCTTTTGCCGCAACCTTGAATACGGCGCTGAACCTGTTCTGGACCTTTGCCGAGGTGTTCTCGAGGCTAGAGTACACTGAGCGTATCCGGCAAGAAGTTCTCCCAGTGGCCGTGGTGACGAGGAGTGAAACAGGGCGAGACGTGACAATCGACGCTAAAAGCCTGGAGGCAGACTGCCCCTTCCTGGTCGCCTGCTTCCGCGAAGTTCTGAGATTGTACAGTGCGCAAATAGGAAACCGAAGTGTCATGAAGGATGCGACTCTAGAAGACGCGGATGGTCGTCAATACCTGTTGAAGAAGGGCACAAACATGCAGTGGTCGGCGAGCGTCACTCACTTTATGCCGGAGATTTGGGGCGATGACGCCGCCTCTTTCATGCCGGAGCGATTCGTTGACGTCGAACCCCAGGAGGAGAAACGGAGACGTGGGGCACTGATCCCGTTCGGAGGAGGCCGTCATCTATGTCCCGGCCGGTACTTTGCTCAAACAGAAACCCTCGGGTTTGTCAGCGTGCTGGCTCTTGGATTCGACGTGGACGGAGTCAAGGTTCCTGCGGCGGAAGCCCCGCCCCTTGGTGGAGCGACGAGACGGCCCGCGAGAAACCGGGTGGGCGAGAGTATCAAGATTTCGCGGCGCAAGGGCTGGGAAGACGTGACATGGAGATTCCTATGTTAGTACCATGGAAAGCTGCTACCTTCATTTGTCAAGGTCGGTTCCGTCTGGAAAGAAGCTTATAGGTGAATGTCACCCATGTCGGTGTGATGCAGTGACATTGGCTGTGTCCCATGTCGACAAGGGAAGATCTGACCAGAGGTATTTGGAGGGCTGGCAGTTGCAAATGCATACCACTGAACCACTGGGTGAGTGCAGTGCATATTCCTTGACCAAACCGAGCTGGAGCAACCGATGCGAAGTTATTCCTTCGTGCGATTGGTGAAGTCGTTCAGCAGCGATGTACAATGGCGGAAGTGGTTGCAGCTGGCGGGCACTCCCCCAACCTGTCAATCCCGGCGTCATGCGTTGAGCTGTCAATTTGATAGTCGGCAGGCTGAAGAGTCTTCAGCGCCGCGATTGGCAGAAGGCGGGAGGATGCGGTGTTGCGTGACGGACCAGATGGATAGCCATGCCGCACATAAGACGAGGGGGAGTCCCGCCATACACGGAACGGCAGCGGCAGGCGAGTCGACGTGGTCGATCCCATGGGATGATTCGGCCAACCGTTATCAGTCCGACACATTTTGACCCCCCAAGTTGGTGATGTGATGCAAGGATGAGATATTGGGGCGTGAGGCATATCGAACGGCGCGTATGGATACACTAGACTTCGACGGACGAGTGGCTGACGGAGGGTGAGACCTAGGCACGCTGACAATGTGTATTTGCAAGTTCGGTGCTGAGCCCTGGCACAAAATCACAGCGTCAGACGGCGAAGCAGGCATCCCGTCATGATTGTGGATTGCCGTTGGTCCAGGGCCTCCAAGTACGTTGGCTTGCTCTCAAGGGTATTGAAGAAGTTGTGCGAAGGACTCGGGGTCTTTGCATTCATGACGAATAGGCGTCGGGATGGGTCATCGGTGAAGGGCTTTGCGCAAATCTGTCCGTCGTCTCTGCTGCTTCACCGCCCTCTGGCGGCTGGGGTCTGTTCGAATCCCTTGCATCTTTGTTGCGGTCAGATTGTTCTTTTGAAGGAGCGCGGATAGCTGCCGGCAGACCCCTGTTGTGGGACTTCGCGAAAGCGGTGCAACATCTTTTTTTTCGGCTCTCGCCGGACGGTGATGCCCCGAGCAGTACGGGTAGACGTGCTTGATTTTCTACGAATCGCAGTACAGGAGACAATGAATATGCGGCGGTTAAGGGGACTGCAGGCCGATTGTTGGCAAGAAGAAGATGCTACCTTAGAGTGGAGTTGGCCGAGAAACTTTCAGTAACTTTCAGTAGCTTTCTTGGAATCCCAGCTAATGAGGTAAGGTCGCGGGAAAGCCTTTTCGTCGTTGGCGCAGTTGCGGAAGCGTGCCTTTTTGCGGGTCGCTATCGCAGGGCAGGCACAGGATCTTGGTACCTACTCTGGGAGCGAGCGAGGTGAGTTTGGGGAAGGAGCTGTTTGTGGGGACTTTTCCAATGGAAGGGGAATGGTGACACAGCCGTTAGGTTCCTACTATTTTGCTGTGCTTGCGTCAAGGCTCAAGGTAAGGTACCTGTGTACGGATACTCATGCCCCATTGGCAACGGATGCACCTGCAATTTCGAGGCGAGGAAGGCGCAGTGTACTTTAGTTACCCCGAAGGACGCAACGGTCTTTCCCTCGACCTTCTTCCCCTCTTGACATATGGTAGGACAAGGCGATTCCTCTTCTTTTCTCTCCTGCCTTGTAACCGGAAGATATATCGAGAGCAGTGGCAGCCAAAGTCAAGTCATGAAATGGTGGCAGTCGGTCCTCCTGTCCCCGCTTTCCCTCTCAGCCCAACAGCCAGGTCGAGCGGTGATCCATGGACGGGGAAGGAGAAAGGCCGGGTGGTTGGGGGACCTGAACCCTGCTTGACGGAGGGTGCCCCTGACCACCCTAACGCGCCCGACCGGATCGTGTCGACGCTCCCACCACCGCGCACCTCACGCAACTTAGCTCCCGTCCTCAGGTCTGTACGGGGAACTTAATGTGGTAAGGTAAGGAACATCAGCAAGTGGCGAGTGACGGGAGTGACATGACCTCCCGTCCCAGTAGCAGTTGGCGCTGATTATGCACCAACACCATCGTCCCGTCGTCGGCAGGTTTTGGGTGGGCCCCTCTCCAAAAGCTTCACGTCAAGATTTCTTCTCGTCTATCCATAGTGCCCCTTCCCCTCTCCTTGGGCCAGGTCCACGCGATCCAGCGCCGCCCGTCCTGCCGCTGCGCTCCTGCACCTCGAAGCTCTTCATGGCGGTGGGCGGGTCCTTTCCAAGTCCCCCCCGGCGCCCCCCAGGCACAAAAAAACACAAAACTGGGCGATCCGCTTATTTGAGGCATCATCATTGGCTGGGGCTGGCCTGGGGGAAGCGACGGAATGGGGATCCAGGGTGGCTCCTAGGAGGAAGGCGAGAAGCGGCAGGCGGGCGGGCGATACGTACCGGCACCTTCCCGGTCCTCGTCTTGTCAGTCTGTCACTGGCGCCTGATGTGATCAATGTCGCATTGATTGATTTTACTGCTGGCTCTTCTACTCAAGAGTTGTATAGTTAGCCAGAAATGCCTGACGTCTACGGATATTCTATTTGCTTTTGACCGATGGACAAGAATGTGGAATTACGTGGGGTGTTGATGTATTGTGTGGTGATCTCCCCTCTCATCATCAATAAATGAGGTACAGACAGCCACCCTGACCAGCTTCGTCTTGCAGGCGGAATAGAATGTATCTCATCTTCTTCAGCAAAGTGGCACAAACCATTTTTGTGCATCTGAGAGTTGTAGTCTACAAAGAATCCAGCCAAGGCGGCGGCCAGTTATGTTTTATTGCAGTCATTGTCTAAAGACGAGAGGTGTCGCATCTGCTGGAAAGGCTGACAATCTGGCAGAGGAACACGGTTTTGATACTCGGCCGCGTTCGTGTCCTGGCTCACTGTCACACATCAAGCCATCACATCGCTTGCTTCGGTGATGCTGTCAGCAGCAGCCGTCATCAGCGTCATCAGGGTGATGCTCATGGCTAATGATGGATAGCAAATGCTGCCTACCGTTGGGTACAGCATCAGCTCCATACGTTACCTACCCAACTAAGGTACCCTTCGCAATCTCAACAACACAGCTTGAGAACTACCACCCCGTATTGCATTGAGTCTCAGATGAACGAGCCGAGGGACAAGAGACACGTAGACACGGCGCGCAACACCCAAGACACCACGCTAGGTACGCCACCTTAATTACCCCAACCTATGCCTCCATTCCCCTTGCTGCAGGTGAGGATGCCGTACCTCACCTTTAGTATCGGTACACAGTACGAATATAATCTACTTTACGGATGCATGCGCCTGGGGCCATGTACGTAGCATACGTAGGTAGCATCACGCCAAAAAGTTACCTTCACCAGCAAGCCAGAAACAAAAAGCAGAACACAGCCCTTCCCGCATTCTCGCGCGACTCCGCTCTGGCCCCTAGGGCACCTCGCCCTGGATCTGGGCCACGTTTGTCCACCGCCAGTCTTCCTGCTTGGGGGGCATCCCGCATGCAACTCTCTGCATTGTGCATTCTGCATCTGTTTGGTGGCTTGCTGCTTGTTTGCCCCCTCTCCGAGCCCAGCAAGCCCAGTCTCGCAGCTTGCCTGCCCAAATTGACGACATGACAATCGACATATCCGTACCTGTATCCGTATGAATAATGTTTTGCAGAGCTGCCGTGCGTCCTCGTTTCTGGCGTTGCGCTGTCGACGTTCTTCCCCGCCCGCGTTCCTCGATCAGATGCTTTGACGGCAGTACTATTGCCAACGGACACTGAATACTGGCACTAAGACTCTGCGGACCGTCTCTTCCTGCATAAGCTTACCTACATTGGCTTGCTTGGCTACCATCGTACGGATAGGGCCCCTTGGATCGTCCATGTCCCCTTGCGCATCTTCAGCCCCCTCGTGTCCCCCCGTCATCTCCTTGCTGCCCTTCTCCACGTCTTGCACGCCGTTCGGTCCTGTCTTGGAGCTCTGCGGTTCGTCGCGAGGCGCAAAATAACTTGTCAGCTTGAGTTCCCTGCGTCTTGGACGGCGAGGAAGGTTCCAAGAAGGAATACCCAGGTGGCAAGTGTTCGTATACCGCTGTAGCTGCCCAGACCAGACCTTTTTTTTTTTTTTTTTCAAATTAATTTTTTTTTGTTTGACTCTTTCCTTTAATCAAGATCAACACTCCGTACGAAAGAACCAACCCAGCAGGCGATTACCTGGCTTACTTACTCAACCGAACGGTCACGTGAAGCCATCACCACATTTCCTCAAATCTGAAGACGCGGTCAAGTTACCTACGAATTGGCCACCCACGAACGAAGCAAACCTCACCACCTCACCACCTCACACACGTCAATCTGACAATCTGCAAAACGCCCACCAGCTTGCGGCAAGGAAAACAACATCCGTACCCCGGGCGCGGCGCATCGACATCATCGTTTCCCATCAACGGGGGGCACCTGTCTCACTAGCGCGAACGAACCTCCCCCGGCATCCCTGTCGCGTTCCGGCTGATTTGCGCCCATTTGCCAGCGGCTGCCCCAAGGTCACCAGCCCACGCCACGGTCCCAAGGATACAAGTCCCCCAAGTCCCAAGCACCCAGGTCGACCTCGACTTTTGGACCTTACGGGTACTTCCTCCAACTTGACCTCACGAGTCACCGGTGAACTGTGACAAAGGTTGGAGCACCCAAGCATCCAAGCACCCTGTCACCTTCACCTTGACCTCTCTCCCCTCTCCCCCAAAGAGACAAGACAAGACACCACCACCATCTCAACCCACCCACACCAACAAGAACCGGGACCCTGTCGCCTGTCCACTTCCACCTTGACTTTCACACACCCGGCCCGCTGCCCCAAGGTACTTCGAAAAAAGACGAGGGCCAAGGAAAAGAAAGAGGAAAAAAACGAGAGTGAGCACAGGCACAAGCTGTTCAATGCCAGCAACCGGCTAGCCCAGCTCCACCGAAACAGGATCCGACCAGGGGAATCCAAAATAATTCTGCGTCCGTGTAACACAACAGTGTGTCGCGATCTTCCTCCGCTCCTCGACCCTTCCTTTCCTCCTTCCCTACCTTGCATCACACCTTCCTTACCTCACCTTACCTCTCACCTTCAACCTTACCCTCCACCTCCCAACCTCACCCATCGCTCTGGCGAATCCTCACCTCCGCGACCATCACCGACGATACCTTTGCCTATCGAGCGATTCTCTTTCGGCACCCGCACACGATTCTGCTTTTGCGATAGCATCCACCTCACCCTAGTCGCCGTCGCGCTGACGCACCTCCGACACCTATGTGCAATCCATCCTGTGGTCTTTGAGCTAAAAACTCGGCGCGATGGATCCAAGACAGCCGTCACAGCTACCCTTCTCGCGCAACGCTGCTTCGCAGTACAGCCGGTCACCTTTTCCTCCATCGTCGAACACGACCGCGACGTCGACACCGAACCAGTCGCCATTCCCACCCGTTTCTCACCCTCCTGCAAATAATCCTCCGTATGCCGAGCATCAGCGACGCTCCTCGGAAAACCCATACTACGCATCGGGCCCGAGATCCTTCCCGCAAGAGCCCAACTCGGGGCCTCCTCCTCCTCCCCCTCCTCCTTCGGGCCACTCTCGACACCCAAGTGCATCCTCATTACCCGGCGGTCCGCCCATGAATCGTAACATGCCTCCTCCGGGTTCTCCTCCCCAACCCGGAAATCCGCCCCCCCCGGGATCGCATCAGATAGGGCACTACGGCTTGCCTGTGCCAAGAGCTCCGCCTTTGACTGTTGGTCACCCAACTTCATTCCCAGGCGGCCGCGAGCTGCCTTCGCTGCACTCGATACAGAGAACGGGGAGTACTGGCAGCTCCATGTCTATATCCTCCATGCTGGGTGGACCTCCTACAGCGCAGAGAGACTCACAGCCACCGCCGTCGCATTTTGCTGCACCTGCGACATCCGCACCTTCTGGACCGACGTTTGCGCCGACGATGCAGGCTTCCCCGAGAATGCACTCTGCTTCTTCCGACTACCAGCCCTTCAGAAGACCTCAGACACCGGAGCATGCGCGCCCGTATGACCCGAGAGGCAGCGCCGCCGCATCGCCCCAAGGTGCGTATTCGACCACGCCCGAGATGCAACGCTATGGCACGCCGCAACAGGGCTACCACCAGCGTGGCCCATCAGCTCAGGATGGCAGAGAGTCGAGCCGAATGCCCCAAGGTCCTCCGCCGAGGCCTACGAGCCAACCAAAGTCCTTCCAGAACATGCCGCCGAGGCCTGCTGATATGGGTCGGAATAACGGACCGGAGGAGATGTATCCGAGGCGGGAGGAGATATCTAGAGGCTCAATGGAATACAACCCAGAGAGACCTGGTCTGAAGCCCATGACCTTTGACGACCGTTACCGAGCGGAAAGGGATCGCCGGGACGAGATTGAGTTTAGGGAAAGAGAGCAGGTGAGAGAAAGGGAACGCAGAGAACGAGCATATTCGGGAGGCGATAGTGGGCGAGGGCCTCCAGTGCACCAAGGCGAGTATCGGCCTCAGGAAGTCCAAAGGGGCCAACCTCCACCGTTCACGCGTCCACCCGAGCAACGTGAACAGGGCCCTTGGCCACCGAGGCAACAACAGCCCTTTGACCAGTCCAGGGTACCATACGATCCTGCTGGATTGCACCCCAGACACCATGAGTACCCCCCGACTTCTGCACCCGGCTATGGAGCTCAATCCCATCCCACACCCGCTCCTCAATTCCAGCAACAACCACCTCCGAACGACCGATTCCCGCCACCAAACCATGCCCAACAGCCGCCTCCAGGACAGCCAGGTCAGCCTGGTCAGCCCGGTCAGCCGCACCTGCAGCAGCAACAACCACAGCAACAGCCTTTTGATTCCCCCGAGCGGCGGATCAACCATCTACATCCTCAAGCGCTACCACCTTCCTCGCATCGTCGACCTGTGGAGGAAGGCCCGCCACCTCCATCCGTCGCATACAATACACCACACGGCCCGCCAATGTACGATTCACCTCGCAACCGACCAGTCGAAGAGCACTCGAACAACAATCAGAGAAATCTGTTGGCGGTCCAGGAAATCAATAGGAAAGGACGAGTGTCGCCATTGCCTCAGGCTGTTCAAGGAGCGCAATCACGACAGCCGGGACCAGCGGGTCAGCCTAGCATCAAGACCGAGTTTGGCAAGATGTTCTCCGGCATAGGAAGCGGAGTTACCCTTAGTGGTAGCCCTGTTAACACAGTAGCTCCATTACCATACACAAACGCGAGCCTTGCACGACGTGATGAGACAGACAGCGCGGCGCATGAGTCTGGTCCAGACACGACAGCGCCCAAGCCTAAGGGACGGCGGAGAAAGTTAAAGGAGGATGACACTAAGGGTGACGAGGAGAGCACGGGACGACTGACGCCTGTTGGTCGAGCAAAGCGCCCGAAGACTCATCAACATCACCACCACCAGTACGTCCCGGTTCCCTCTGGTCTTTCTACAACGACTAACGACGACAGCCATCATCACCATCATCACCATGGTCATCATGCTGTCGACCACGCCAATGGATCTACCCCTACTCCCGCCAGCGCCACGCCTTTCAAGAACGTCAAGGGAAGCACTCCCATCCCATCCCCGACGGGACTTGCGAAAGATCTGCCGGTTGCTCACCACCACCACGTCCCTCGACCGGCACATCAGCATACACACGTCAAGGAGGCTCCCGCCAAGCAGGCCGTTCAGAGCCCGACGAGCGCTCCGCCCCCCAAGCCAAAGACGATTGTGACCTCGAAGGTCGTTCTCGAATCGGTTGCTCACCTGCCGCGAAATCACTTGGGAGACGTCCTATACGAGCCCAAACTGAGGCCCGCAAGACAAATTCCCAACCTCCCATCGGGTCGCGGATTCTCCTCGACTCCTATGCCACTTCCTTGGAACGTCATCAAGGACAAGGAGAACTGCACACTCACGGTGAAGGTGCCCAAGGTGCACCTCACTTCAGCAGCGAGGGAAGAGATCACGGCTCGCAGAGCATTGTGGGGCACAGATGTGTACACGGACGACTCGGATGTCATTGCTGCGTGTATCCACGGAGGATGGATCCGAGGAGAATGGGGCGACGACGTCGATGTGGCAATGTTGGATCTCGATCGCGGTCTCAATGCCCCCGAGAAAGAAGGTCCGGCGACTAAGAGACGCAAGGAAAAAGAGAAGGAGGAAAAGGCCCGGTTCGAGGCCAACTCAGCCACATATCTCGACAAGCCGCCCAAGACGGGCCCTGTCGACGTGCCTATCGATCGCGATATGCACATCAGCCTTGTGATCCTTCCGCGATTGGATAAGTACGGCAGCACTACTCGCTTCGGCATTCAGTCTCGAGAGTTTGGCGGACGGTACAATGGTCGTCAGTCGGTCCATGACGGCATCAGCTACATGATTACGGGTATTCGCTGGGTCACCAATGGCGCCGGTACGCAGAGTCGTCTCCGTGGCAAAGGCCGTAGAGAGCGAATGCGCAAGGCCATGGGAGAGATGAACGCGGCTAGCCGGGGCCTTAATGGGGCAGCGCTGGAGCGCGAGAAGCTTCGCCTTAGTAGGATTCGAGGCGAGATCGTCTCCGGCACGTGGTGGAAGAGAAATCAGGGTGTGCGCGTCCCTGACGAGTACAAGGAACAGAGAGCGACGAGTGAAGGAGACAAGGAGAACAGACCCGACGGTGAGCCTCCTCAGAACGTGGCTCCCAAAGCGAACGACACTACTACCGCGAATGGTGCTCCGGCGGTCGAGGGCGACAAGATGGACGTGGATGGTGCCGCAAAGGGCCCCGACGCTTCGGTTGCTTGAGGCATTATCATGGCTTGATTTGCAGAGGAGAGGACTTGGAGACGAGTGATTTGTGAGAATTGGGCAGCGGATGACAAAGTTGGAGTAGTTTTGTAGGAGTAGCGCTGGTCAGAATACCCAACACTTTCGATTACGCAAACGCGGTTCGAGGTGACGTCTTTACATGGTATCTTGATGTGATTACGGTGACTAATTACTATACACTGGTTATACAACTGCGTATGGGGGGCCATCCTCTGCTCAGGTCTCGCTGGCTAGACGGGGAAATCGTCCCCGTAGCCTCACAGAACGCTACTCCGTTGTGATCTCGAGGCTGGTCATATTTTCCAAAGAGAGAGGAATGTCTCGTAGCCTTCGCGTCCCCTTAAAAGTCCGTCACGCGACCGTTGTAGCTCCAATCCCCGCCGGACCCCCAGCGCAGCGGCTCCCTCTTGGGCCCGCCGACCTCGCCGGTGCGCGGGTTCACATCGCCCTCGAACTCTGCGGGGGCGCCGCGGACGTAGTTTGGGTGCATTGTGTCTTCGTCGGTCGCTGCGATTGTGGGTGTGGTGGGGGTAGCCGTTGCTGTTGCTGTGGCTTCGGTTGCGGCTGCGGTCGTGTTGGTGTCTGAGGTGGCGGCGGCGGCGGCGGCGGAGGCGGAGGAGGAGGAGGAGTCGGCGGGCGGTTCAGACTGTTCTTCGACGAGGTGTTGGAAGGCGCTGGAGACGGAGGCCTGGCGTTGGAGGCGCTCGAACTCGGCTTGTTGGTCTGCTGGAAGGCGGGGGGGCGCGGGGCCTCGGGAGAAGGCTGAGGTGGAGGAGAGGCGGGTTGAAGGGGTCTTGGTGAGGTTTAGGAGGGGGCGGAGGCGGAGGATGCGAGACATTGTGTGTTTTTTTTTTTTTTTCTGTTAATTGGTTGATTGGTTGGTTGGTTGTCTTTTGGTATTAACTGCTGAGTTGAGGCAAGAAAAGATTGACGTCGGTTGGAGTCGTCAGTTGTGGTGGTGGTGGTGGTGACAGCGGTTTGTAGATGGACGGGGTTCGGGAAAAGGCGAAAATGCTCGGGACTGAAAAATGTCGTAATGTCATTGACGCGGGCTGGTCAGAGCGCAGAGGACAGGCGTTTGTTTGGACCCTTGGAACCCCCAATCACTCCCCCCCGTGGCGTTGGGCTTCCAGTGGCGGAGGCGGATGGGGCCGAGGTTTAACGTTAGGTTGCGGAAGCTTTGCGGGCTTACTCAGCTTTCGCTCTCTTTTTCTTTTTCCTTTTTGAAGTGCAGAATTTCTTAGGTAAGCCGGCAAGAGAGCAGGGAGCATGTTCTGAGCTGGAGCCATCACCACTTAACGCCAGTGCATCTAAGTCGATAATACCTGGTTCCTCATCAAGGGAAATGACAACAACACGTTCCATCTCAAGCTAACATAGTTGAGGAGTCATGGGGGAAAATAAAACTGAACGCTTTAATTCGAATACACTCAGCATACCAAGGTGTGACTACCTCATGCTCACGTCTGCGGAGCCGTCCATCGACATCATCAACGTTTCGTGGCAGCTTCTTCTGCCTATGGTAGCGGCCGCATAACAACTCACCAGCCATTTCCAACTTCTCGACTCCATCGAGGGGCATTAACAGATTTGCTGAGCTTTCAAACTTTCCAAGACGGCAAGTACCAGTAATCTTGATATGACTGGCTGGTTGGGTGGTCTTAAGGGCGTCGTCTGGGAGGTGGTAAACGATGTCAAGCGCTCCAATCGCATTTGCGCATTGTCACATCTGTACGACGCCTGCCACCTCCACATCCCGACTCGCCAGGAATCCTCAAGACCGACACCGCGAGTTGAGTGACCCCCGTTAAGTTTAAATGTACGACGTTATGTCCCCTGAGAATTTAAGCTTCGACGTCCATCCGTCGGTTCCAAAGGACAGTCTCCCTATACATAGTGCAGCAAGGTCTCACGGGTGTCAGGGGAACCCAGAGGAGCACGTTTTTGTCTTTAAGCCTATTTCGCAGCATGTGCGCAAAGACAGCCATATAGGCCGGAGCGCGGTTAGCCAGCCCCTCAAGGGGAAACTCACAATCCCGTCATCCATGGCCGGAGCATGGTGGTATCGTGGTATTCACTCCCGCGGCCCCCGCTCCGGCGGCTTCGACCCTTTCCCGATCTACTCGGGCGACGGCCACTACTGTTTCCACGGCGCCTCCCAACATTCCATCTACATCCAAAAGCTCAACGCAGACTACGTCTCCACCTCAGCCTCTCCTCTCTTTCATCTCCAAGTCCACCCAATCATACCCTAGGGACGCGTCTCGCACGCCCGTGAAAAAAAAAAAAAAAAAAAAAAAGACCCCGCGGCGGTCTACTTTGGCGGGAACGACGTACATTGCCTACTCTGTGTCGTACTGCTGGTTGCCGCGAGCTACTGCTTGGGCCTCTTGGCCTGGGGTTGATACCCCGTGTCCCATGCAGATGCCGCAGCGTGGATAAAGGGGAGCGGATGCGTGTTGGGCTGTGGGAACGGGCACTACGGTGCGAGACATGCTAGTTTCTTTGCGAGTCCTGTTGGGGATCAGAGGGAGATTGCGTACCATGCTACGGCGAATAGTGTGGTGCGCGTACGATGATAGTCGGGATACGATGATACAGATGGTGGGAAGATGAGTAAAGGGACTCCCAACTTTAAGACGCCTGTTGCTTTTAGTTATGTGTATGGTGAGCCGCATAATTGAGGCTTGTATGGACGGGTTGGGTGGTCTTTGATGTTTGGGGAGGGGAAGGGGAGGGCTTTGAAGAGTGCGAGACTGTTGATGAAGGTATGACGATATGAGATGTTTACGGGAGCGAATCGATTAGAGGAGATGGGCTCGGAAGGTGAAGCTCGATTCTTGTAAATACTTTGTTTTTTGGATTTGCACGTACATAATACCAGCAACCAGCTTCCGTTGGTGGAAAATTGGTATAGGTTTGAGTTGATGAACGGAAAGACAGGATCAACCATCGTGACCCTGACGGGTCTTCGGCTTTCTACACCCATCTAGATTCAACAGGTTGGAGGAACATTTGATAGAAGACGAAGCGGATCCCCGCAACAAGTACGGGATCCACTCGTCATGCTGGCAGGCAGCCAAACAACACCAATATGAAGAATTGTGCTGAGTTCCATCAGACATCCCTCGGACCGAAGGCAAAGAGAGGTGGAAGACTAATCAATTATGAATTATACCTAATCCTCCTCTTTCCAAGTCGATTACCGTGCGTCTGCCTTCTCCCATACCATTACATCGCATTCTTGCATGCGTGTGGCTTGGGCCGGTTACTCTATACAGGACATGCCATCATTAACTTCCTAATCTTCATATTCTACTTCAAGGTATCGTGTGTTCGAAACAAGTACGCTGTCGCTACTGGTGGATGGTATCTTTCCGTAATTTTCGGGGGTATTCGGCCCACACGTTGGCCATGGGTCTCTTCCGCCTTGATCGAGGCTGTACGACTTCGAAAGCCAAGTAGCCTAAATCTGGCCATTGCCAACGAGTTCTCGCTGAACTTCGACCTCCCCGCTGTCGGCGGTAAACCGTCGCTCGAGAACCCATCGGGTCTCGCCACTCTCTTCTTCTTTGATGTAAGATATGCTATCCGCGGACCCCTTATGCTTGTGCCCCTTGCCGGGCTTCCGCTGGGGTGTAGGGTCGATCCGGGGCACGATGTTCGGATGCATGGCCGTGTCCGGGCTCTTCATCCACAAGCCGGAGTGTGAGATGGTGTTGGAAATTGACAACTCGTCCATCTCGTCAGACTCGGGAACGGGGTCGAATGCCGCGCTGTGCGTGAAGTGGGGAGAGTTCATCACTACCGAGGGACTCTGGTTGAGCGGTGGAAGTGGAGGAGCCGGTGACCCTATAGTGGGCATGGACATGGTGAGAGTGGGCGAACCCGACGTGCTGCCCGCGTCCGAAGAATCCATGTCGCGGCTGCGGACAGAAAATGCAGAATTCTTTCGGCCATGGCCGTGTATACCCAGCATGTTGTGAGGCCCTGGGCCCCAAGGCGAGCTTCCACCTTCACCCCTCTCCGATCTCGGTGATCCCTCGCGACTCGAGACAAGACTGGCCTGTGAGCCGCCCCAAGCCTTGGAGCGCAGCCGCATCAGTGCTGATAGGCTCATGTTGTCGTCGCCTTCTGCCATCATCGCAAGTTGGGCCAGGCCAGGGCTCTGAAGACTCGATGGACCAGAGCCAATGCCAGGTGGAACAGCGAGGCTCATAATCGAGTTTCGGTTAGAGTACTCGGATCTTTCTGTGATGGGCGTGAGGTTGGGCTCCCGCGATACTATCCTGCCAGACTTGCTTCGAGATACGCCCGATGGCCCAAAGAAGCCGCCGTTGGCATATTCGAAAGGCTTCTCGTCCGATCCGTTGGAGCTGTCTCTGCTGTGGCGCCCTCCTCCTTCAACAGGAGCAGAGTAGAACCCGAACTCCTGGCCATACCAACCATCAGAGTCGTTGGCAAGGGCACTAGCGTTTGCCTCCGCAATGAAGTCGTCGTAGTCAACATCGTAATCATTCAGGTCTTCGCGAAAACCAGTGTCGTCATAATCATCGTACTCATCCATGTTCTCGTTGTGTGGAATGTCATACGAGGACTCTCCAGTGGGTGACATAAGCTCGCTTGGAGGGGGTGACGAGTCGCGTCGAAATCTGCCATTGGCGGCGGCTTCAAACGCTGCCGCCGCAAGAGCAGTTTGGTAAGCTTCCACCTTGTCCTGGCCCGTTGCTGAGAAGCTGGAAGTCATTACGGAGGATTCCTGGCCCTGAGCCAGGAGGTCGCTAGCCCGTTTTGACTCTTCGGCAGAGGGAGCCGGCATGCCGACGCTGAGGGATGTATGGGCCGTTGATTGCGAAACATTGGACTGCGCAGACAGTCTTGATGTGCTGTTGGATATCCTCTTGCTGTTCTCAAGGGCAGCGCCGTCTTGAGCACTAGCATCTTGGCTTTCGCCAATCTTGACATCACCTTCTTGTACACCGTTATCCAGTGCAGTTGCGCCACCAGCCATGGCAACCCTCGCAGCTTGAGCCCTGGCAAAGGCGCCCGGAATAGGGCGGCCATATTTGTCTGTGTCGTCCAGGTCAAAGATGGACTCGTCAAAGTAGGAGCCATCACCCTCTCCAGCAAATTCCAACTCATCGAGAAGGCCGTTGTCAAAATAGAGATCGTCCTTCTTAGGAACTGCGAGCGGAGCAGGTGACAAGGACGGGTTTGGGTCGCACAATGTTTCATCCTCATCTTGCTGGTCCTCACTGGCAATGTTCAAGTCCTCGATGGGAGGGCCAGCAGTAGATTCAGTCGTACTAGGCGACAAGTGCTGGTCCGGAGCGAAATTGGGACTCAAAACCTGATTCAGATCCGACGCGTCTCTCGAGACAGCAAATCCAATCACTTTGCCCTCAGCATCCCTTGGCGTCGCTAACAGACCAGCGCTGTGTGGACTGGTCAAAGCCGAGGGAGGGCCCGATCGTTGAAAGACAAAACCAGCAAAGTTTTCTTGGTCATTATCGGGATCGTTTTCAGCATCCTCCTCAGCTTCGATTTCAACTTCTGGCACCGGGTCAAGAGCCAAGGGGTCGGTTCCAGCCGCGTCAAAAGCGTCATCGGCATCAAGGCCTAAAGGATCTGTGCCGCCAGCGTCGAAATCTTCTTCGTAGGCGTAGTCATCTCCAAAATCATTACTCATCGGAATCGGCTCTTCGAAGCCATCATCCTCCATCATGGCATCGTAATCAAAGTCCTCGTCAAAGTCGTCGAACCTCGAATCACGAGCTCCACTAGGTTCAGGGTCGGACGTCTTCCTCTCGAGTTCGCGTTGACGATGTCGTTCCTCGAGAAGCTTCTCCTGCTTTGCGGCACCAACCATGTCGAAGCTAAATCTAGAGGACGTACTCTTCATGTGGCGGGGGACAGAAGAGAGCACATCTCGCCCAGACACGGAAGCATGCCTTGAGGGATTTGATCTAACAGAAGGTGTTTTCTTCGACAAGACCGAGGCCGCGCTGATTGAGGGCTTCTTGGAGACGATTGAGGCCGAGCTTGACGAGGGCGCCGTATCGTCTTTGGGCGGCACATTAGGTAGAGGTTTCGTCTCCAGGTTTAGGCTGCTTCTCGTCTTCACCGACCCGCTCCCGGATTCGACAGCCGGCTGTGATGCGACGCTGACGGAGCCCGAGCGGCCAGACTCGGAAGCACTGCTTGTATTCCTGCCATGTTGAAACGCTTGGGTCGGTGCTGTGCTCTCTCTTGACGACGTCTGGCCCAAGTCTAGCATCTCTTCAAGTATCTGTGGTTGTGCTTTCGTCCCAGGAGTCGGCGCCGCGGCAGGGCTAGGACCTTCGTTATGCGGGAGACTCCGTCTTGGTCGTGGAGCGCTGAAGTCGTGAACTCTTGTCCCTCGGATACGAGGATCGTATGATGAGTTCCCTCCAAGCGGGAGAGGTGTCAAGTCTGGCGCATTTTGGCTCGTCTTTCTCCGCGCAAGGAGCGTTGACATGGAATTTTTCAGAAAAGGCAGACCTTTTCTACCCTTGGGGGCATCGGATGCATGATTGGCCATGCGGATAGGTTCGCTCGACAGTCTCGTCCCCGCGGGGCGTCGTCCGGTGGCAGCGTAGCTTGGGGCTTGGGGAGAGCTTTGGGTGTGACCCTGGTGTTGCAGCTCGGTCGGGGTCGCAAAAGAGCCGGCATGTTTTGAGGCCTTCGTGGGTTGGGGTGGGGGTCTCGTCAGAGGGGCGGTATTTATCGGCGGGGGCGCGGGTTTCGAACTTGCGAATTGACTTTCGTGGCTGCCGTGAGGGACCGGGGACGCAACCAGATCCGGTGATTTCGCTGCCATTTGTTGCTTTAGTTGTTTCTGCTGCTCCTGCTGTTCGCGTTGGTATTTGCGCAAGGCCACGCCGCCGAGGAATCCAGAGTCGGCGTTGTACGGTGAGCGGGCCGGCGGTGGAGGTACTGGCGGCTGGTGTTTCTGCGCGTTGGGCTCTTGCGTCACCGCGATCTTGGTATCGACAGTCGGTCGCTCGAGCGGAGACGGAGAGTCGGAACTGGACGAAGTGACGCGGGGAATGGGCGGCAGGGTGGGAGGCAGCGAGGAATTCGTCGTCAAAGACTGGTGCCGAATGTCTGGGCTTAAGGCGGCATCTTGAATGAAGGGAGAGTGCTGCTCGGGGAGCGAGGGATCCCAGGGAGCAGTCGCCGAGGGCTGTTCGGGGTTTGGCGAAGTCGGATTCGATTGTCCCCTTCGGTGGATTCGTAAATGGGAAAACATGGTCGTGTCTTCGAGACGAGACGGTTGGACTAATGGATGGATGGATCAGGCGCGAATGGCGATCCAAACCACCGGCGCAGGGGTGGCGGGTGGTCGCAGAGGAGGAAGCAATTACGGAGACAGGCTGCCGGATAACGAGCGAAGGGAAGCTGGATCGAGCTCGCGACTCCAGTCCTGCAAAACAGTCGCCAGAACTAGTCAGGTGGGAGGAGAGTGGACGACGTTGACAGCGCCAGTCTTCAGCCTCGGGAAGGAGATGAGATCACCTCCTTGCAGACGAAGGCGCAGTCATAGTTTGTCTTTTCCGGCTCGGATGTGATGATATCAGCAGCGTCAGTTTGCGTCGGCGTCGGATGTGTGCGTGCAGGCGCGAGCGTTGTGTGTTGATTGGGCGGCGGTGGTGGTGGCCAATGGTGGGTGGATGTCTTGGAGATTCAATGCAAGCTATTGGCAACGGAGGCTGCTGGGCGTTGAAGTTTGAACGGAAGATGTTGGAAGAAGAAAATCTCGAGTCACACGCCTGCCTAAGAGGCTGGAAGGAGTAATGAATGTAGCTAGTGATGGTGTGGCGGGGAGGGGAGTTGTGAGAAAAGTTGTGGTGAGAATGTCTGGATTGGGATGCCAGGATAAGAAAAAGAGACTAATCATCGGTAAGCAGTAATTTCTGGTCTTGCGGCATGCCTCGCCCGGCCCTCAGTAAGAGGTGGTATCACTCGCAGCTCCTGTTGCGTAGCGGCTGCGTGGGAGAACCTTGTCCACGCCATGCCAGCCAGGCCTCTGTGTTCGTCTGTCTACGGCCTGTCCTGCTTGTGTCTCCGCGGCTTCATTGCGTCAGGCTTTTGGGCTTCAGGTCCCATCTGCTTGCTCAAACATTCAAGGTCCAAGGCCTTGGCCGCTGCTAGGACTCGCCCTCGTCCTGCTGGGCCGTGCGGGTTTTTTCCACAACTAACTACTGACAACCTACGTCTAGGGTCAAGGACTCGGGACTCCAACTCCCAAGGATCTCGGCAGGGCGAGAGAACAGAGTGAATAGAGTCACCGCTCGGGCTGGTGTGCTGCAGGCTAGCCGTGTCATCCATCATGTCATTCTTGTTGGATCTTGGAAAACGGCACCAGGGTTGCTGCAGCCTGCAGGCCATCGGATCAGGACAAGAAGGGGTCCAGTGACTTCAGTCCTCCCCTCCTCCTCCGTCGATGGCCTTGATCAATAACGGGAATAAGCAAAGCAACCAAGGCAGCAGAGCAGACATGGCTTCGCTTCTGACTGCAGCAGCCCGCCCGGCAGCAGTAAGCTCGCGGAACTGACGGCTCATCCTTTTCTATCCGTGCTCTTAACTCCTCGAGTAAGTCGAATCTCTTCCTCTCAATTCCTCCCTTTCTGTATCTGTCTCGTCTCGTCGGGGCAACCATCCGACATTGACATCCACACGACATCCACATCGCATCAGAAACCCTCCGAGGGCGTCTGATTGGGTCCTGGCAGACGCAAGGTGAAATGAGGCACCCATTCGAGAGATCCGTCTGTGCTGCCGGCCCCGTTTTTCGAGTCTCCGACCCCCACCATAAGGTACCATTGTAGGTACTGGGAATGAGAGACACTGGATTATGTCATCTCGCGCAGCAGCGCACTTGGGCACCTTCCATGCTACCTATTAATGCAGACCATCTTTGTGGGAACAAACCCAAGCGATGGGGTGTCTTATAGAAGTAAGCACGCAGTGTACGACCGGTACCTACAGGCTACAGATGCATAGGTACCCACCTTAGCATAAGCACATGTCATTCGACACTGTACAAATACCTTGGTGGAAATGTGATCCTCACTCTCTGAAATGGCCTTGAATCTGCCACAACAACCACATCTTCTTCTAACGCTGTCTCCTAAGGCTGCGGTGCCTGCGCAGATCGTCCCATCATCCCAGCATTCACACCTGAATCGTCTCAACCGTCTCATCCAACGGGACAAGCCTACTGGTGGAAAGACGAAAGGAACACGGAACCAGGAAGATGCTGCCCACATCCCGATGATCGCCGTTACCCGGTCCCAGATGAGACGAGACAGTAATTGCTCCGACTCGTAACACAGCGACGACACGACGGCAACGGCGACGACATGCTACAATCGGCACGTTGACGGCGGCCCGCATCTGGCGTTGGAACTCGAGGCGACGTGGAATGTACCAGATGAACGCTTCGAGCTAGCTCTTCGAGAACCCGAGGTGGGCGAGATTACGCCGAACGGTTGAGAGATATTCTCCTCGTTGGCGCATGCTTGCCTCCCAGGCTCTCTTTCTATGCCCGTAGCCACAGACACACGATGCAATTACAAAATTAGAAAGGGCCAAAACAAGTTTCATGGAAGCAAAAATAAACAATCGACGTTGGCCTGATTCGAACAGACGCTCCCGAAGGAACAAGATTTCTAGTCTTGCGCATTAGACCACTCTGCCACAACGCCTACTAGAGAGGCTGGACTGAATCCAGGATCCTTGCTCATTCTTCGAGGTAGGCAGCTCATGTATTTATGCAAATTAGTGGCCCTGAATCCGGATTCATTAGCCCCTGCTCTTGAGGGGTTCCGATTCTGACCCGGGAGCTTACTAAGCTCTGTTCGACGAACACTCGGCCTGTGGCCGTAACGCTTCACGATGAGTGCCGGTGCCAAAGTGATCTGAACAGTATCTGTGTTGGTTTGATATCACTCGCCCAGCTTTCCAATCTCTGGTACCGTTGGGTCATTCACATACGTTTCTGCCATCCTGTTGAAGATACCTCTTGGATACAAGACCTGGTGGTACGTTGTGTCACCAGGCATTATGACAAAGGCACGATGAAATCAGGATATGGCAAAGGCCTTGCAACTTGTCTTTTGCTTTCCAGAGGGGGATTCTCGCCAGGCTATCAGAAATAGGTCACTTCGCATAATGCACATACTCACCTACCAGAGTCAGCGAACCCAGAATAGCCATCACCGCAGACATCTTGGGCTTCAGCCCTCTCCCTCGAGGCATCCACAGCCGCCCGTCTCTGCATCCTCCATTCGTCGTCGATATACCCACCAACCCTCTGTTCCTGCGCCTCCAGGTCCTCCTGCCACTCGAGGTTCGGCCCAACGAGCGCAGTCGCCATCTCCCGCGTCGAACTCTTCAACTCATCCAGCAACTCCCTCTTGGCAATCTTCAAGTCCTCAATCAAGTCCCGCACAACAGCCAACTCCATCCCGCTGGCCCCAAAGTGCCGCCGCAGCGCCGTCTCAATACCACTCCACACCCCGTCCGCCTTCCCCGCCAACCCGTCCACAAAACCCCATGCGGCATCCCACATGTCGCGGTACGCCCTATTCATGAAATCCATCCTTCCCAGCTCCGCTCGGCGCTCCAAGTCTGCGATGATGGCCTGCATGCGGTCCGAATACTCTCCGCGGCGCTCCGCCTGTGCCTCGCTCTCGACGTAGGCCATCCGATGCCTGAGCAGGCAGCTCGGGCAGAGGGCTCTAGCCTTTTTCGCGTACTCGTCGCGGTGGAGAGCCTTTGTGCTCTTCTCGTCTTCGAAGCCTGCCCAGACGGCACGACAGTCGAATTGCGGGAGGCCCGGGAGAGACATGTGGTTACACTCTTGCTGTTCGAGGTATTCGGCGTAGTAGCCGTCGCACCCGCCGTTGGAGGGGCTGAGGCAGCGGTGGAGGACGAAGACTCTCATACACATGGTTTCCTGTGGCTTTGTGAGTTTTGGATGCAAGATGGGATTGGGTACCTTCTGGTGAGTCTCTCTCTCAAGTCAATTGTCGATCGTAGGTTCTGAGTTGTGAGGTATGGATGGGTAGGTTTCTTATTGTGCGATGTGAGTGATGCAGAGACACGACTTTGGAAGAAGGCGCCAATTCGTGACTCATATACACTAGTACGTCGCGGTACACTTTCTCAATTTCAAGAAAGACCACCAAAGGATCTCGAGACAAGGTTTCTTGAGACAGAAGACCTTCAGCCTTGATAATAGGTTTGTTCAACACAAAGGCGGCTGTCGAGGTCACAGCATGGGGAGGCCACATGAACAAAGGCGCTAAGAAACGGTGGACGACTGTCCCGGACAGTATTGTTTGTCCTCAACGAGCCAAGAACAAGGTATATCGAGACGATAGTGGAGTGATTGTCCGGTCATCAGCGAACACCCGGTCAGGGGTCGCGAAGTTGCCATGCTTCGGCTCACCTTTTTCGAGGCCAAAGGAGACGAAAAGCTTTCTCCCCAGTCCCAAGTCAGCAAAACTCAAGTTCGAGTGTAGCCTATTGCTGGCTAGCTGTTACATCAGAGCTATCTCCGGCAGTACAAAAAGCACATTGATCAATGGTCGTCCATCTATGTCCAGTGGATTCGAGCTTGGTTCGTGGTCTAGGACTGTTGCTTCTCGTAAATCGATCATTCTACAACATGCATGTGAGAACAACGCGCTTCTAATCCGTGTTCAGCACATAGATGGTTGATACACTGGTGTTTTATCTCGTAAGTTGTAACTCCAATCCCGAAACTTGTGAGCCTTCCCATAGTTTGGGAAACAATGGTCGCGAACAAAACAGAGACGCGATCGGAGGACGTGATTAAAAGCAGAGAACAGCCCTAGGTTTGACGTCTCGCTCCAAACTTTGACTTTCTTGATCAAGCCTAGGTGCCTGCTGATACATGTACCCAACACCGCACCCGCCCACAAGACAACCAATGGAAAGCACACGCCATTGCTCCAACTCCGAACAAGATATATGACTGAACCGGCAGCTTCTCTTACGTTGGAATCGAGAAACCTATCGTTGCCGCAGGCAAGACAAATCATGCTCAGGTCATGCCTGGTGTCCCTGATCGTCGACTTCCGTCTGCGAAAACAACTCTGGCGGCGGAAGAGTAGGGCTCGGCGTCGGGGAACTTTTTGGAACCCATCTGTGCCGGTATAGTTCGGATCAACGTGAGGTTAGGCAAACCAACATTCGAAGAAAGAATGCGAGAATCACGTAATCATCTGTACTTTATTTTTAGGGGGGCGTGCAACCTTCCAACGGAAGCACCTGGCGTGGAGATAGGCACTACCCTTGAGCATACTCTCGGCTTCTCCTCGATCGAAAGAGGAGCTACTAAACTTCTTACGGGGCATTCGTATGATGAATAGATTATTCGAGTTCTTCAAACTTGAAAAGCCGATGCTGCACTGCCTTTGGCTACTCCACTGACTAGCTCTTGTGTATACATAGTGGAATAGCATTGAAAGGTTGGATTCCGTAAATGCTGGCGCTGCACTGGCCACAAAAGTAAGGGTCAATAGGACGGAATAAGAGATCTGGCGTCTGGCAGTCCCTTTCGTGTCCATCTCCTCACGTTTTATTGGATTCCGAGAGATACCTATCTACGTCTCTCTTCAACGTGGCTGTAGAGCTACCTTTCCCTTTGTGATGCGTACATGTACTTATACGAGCAATATTCTTTGAACCTCAAGGTTTACCAAACTGAACCAGGCTTATCACCTTTCCCCAGAGGTTGCAAAAACTCGCCACCGACTTGAGCTATCTCTTCTCCAATGGTAATACTGAGGACAAGCGAAGAGTCTAGTCCAGAGCGCTTTTCGTAGTAGTCAGGAAAGAACCCCACACCCGGCTGCCATAATTCCACCTGGGGTACCTCTGGCGTGAGCGAAGACTGAGTTGTTCGAGATTCCCTGGTACTGGAGGGCGACTCCGAGAAAGAAGAAAACGACGACGTGCGCTCTCCCAGTCCATTGAGCAGGAGACTCGCAGCATTTTCGTGGCCACTCAAGCGAGCCCATTCGACGGGCGTTGTCCCGTCCATCCCGTCCTTGACGTCAATCGGAGCCCCGTTACTCAGCAAAACTCTGATCACATCTAGACTGCCCTGGCTCGCAGCGCTGTGGAGTGGCGCTACGCCGTTGAAGTCCTGCTTGGCTGGGTCAGCTCCCGCGATAATAAGGCGTTTGATGATCGTGACATGCTCCCTTATGGCTGCAGCATGTAGGGCGGTACCACCAAAGCGGCTTCCCGGAGCATTGATCATTTCCTTGGTTGCCGATTGGAGCAGAGACTCAACCACTTCATCTAGCCCTAGAGAGGAGGCGTAGTAGAGTGATGTAGCGTGTCTGGGATACACGTCCCACTTGAACGGGGCGTCCGCGTTGAAGACCTGCACCCAGGACATGAAGTTTTGCCGGGCAGCTTCCGAGAAGAATCTCATGGCCAGATCTTGGGTTTCTTCACTGTAGTCTGCGTTGCGAGCATGGTAGAACCAGTATTTGGTCGCATACTTGAGAAGCGGGAGTTGTTTCAGACGAGACAAGTAGTCCTTTTGAGTACCCGAGGGGCCACTAGACAGAGGCGATAGTAGTAGATAGGTGAGGCAATCTTGGGCTAGCTCCCGGTGACTCGGCTCTGCACGAAGTGAGAACTTTGCGGTCTCCGAACTTTTGGCGATCTCGGCTGAGACGAGATAATCTCGGACTGAGAGGTGAGAGAGCATCACATGACCATCCATTGAGACGGTGATGAGGCTTTTCCCAATCATCAAGATGTCTTGCGGACTTCGGAGACGTGATTCGTCATCAATGATGTCGTTCCCTTTCTCGATGGCGAGTGCTTCCCACAGCTCGTGCAGAGTGATGGGCACGGGAGAAAATGCAAGCCATGTCAGGGTTTTCTGAACCAGAGGTACGTCTGAAGGCGGCACTTTCATTAACAATCGGCTGTAAGTCTCATCTAAGCCATTTGGAAGCTTTTGGAGGGATCTTTTGATGTCGCGGATAGTTCTGCATTGACTCAGGGAGTCGAGCTGGCATGCTGCCCATTGGAATCTGATGGGGCCATTTAGCATAACGGAACTGGGCGCTTTCAATTAGAGCCATTTACACCCCACAAGACCTTGATAAGAGTGAAGATAAGATGCTTTCTCCCAACTCGGAAGACAGCCAACTGAGTTCGGCATCGGTTTGAAGCCGTGCTTCAACGTACCGCTGTATGTCCTCATCGGTATCTGAAAGATGCTCTGCCAAGGAGATGCGGCGAGCATTTTTGAATACCCTCTGAATTTGCACGTCGTTGCGGCTTGTTACAAAAATCTTAATCAGCGCTGTGGAATCCACTAGGTTGGCCAAGTGTTCCGCGAATGTTTTGCAATCCGAGACTTCATCAACGGCATCAACAAACAGGTGTATCCTCTTGGTTGCAGCAATGGACACAATGGTACCACTCAACAATTCGATGGTTGGAGGGTACCCATAGTTCTGATCCATGCTGGCTTTGTGTGCGCTTGACAAATCTTTGGGGATTTCTTCCAGTTGAGTGCACAACTGCGCCAGTATTGTCCCCAATACATTGGACAGGGTCTGCGTATCAGGGTCACGGAAGTCACAGTAGGCGAATGCGGAAAGAGAGTCCTCCTGGTTTAGTCCGGCGATCGAGTCGATGGCTTGGCCCCTGTCCTAAGCATCAGCTACTGGGCGCCATTATGCCAGAAACCTAAAGTGACGATCTGATACATGTAACTTACATCATCACTGTTTTCCCACAACCAGCTAATATTCCTTGTCAGATTTAAAGGCAAGGTAATTTTGAAGATATAGAAAATGTACTCACGGGGTCCAGTTAGCCACAACAATTTTTGTTCCCCTTTCATCCACGCCTGGAACTCTTGGCCAGCAAGTAGCCACTCCGAGGTACCATTCTGATGGGACTTTAGAGCTCTCTTATGAGCTTGACCCGGTCTCAGAGGAGAAAGCCAGTCAACAATAGCCTTCTGTTGTTCATCTGCAAACCGTCAGCATGCGTCGTCGGTTACTGATTTTCAGTTACTAAGTATTTTCATACCAAGGATTGCCGTGCTCAAATTGCTATCTATGCGCTCAAGTTGCTCTCGAGAGTCGTTCATCTTGTAGTCAAGCGAAATGGTCAGTCGTTCAACATTACGCAGCGTCACTCTAAGCCACGAGAATGTCAGGATAGGCTTCAAAGGATAGAATACGAATTCTGAACTGACGCATTGTGAGAAGTGATAGCTAGTTGCAAGCCTTCCTTGCAGCGCTGAAGGTTGGCAATAGACTTTTTCGTGTCGTTGAGCTTCAACTTCCAAGAAATCGAATTGAATAAGGCTTTCCTCTTCGATTCCAAGAGCTCGGCCACATGCTCGGGTTTGATATGAGCCTCGAGGGCCTGAAGTTCAGACAAGCATGTGGCCAGTGCAGGCTTGATCTTCTCGGAAAGTTCGAGTGAGGCATTGCCATATTCTGGCCCGGGAGAGTCAGCTGAATCTCCATGATCGAATACTGACTGGACAGCTTCAACCAGGTTCCGAACGTCACGGACTTCTTCAATGATCTGTATCAATTTCCAAGGAATCTTTTGCATCCCTGAGCGTACATCATAGCAGAAGGCAAGTATTGAAGACGCAACCTGCAACGAGGCCAGAACGCCCATGCTTATGCTCAAGGGATCCATTTGGAATGCACTGGGACTTTGATAGCCAGTCTCAGATGTTTGTGAACACAGTAGAAGGAAGGAACAATATCAATATCGCTGATGAATTCTTGATGTTTTGGGCGGAACTTTGCTGGTGATCGTGTGTCGATTCCACAGCACAAGTGTATGAGGGGATGACTACCATAGTGTCTCAAACCGAGGGACTCACCGGTGGGAGCCCAGCTGGAAGCCAATGTGGCTGTTCCTTTCCACATCAGCAGGCTGTGGTTGTTACACAACAGAGCCAGGAGACCTGTGGAGGAGGCTACGCACAGCCTCAATAGTGAGATGTCAGATGTAACGCCACCCGACAGGCTGCATGTCATCACAATGCCTGCAGGCTCGGTCACGCAAGAGAAGGTGGCCCATACCGAGCTCCAGGCGATTTTGCGGGCGAACTTGCACATCTTCGTTCCAAATTCTGTCAGCAACCACGACAAGGAATAATTGTGTTGGAATGCAATGTGACCGAGGGCTAAGGTACCAAGAAACCTAATTGTTAGCGATAAAAGTCTTGATTCTTTCCGTACACCTTCTCAGCCACTATCTCCTGTTAAATCTCATGTTCGTGATGTCCATGTAGTGAGGGATTTCAAAATCGACCAAAAGATTCCCGCAAGCACACATTTCTTTCAACGCTACCCTAACTTATATGTACATGTAATTAAGGAACAGGAAATGAAAATCAAGGGTGCTCAGATTGAAGCAGGCTGGCTTGGCTAGCTACACAAGATGATTTTGGAGGGTCAGGCTATCTACTCGGTGGCGCCCAGCTGCTTGGTCTGGAATTGGATCTTCTACTTTTCGATGTCTTCATTGGCTGAATGCTTCACATCGCAGACTGCGAGGTGCTGCACCCGCCACACCGGCTCCAAACCATTGGCCACTCCCTTACGTAGGAATCGGTAGGCTCTCTTCAGCTTTCTGCAAGCCTGCCACAGTTCTATACCTATAACGTTGCCTCCATGATGCGCCATCTTTTCGTATGTATCAGCCATACTTCCACAGTTGGTTGGGAGCCACAACGCAAGTTGGCCAGCACGCAGTGTAAAATGGTCAGACCCTTCAAGACTTATATCAAGGGCGGTGCCTCGTGTTGCTAAGCCCTCTGGTCCACTCAAATGCTTGATCCACTTCAGACATTTAATTGCTCGTCTGCAGCATTCCATCGGCCACTCAAACTTCGCCCTTTGCCGCAATCAGCCTATGCCTTTGTGCAGTCTGCGCCACTTGTTCTGGTTTCTTTGTCTGAGAGGTATCAGACTGTTCACGTACATGTATATATTCCATTCACTTCGAACCTTTTGAGAAATGTCGTCCCACGAGCGATTCGCATCGCCAGAGCTTATATCTGAACCCGGCTCATTATCAAACGGCGCAACCCTGCCAAACAATATCGACACCATGGTCAACGGTCCAGCTAGACGCCTCCCGAATGGCACTACAACGCCCCAAAAGCGAGCAAGAGGTTTTGAGACAGTAGATCCAACCCCGCCTACTTCCGCAAAAAGACACCAAACGGGAATACTTGACGGTCCGCATACTCGCAAAGACCCATTGACCAAGGGGCAAGTGTTGCAGAGAGCCGCCAACTTGTACGACAAGCAATATGTTTACAAAGACTGTCCTATATGTCAGGGAGAGATTCGACTTCTGCTACTTCAACCAAGCGAAAACCGATTCGCCGACATCGTTGTCGAACTGAGATCCTTCTCCATCCAAGAGATAATGGACAACCCCGACGAGTTCAAGTTCACAGCTCTGTCGTATAATTGGGGAAGAGAGGAAGAAAGCAAAATCGTCCTCATAGATACGTGTAACGACAAGGACCTGGTACCCGTGCCGTCCATGAATGAGTTTGCAGAAGTTGTGACTCACTTCAATCGAAAATTGAAGCGACTAAGCGTCAAACCAAACTTGTATGCCTTTTTGCAAGAATTTCGACAGCAACACAAACCCGTAGCCCTTTGGGTGGATCGCATATGTATCAACCAGGAGGACAACAAGGAAAAGCAAGATCAAGTCGCAATCATGGGTCAGATCTACTCCACCGCAGCCAACGTCGCCATTTGGCTAGGACCAGCAGATGAGGATGGCAAGACTGACAGAGCAATGGACTTCATCAGTTTCGTACTCCAAGACGAAACTGGTGAGAAGTTCAAAGCCAAGTATGCGACGAATTGGTCTGAGCTCCTGTACTTGATGCGGCGTCGATGGTTCTCCCGTCGATGGATCATCCAAGAATTGGCTCTGGCAAAAAGTGCTGAAGTCCGATGCGGCTCAAAGAAGAGGAATTGGAGAGACTTTTCAGACGCAGTCAGCATCTTTGCGCTCCAATTTGATAGCATTCTCAGGGAGATCAAGCGGGATCAAAAACTGGAGAGGTCTTTAGAAGGGATCAAAGACATGAAACCACTTGGTGCCCGGATTTTGGTCGACGTTCTTTCCAACACATTTCAACGACAGGTTGACGGAGATATATATGCTCCCCGACAAGGACTCGAGAGTCTGATCTCGTCTCTTTCTACTTTCGAAACCTCTGACCCTCGAGATACCATCTACACGCTTCTCAACCTAGCCAAAGAGACTTGCACACTGCCATCGAGTAACAGTATGCGGAAACGTCGACTGAGCAAGCAAGAGAAGAACCTTCCCCCGGAGCCTGATTACAGCCTCGATTTGCTTCAAGTCTACACTAACTTCGTGAAGTGGTGCATAGAGGAGAGCGATTCCCTGGACATCCTCTGTCGCCACTGGGCCCTGCCTGAGCTCAAGCAGAAGCTGGATGAGCATTACCCCAGACTAGTGGAATTGCCATCGTGGATCAAAACGGTACAAGAATCTGCATATGGTTCTCAAAACGAAGGTTTTGGTGGACGAAGAACAGGGGACAGTTTCGTCGGTGTGCCAGGAGCGCGTTGCTACAATGCTTCCAACGGACTTTCGCCTAAAATTTGTTTCGGCAGAGACATGAAGCTTCCCAAGCCGATTGAGGATATCTCAGCACAGAAAGCTGTCGAGGGGAATGAGCAATTCGAGTTCATCACGTCGTCTCAACAGCGACCATTAGCGGGCCAAATGAACAGAAATCTCCTCACGAGACGGAGAAACTCTGACAATAGCCTTACACTTATTGTCAGGGGACTGTGCATTGGAATCGTCTCGGAGTCCTATCCAATGCATGAAGGTATCATTCCGAGGCAGGTTCTGAGGAGCTTAGGGCATGACCAGAAAACAGAGTTGCAGAGCGTTTCGGAGACTGTTTGGAGAACTCTGGTAGCAGACCGTGATGCAGACGGAAAGGCACCACCAGCTTGGTATCACAGAGCTTGCATGACCTGTCTTGTTTCCGATACTAACGCCGGGAACATTGACACAAATGCAATTCTTCAGCAAGACGAAGCCGCAACGAATCTCAAGGCAGATTATATGAAGAGAGTGCAGGCGGTTTGTTGGAATAGGAGGTACATAGAATGCAAAGATGAGAACGGTGCGGATCGAAAATTGGTAGGCATAGCTCCTCAGGATTCCAAAGTCGACGACTTTGTTTGCATCCTATTCGGATGCTCTGTCCCTTGCATTCTCCGCCCTTTCTGGAACGATAGAGGCCGTGGATCTGATCCTGCCTACTACGAGCTGGTGGGAGAGGCGTTTTTGTTGGGACAGATGGATGGCGAAGCACTTGATGGCTTATCTGAGGAGGAGCTTGCAGGAGTTGAATTCCGTTTGATGTAGAGCGCAGCATATATTCAATCGCAATATTTTTGCAGTTTATTTTCACATCGACCCAGAAACCGATTACTAACAAAACCGGTCTTAGCGACTTTGGGATCAGAATTAGCTCCGTCCTAGCTATTTCTGGTGCAAAGGCTCGACGACGCCCGGAAGTTCGGCTCATGATGTAATAGTCTTCTGAGAGTCAAACATGTCACCACACAGACCCGCCGAAGCATACCACATCCGTCACACCACCACGACCCCTCCTCCACGGACATCCGCAAGATAAAACACCCTGCCCGGCTCCTACTTCTCTGCCAGTCGTTACGTCGGAAATTTCATAAGTGAACATTCTAGACTTTTTCTAGCTCGCCATCCTACGGCATCCTACGGCATCCTACGGACTACGAGATCCCTTCCACGAACTATTACATCCTCACATCAACGTCATCTCTCCCACACGCGAGTCATGTTTCTCTCCAACAGAGCGCCTGAAAAGGCTCTTCCGCGCTTCCAGACGAACACGCCGCTGGATTCAACATTTGACAAAGACATTCGGGACACTCATCTTATATACGATTATGATGCTGAAGACGCAGAGGGCAACCCGGAGAAGTGGCGGTACGAAATGTGGTTCTTCTCCGAGGACCGTATCGTCTACGCCATTCATGGTGGGCCCATGAACGGCCGCATAAATTACCAGACGGCGACTTATCAATGCATCCGGCCCGGCGAACTGTGGCAGGTGAATTGGTTGGAGGAGACGGGGACGGTCTGCTCGCTGGTGTACGACATCCCGAAGCAAAAGATTTCAACCCTTATTTCTTTCTCGAGGGGCCACTGGGAGAACCCCAAGGCGGCGCACGGCGACAAGCGCAATCCGGGAGATTTCGCGAGATGGAGAGTCCTCTCGAGATTTGGTAACCAGACAGATCGGTTCATGTTATCTGAGCAAGCGGATATTGTCGAAAATTTCAAGGGCAGAGGCGATCTCGTACCGATTGAGGAGCATGCGAAAACCTTTTAAGTCTTTTTGCTACGGGCATTGCCTTTTTTTTCTCTTTTTTTTTCATTCGTGACTTGTACAAGAGGGGGCAGGAGTCAAATCAAAGATCAATAAAGGCTGTTACTTTTCGGCGAATGATTGTCAATGAAAACGAATCTTCAAACAGTAGCGTCTTAATTCCATCATTCCACATACCCTGTGCCTAGGTTGATGCAGTTTGAACTGACTATCGGCGGCCCTGCAGTTGTGAGAGCGTTTGAAAAGATTGCCTCTATCACAGTCCACCTACCATATGCTAGCAAATTGTAGACTTTGAGAGAGATAATCATGTAGTCTTACTGGGCGATACAGTAGACAGCAAATTACTCTAGTCGGTATACCCACGCCCTTCTGGGCGATAAAGTCCCTTGAACAATTTCTTCCCATGCTTTCTCGATCCCATTTGTGCCCCCAACACCACTTCCCCAAATCAGTTCAAGGTCCTCGACAATTCCTTCCTCAAGAGACCTGCGGAACGTTGACTCAGCGCCTTCGAAGTATTTTCCTGCACCCTCTATGGCTATCCCGGCATCTACAACACCCGTCGTGTTGAGTTGAATGAGTCCCCACTTCTTCCACATCGCCGCTGACTTGAGAGCTTGCTCTGGTGTCTGCAGTTTTGGCTCGCCTCCGACTAGTATGTTAGTGAAGACCGTCGACTCTGGAAGTATCGATCTGATGGCCTCGTGAAACTCCTCCATCACTTTCGGAGGGCCACCAAAGTCAGCTACAACCACACGTTTTGGTTTCAGTCTGACGATCCAGTCAATGGTGTCGTTCGATGTGAGGCTGTCGTAGTTGACCGTCTTGACCTCGAATGCTGCGTTAGGTCCAGGAGTCAAGGACTCTGGCGCAGATGTAGCTTGGAGCAGAGCCAACGGCCCACTGCCTGAGGTTCTGTCCCTGGCTAGGTTCCACGAAAAAGATCTGCCCGTCCGGCTCGAAGCAGAGAGATTAACCACCACAGCCGAGCTCAGATCCGCGTCTTTACCGGTCCATTCCCCGGCTCCCTCGCCAAGAGGATGGACCGGCTTGAAATCGGTAGCGAAGGTGAAGCGGTTCATCACATAGCCTGCATTCCAGATGGGAGATACATTGGCAAACCACGCCCTGTACTCTTCCGGCTGAGCAGACTCCTCGACGAGGTTATAGCGGTTGTAAATGCTCCCGAGTCCTTGCCTGTGTTCGCTGACCTCGCAAAAATGGCCTTTGGGTTCACTTGGAACGAGAGACAAGTCGACAGGATGAGAGGAGGTGGGCCAGTAGCCGAACAGCAGACTTCTGGCAGGGATGGCCTCGATGTTCGACTCGACCACCCGTGCAAAGCCCCACGCCGGAACGATGCCCCAGTCGGTCCGGTCGCTGTACGGAGCGGGCGCATCCAGTGGAACGGGCCAAGTGTTCCACCATTGCAACCTATCGCCCAGTTTTGCATACGAAAGATTGTTGCTCGTAATTCCAATGAGCGATGTGCGGACACGGATAGAAGAGAGACCTAGCTGCGGCAGCGGCAGGTCGATTGCAACGGTCTCATGCTTGGAGAGGTCATGCTTGGAAATAACGTGAATCTCGGACACCATTTTGGCTAATACTTGCTGGGCTGAACGATGTAGGGCAATTCTGTGACAGGTCGTTGAATACCCTGCGTATGTGTTTGAGGCAAGAAAGTCCCAGGACGATAAATGACCGAAGGAATTGACGTGGATATATCACAGATGCGGTCAAAATCTACCTATCTTGGCATTGTCTCACATCAGCCTGCGGGCGGCTTCTTTGGGAGGCCCAGCAGTTTGCCAAAGTCATCACCCCACCCAACCATTACCTCGGGTCTAGACTCACTCACGCGAAATGGCATGTCAGCATCAGCCGAATCTCTCCTACCAACCCTTTGATCACTGGGACAGTGGACCGAGTCATCCGACAGGAGGCAGCAAAATTGCCATGCCAAAGGATCCTGATTGAGTCATCAGCAAGCCGCGTAGGGAATCGGTGAGCGGGGTAAGTCAGCAAAACGCGACACGCGTGGGCCTTTTTTCCACACCATCTTTTGCTACATCCAAATTGTTGAGATGATCGATGAGGATGGAAGTCTTCGGGTTTCCAATGAGGCCCTGGCTATGGACAGTTTTTCTTAGGTTGCAGAATGCGTATCCGCCTCAAGCGCCTGTCGTTATCTTCTATCTTGTACGTCGAAACAGATTCAAGCAGTCCCAAACGCCTTCTGGTGCCCGACCAAAGTGAAGCGATAATGAACCTTGTTCGCCTTCACTCTCTCAACGGCCTCTTTACACCCTGCCTCGGAAATGTCAATCGTCTCAACCCAAGGTGAGATTCCCTTCTCGGCCGCCAACTTCAACAAGGCATTCATCTCCTGATTGTTGCCAATATGGCTACCAGTCATCTTGGCAGAATTGCTGGCGAAAAGGGCTGCGGGGAACTGGGGCAGAGGCTTATCGGGCAGACCGACCATGTGGAATTGTCCACCAACCTTGAGCGTAGACAGGTAAGTCTGGAGGTCAAACTCGTTGGTCATGTCGGAGCAGTTGAGCATGAAATCGAACTTGAAGGCATAAGGCTTAGCCCAGTCCTTCTTGTTGGTGTCAATGACTTCCTTGGCTCCGAGCTTCTTGCAATCTTCGGCCTTGTCCGGCGAGTGGGTAACGGCATACACTTCCGCTCCGAGTGCCTTGGCCCACTGAAGACCGAGATGGCCGAGGCCGCCGATACCCACGATGGCGACAACGGAACCCGGGCCGACACCACCTCGCACCAGGGGTGAGTATGTGGTGAGACCGGCGCACATCAGTGGGCCAGCATTCTCCGACTTTATAGCATCGGGTATCTTGAACGTGAAGTACTCGTGCGCGCGAATGTGACTAGCAAAGCCACCATGTGCTTGGCTCCCATCTTCATACTTGGCGTTGTACGTGTCTGGCCGTCAACGTCAGTATTGCTCTCAACATCAGCGTCAAGAGAAAAGCAAAACTTACCAACCAAATGAGGGCAGTAGTTTTCATTCTGGTTCTTGCACTGCTCGCACTTGAGGCATGCCCAGACCTGAGCACCCACACCAACTCTATCGCCCACCTTAATCTCCTTGACGTTCTTCCCCACCGCAACCGCCTTACCGACAACCTTGATGGCCATTAACTTCATGCCCAGAGACCAAAATCGAGGGGGGAATAAGACATACCTCGTGGCCAACGCACAGGGGACCCTCGTATTCACCCCAGCCGCCAGTGATAGTGTGGACGTCAGATCCGCAGACACCGCAGCACTCAATCTGCACATCGATGTCGTGATCTTCAAACGGTTTTGGTGTCAGAATTTCTTTGGTGAACTTGTTCCATGAGCTAGGACCTGCGGTACAGAAGCCGCTAAACTTTTCGGGATAACTCATTTTGACGGGTGGTTCCAATTTGTGTGATAAGATTGACTGTTTCTGATTCCAGACACTCGATTAATGCTCAGATTTGATGCACATTTGCTCCTGATTTGCACTCTACTTCTACATATATACTCACTGCGACAACTGATGACGCTCGGATTGCCTCAAGCTCCCCCGCCTCACAGCTCTGACCGCTGTAGCCGACGTAGCCAAAAGGCAGTTGGACCTCATAATTCCAATTGCTTACTGTCTAGGGAGGGTGCATGTATGAATGACGTCTATGAAATTCCCACTGGCTTCTCGGTAGGCGCCGAAGTGGCCGCGCTAAGGCAGGAGATAAGTCTCCGGATTTGACAACCGGTGGCGCTGATAGCGAGCTAGCACCCCCTTTTGGCTCCCTTGGGCGAATCGCTTGCCGGGTTGGGAGAGATGCACGCTATGCTAGTAGCCTCATGACGACAGTCTTTTTTCACCAACCTGCCCCAGCAGCTTGAAATCTGCCGTGCAACAAATACTCCTGGGCCTGGAACACCAGTGCTACCGATCTAAAGTCAAATGCCGATTCAAAGGATGGCAAAAGTCCCGGGTTTGAGTCCCATCGGAGTCGACAGATATGGAAGAGGTTCTGCTAGAGCACTCATGGGAGATAACGCCGACATCTTGGCAAAGAAAAAGCCATTCTACTTATTGATGTGACTTTTCCGCGGAGCAACAATAGACTTGTTGCCTAGGAAATATTTGCTCACCCGTGCTGATCGAGGTACATGACAGTATCCAAGTTTATGGTCGCCAGAACTGTGAGGTTGATGCATGCTAGTAGATAACGGTCTAAGGAGCACAACGATATTGCCTCTCGGATTTTCCATTAGGTACACAAAGCTGAATAACACATTATCTTCAAGAAAATAAAAATTTATACATCACGTAGATCAATTTAAAATCCCAAAGTTAGTGGAATGACTAGACATTGTTATTAAATGCCTGAAGACGAAGTTTCTAAGCTACCTTAGAAATGCTAATATACATCACGACTGATGATGTATTCATTTGACCTAATACCAAGTCTTGTTCTGCTATCGCTGGATTGCCAAGCCTCACGTGGTCCCTGTATAGACATCTCGGAAACCTAGCAGTCGGAGCGGCCGACAACGACACTCCAATCATCCTTATGCCACGTTTGACCATCAATCCATTCACCATTGGTCTGACAACCTTGAACAATGCGGTCGGCGCCGTCAGCAATCTCACCAAAAGAGCCGAGCTCGCGAGGTGTGTTTGCCTGTGGAAAGTTAGCTCCAGCATGAACTTTGGAAGAAGCTGTTTCTGAAGGACTTACATGGTTACACCACCAAATGGCAGACTTCCAACTGCAGCTCACGCGAGCGCAGGTGCTGGGTCCAGGAGGCTGGTAGGGCTTTCCCTTGACACCTCTGAGGTACTTTGCGCCCTTGACGATGATGCTCTGATCGGCCATTGCATTGGTGGTGTTGCACGCAAATGGGGCGTTGGAAAAGTCGTTAAGCTTATGAATGACGGGCAAAGGAAGTTCGGAGTCGAGACCAAAATCTTTCTCGTAATCGGGGTTGATGCCGCGAAGCTCCCCAAGGACCTGCTCGACAGTGCCGGCAAGAATCAACTTCTCACCTTCAGGGGTGGCCTGGACCTCCCACTGAGAGATGACGATGTCGAAGCCATCGATAGGTGCCTGAAGCTCTGAGACTTGGTTTTGACTACGGAGAGCAGAAATCTGCGTCTAGTCAGTACGTGGGCGTCTGAAAAGGAAGGAAGGGGGTATCCTACGCTGACTGTGAACAGGGCGGTGAGGATGATGAAGCTGCTGGAATGCATGTTGGAGAGCTTTATTGTTGATGATGTTAGAAGAGGATCGTTATTGCAGTGATGTTAGGATTGCTTCGATGGTTTTGGGTGGCATGTGTTTTCTAAGAAAGCAAATGAGCTTAGTTGTCTGCTTCCTTTTACATAAGTATTGGTCTCTGAGGAGTCTTGAGTGAATTTGCGTTGAAATAAGGGCAAGGGATGCTTTATACCTCATTTAGACCATCTTTGTGTGATTCAGTAAGATGCGGCTGTCATGTTGCTAGCATCAACGAGATAGGAGGATCATATTCATCTATCGGAATCTAGCATCTAAACCCATAGATCTTGTAAAACTTTGAGTGCTTCAACCCCAAAAAATTGCATTGCCAGGGAGACAGAGGCTTACGACTGCGGTTCGTCCACTGGTTTAATCATTAGGGAAGCACAATGCGTAACGTGATGGCGAACTGTGGCTTACGAAGTGGTATCAAGGTAGGTAGCGAGGTGTACACGAAGGTGACACACGTTTATGAAGCAAGAGGCCACAATAGGGTATTCTATTGGGTTCTGTGACTTGATAACCAGATGTCTTCCGTTCTAGAAGCCATATATGTTCGACAAGTTTACTTTGGAGGAGCACAATGTCGGCTAGATTAGTCAATGATCCCAAGGTCATTGCGCCAATGCGGCATCTTTTCTTCCCTCGTCACGTCGCACACTGTTCCTAGCTGTTATCGATCGTGAAACGTTACACACACGAGGCGCTATCCCACAAGTTTATCACCAAGCAGATGCATTTCGTGGCACCCAGGCTGACAGATGCCTCCATCTAGAGAAGCGGTTCCTATTTCCTTTCTGCGTTTACATGTGAGCATAAGAAGCTCCGGCCTTCTTTGTCTTATGAGACGGACCTGCTTCCAGGGTGAGTTCCTGTTCCGGCGCTATCTTCTGCGTCCATCGGGGCGTTTAGATCCGCCATGTCGATAATCAGACTGCCAGCACGAGTAGTTTTATCGCCATCTTGCCATTCAACTGCAAGCAAGTATATCTTGTGCATAGCAGGTCTCTTCAACTTGTAGACACCAAGCACGAAGCACCCCCACAGCTAGTAGATATGGCTCAAGGAAGCCCTGGTTGTCCTTCATCGGCATGTTCGGGAGTCCGACAAGATTGAAGACCGGCAGAGTCCCTTTTTTCCAATAACTTCAAAATGACTACTGTATGATAGCCTTCAACGGTTCGACATCGAATGTGAGATTTCTAGTCGTAAAGTGTTGAATAGGGCGGAAGAAATGGTGCATTCGGCGCGCTACTGCTTCATCTGCTACCCGTTTCCTATCGAGATCCCGAGATTCTCCACTTGAATAATTGTGTCCTGGTTGGCCCATGAGGTGATTCAAAACAAAATATCCGTTCCTCCAATGAGACCATTGAACCCCACATCGATCGTGCATGTACTCGATCTTGCCCAGCACCTCCATCCAACTTGCCTTCTGGCACCCGAAGAACGCTTGATGCTCACTGAAGATGATCCGCCGACGAGAAAGCAAGCCTTCTTGGAAGGTCAATCCTCTTGTCCACCATTTAGATTCCAACTCCAGATAGCAGGCTGGATGAGGCCCGGTATATATGACTGCGATGTCGTCAGGATGGAGGACATATTCCTCGAGACATGTCGTCAGGCTGACTCCAGGAAGCCTATATGTTTCGTCTTCACCCGCTGCGGCCACAATTGTAAGCTCAGCGTTGCTGTATATCAAGTCCATTTGTTGAATTTGATCTTCTCTCTCAACATAACCTTGCCAGCTCAAGTCATATTGAATTAGAATCAATAATCCAGACAAAACAATGCAGTTAGTTACATGTACCTACTAACGGGAAACTTGTCATAATTCTATGGTGTCAACCGGCCGCAGCTGTCTCACTAACCTTCTTCTTCTCGTCAGGGTATTGCACCGACAGATATCTCAGATCGCCCGTCATGCCAATGTTTCCCACAGGGTTGAGGCCGAGCCACTCCTTGAGCTCCTCGCTGCAAGTGTCCTGGACTTCTTTTGGCAGCTTGGCGGTCCAGTTGACCTGCTGGCGCATGAAGGGGGCAGTGTAATAGCCAAACAGCAGGGCGCGGTCCTGATCCTTAGTGACATTGCTACCCGAGGTGTGCCACACACGACCGTCCATGACAATGATGTCGCCAGCTTCACCCTCAAAGGGCACCAGCATGTCTGGCGCGTTCTCGGGCACCTCTTTGCGGTACACCCACTTGTTGGACCCAGGGATGTACTGCGTCGCGCCGTTCTCCTTGTTGACGTCTGTCAGACACCAGATGACGTTAAGCGCCCAGACGTTCTGCCACGGGTCGGGAAAGACAATGCTCTGGTCCGAATGCAGAGCCATGCTCTGCGATCCAGGCCTGGCAATGTTGGCGGTGAAGTTGCTGATGAGGAAGTTCTCACCCAGCACCGCTTTGACCATAGAGATGGCAGTTGTGTGTGAGATGAGCTCCCGGAAGATCTTGTCGAGCTCTAGCAAGTAAAATACGCGCACATTGCTGGGATTAGGGTCGAGAAACGACAGATATGTGTCTTCTCCACGGGCCTCAGCAGCTGCCTTGACCTTCCATAGTCGGTCAAGAACAATGGCGGCCTCTTCTTTTGTGAGTACCGAGGGGACGCGGGCCCATCCGTGTTCTCTCAGGTGAGTCTTGGCCTCTTCAAGGTCGAATGCCATGTTGATTTGTGGTGTAGGTTCGCGTATGCCAGGAATGTACTGCTTGAACGGGTCTCTTCGAGAGCCCAAAAAGAATGTCTCAGTCTAATGAAAAAAGTATGAAATGGAGAAACAGCGATGCAAGGTTGGAAAGTTTTGCAAAAATAACCCAAAGATAAGACAGCAAACGCATGAAACCAAGGGGCAAAGGGACCAGCCCAATACTTATTATTGCCGGGTCTCATTCCCCAAAGCAGGCTCCGCCTCTGTGCATACTACCCTCACGTTGCTGCAGCTGACCGTGAGTGACGAATCGTCCCTACCCAGTTGCACTGGTATGCTTTATACATGATCGGCGTCTCGTTGGACCTGAAGCAGGGTACACGGGGGAGCCCAGTCGCAAGCTAGATAAGCAAACCGCGTCAGACAAATAGTCCAAGAAGTAGACGTATAACAACTTTTACGGCAATCACGGCAATTCTTGAGTGGGGTTCAAGCCAGGTAAGTGCGAATTGACAATCCACATGTAGACCGTCATGCAACTATGCCGACACGGAGAATGATAACCGCAATCTAGAATACCCATGGTGGGGTTGATGATAAGTCACGCGGACCTAAGTCGGTTCTTACTCTTGCAACCTCATACTTCAAAATCGAGTACTGATAACTATTTAGATGGACTGGCAATATCCGGGTGTCTTTGAGACAAGATTATGAGGTCGCAAATGCGTTGACACCTCTACAAATTCCTATTCAGAGAGATGAACGAGCCTACGAGGCTTCTCCCTCACTTTTCCCGGTCTGGGATCAAGCTGACTTGTGCCGTAGGTGTTAGCCCCCATGAAATTTGATAGACAATATACAGATCTCAAAAGTTCATTCATCACATCCACTTCATGACGCATTGGTAATTGAGGATGCCGACAATTTGAGATCCATCAATGATTGGGCGAGGTTAGGTCATCGTCGACGGCAGCATGTAACTAACGACGGACACTGTGGCTGCCTGTAACATACTCAGATGCAAGTTGGAAGAGACCGGACAAGTCCGGGAACAGCCTTGACTTGAGTTTCTCATGTAAATGAAGAGTCCTACCGAGGAAGACGCCGCGTTTCCGCGGCTCTTAGATCGTTTATGAGACCTCTCCGGACAATGATTCATCATTTTTCTACTTGCCGAATTTCCCCCCGATTCTAGCAACTCCGTCTTTCCTCCTTGAATATAGTCTGCGCGGGTGTATTATATGATGAGCATGATGAATCCGTGAAGCTTTAACTTCACTGGTCTCTCTTCAAGACACTGGTCTTGGGTCGGCGCATCCACCAATAAGTCTGTTTACGACGGGTAGCGAATTCGTCGGGAACGGGACACACGTAATGAGGGCCGTCAAAGCCCTCTGATGCGTACAGTTTTCTCCCTCGATCCGAGCCTTCAACCACCGCCTACTCCACTACATTAGCCTCGAAGTCTCTGTAACACGGGGCAATAGACGTCGGCAAAGCCTCAACTCACGTCGACACCCATTTCATCAGCGATAGCAAGGCCCGCTTTCACCAGCAGCCTCCCGGCACCTTGGCCTTGGTGATCAGGATCGCACATCAACATATCAAGCGCTGTAGCATGCGTTAGCGAATCAACGTTTAGTATGGAAGGAGGTGAGGTCAATGAGACGTGGAGTGCTTCAACGTACCAACTAATCTCGCGCCAGTTTCCTCAATAGCTCTCTGTCTCGGCGCAAAGAATCCATGAAACAGAGCTTGTGCAAACCTCTTGTCCTCCTGGTTCTCCCAGTAGTCACCATCGAGCTCCGGCTGCGGAGGGATGGGTCCGCCCTTGTAAATGTTCCATTTCGCAGCCGCGATAATCTTTCCGGTGTCCGTGTCGGTGCACTTGAGGAAGGTGCCGTAAGAGTCCCCTTGGAATATTGCGAGCATGCGCTCGCTGCCTACCTTGCGGCCTCTGGGGCTATTATGTGCTGGGAAGACAGCGTCAACGTATTCATGGTCGTTGGCAAAGGCTAAGGAGACTATTTCGAAGACGCGGGGGATGTCTTTCTCGGTGCAGCGTTCGACTTTGAGTGGCATCTTTGGGTCGTGTCTAGTCTCCATAAGGTGTGCGCTCTCGATCTTATGACCAATACAACGAACGGCGTCGATTTGTCAAAGTCGCTGTGATCGGATTGACCTAGAGCCTTAGGTGGGTATTGGTTTGGTTCCGCGCTGGAGTGCGGGGCAAGAGGTGCTCACGAGCTTTTTGAGATCGCTTGACATCATTCTGAGTTCGCTCGTCTCAAACGGGTGGCTTGCAGAACAAAGTAGACCAAGCTCCACATGCCCGCCTTTTCTCCAGTCTCGTTCGCCATTTGGATTTGGCATCTCCATGAAGAGCATGCAGAAAGTGCGGGACGCACCTTCGACTTTCCGTGTGGATCCATTGGGCGGCTCCATCTCGGCTCCGTGAATTGGGCTCAAGAGAGCCCTGAGGCGCTTCGACGTATCGCTCTCACAGCGCTCATTATCAATGACTCTCAATGAGATGGGTTCCAACGCTGTGTGATCTACGGATGGATCTGATGGAAAGGCAGGTTAAGAGGGGTATGGAATCGAAATGAAGATGCCAAGAACGAATGAACCGTTTACAGTGAGCATGCTGCGCCGTCCTAGTTGTCGATGCTGCCGTTTGTCCATTGCCATCTTCAATTTTTCTTTAGGTGCAATGCACATAGGTTCGCAATCAAATAGCCAGAATTCATACAACTGGGTCGGAAGACTCTCAACTAATTCATGCCTCATCCTTGTGCTCTTCATTGCATGTGTTGATGAGTAAGAAAATGCCAGGAGACATCCGATGTCGTGAACTCATCCGACCCGCCAAAGACAATGATTTATGCAATCCTCCTTTTAAGATTGGAAGACTCTGCGGCAGCCACCACATTCTTCTAATGGGAAGATTCATTCCCCATAAGTGTTGAATCCTTTGTGGCTGAGCGAATGTCAGATACGGCGTCGAATCGCATGATTGGCTAGTAAGACTCACATGTGCTGTTCTGGGCATCCCTTAGTCGCTTTGAGTCTAGATCACCCGGATGACAGCAGATGTTTTCATGTTGCATTGCGACCGAGGGCAGTCGTAAGCCTCCTCTTAAAAGTGCCCGTCCTTTGAGTTTGTTGACTCGACAATACCGGCCAAGCAAGAAATACTAGAGCCCCCTGTCCTGGGTGAGATTGTGAGACAGGGGGGCTGGTTGTCCTGCGAAGGATTCTGCCCTACAGCGCTAGTCAACCGAACCCTTGACCATAGCCGGGACTTCGGAGTGATATCTAGCAGGCAGTGGGATTTGGGGTTCGTTTTAAACGGGTTGTCCCCCAGAAAAGCTTGCTCCGGTTTTGATCTTACATGTTTGTCGAAATACACGCTTTGCATATGCAACCACAGTCCTCTGCATCCGGTTTCAATTCAATGTCGTCGAGTCCAGACCCGGCCAACCCAGGGCTTGCCCCGCTGCCGACTTTGAATCGTGGGAATAAGAGGTACGCCGTATATATGTGCCAATGTAGCTTCGTTCGAGTCTAACCTCAGAGCCCAGAATTCCAGGGATGTCTCCTCAGATGGCTACCTTTTCTCTAGGGAAGCGACCACGTGGTAAACGAAGTTGCACAGGCAAAGTCCGGTCGGGTTGCATTACGTGCAAGTAAGTTTGCCAGAGCCACGGCTCGGCTCGTAGTCGATCCTGACCTTGAATTTCCAGGCGGCGACATATCAAGTGCGACGAAACTCGCCCTTACTGTCTGAAATGCACCAAGTCGCCTCGAGGGCCAGGCATATGCGAGGGCTACCAACCCGGAAAGAAGCAACCAGATCGTCACGCTCAACCACGCCTGATTACCTCCAAGGAAACTTGGCGGATCTGGCCTGCCGCTGTCCTTAGGGAACCCGGCTACGAGTCCGCTTTCTTCAGTAATCCTCAGGAGAAAGTCTACTTTGACTTTTGGCAGCATCTAGTGGCCAACATCTATCTTTTCCCCAGCGACATCATGATCCGCGTTGTCCCACAGCTTGCGCGTCGCGAGCCAGCCATCAAGCACGCCGCTCTCGCCATGGCCGGGATGGCCCGCGCGCTCGTTCCGTCGCTCATCAGGCGGTCCAGGAAGCAGCTCCATGCCAACGGGCCGCACTACGAATTTGCTCTACAGCAATACGGCCGCGCGATCAAGCTTGTGCGTAGTTCCCAGCCGTCAAGTGAGAACATGCTCTGGGCTATCGTCTGCTGCGTTCTCTTCGTCACGTTCGAGTGTCTCCACGGTGATCGCGACGCGGCGCTATCGCATGTGGATCATGCCTACAAAATGATGGAAACGTACTTCAATCAGCGTTCCCTGCTCGAGGACGGTCCCGTGACGGACTCTATCCGCGCAGTGTGTGACGATGCTGCGTGGGTGTTCCAGGGGCTGACGATGCAGGCCTGGTCACACAATGTGTTGCACTCTAAGGACGCTTCGCAAATCAGCTGGTGTTGTCGTGGCAGCAAGCGCGCTTACGCTGTGGACGAGATGCCCACTGTGTTTGCAGACGTCCACATGGCGCGGCGTTGGTGGAGAGTCGTGCAGCATTACACGTGTCATAGATGTCCCATCTACACAGAGATGTTTGTTGATGGACTTTCGAAGGAGATGCTTGTGGGCAGCTATGTGCGGCCGGCTCAATTTCCGAATCACCTGGATGAGCTGGCCGCTGTGCTCCCCGACTTCCTTGGCCATCTACGACGTTGGCAGAATGCCTTCCAAGGGATCTACGACGACCTGCGGGCGAATCAAACCCAAAACTACAAGGCATATGTGGACGCCTGCAACTTGCACATACAATATCTCACTCTTTGGACCGATGTCTCAAGTCTAAGCTACGAAGACATCAAAATGACCATCATGCTGACGCCATCATTCCGCCAGATGGTTCATCTTAGCCGCATCGTCCTCGCAGCGCAGCAAAACTGCGGCGGATGCACAGAGACCTTCAGCATGGACAACGGTCCCACTCTACCGCTCTTGATCGTCGCGTGCCGATGCCGCGAGGACAGCGTGAGACGAGAGGCTACAGAGTTGCTGGGCAGATACCACCGTCGCGATGGATTATGGGATAGCAGAGCTTTCCACAGCGTCGCGCTGAAGAACGTGGCGATCGAGACGGAGAACACTACCGACGGAGGCGATGGTGAGCAGTGGTCACGCATGTCGCGACGTGAGGTGCACTTCAGCCGCGAAGGAGATGTGACCGGCAGGACGTTCAGATGGCAGCCAGATGTGGAGTGGAAGCGTGTTGAAGAATCTTTGTCAATGGTTTATTAACCCTCAGTTTCCTCATGACAACGTAACTGTTGGCGAGGCTGATTTATTCCTGTACCGAGACTGCCACGTAGTCTGCAAAGCCCAAACTCTCAATGCTTTGTTTGTCAGCAAGACTGGTGAACTATCTAAAGCCATCGCGTTGAGGTTTCTCATCCCTTGACAAGATTCGTCTACCATCATTAACACATCTATTTATCCCATCTACCAGCTTCGAAAATCGCTGGACCCAAGACTCCGCTCTTCGTCTCTTCTCCTGGTGTACCTCCATGTCCTTTTATGTAAATTGCCGGCCCTCCGCTATGTCCAGAACTTCCAAGACCAATCCTCTCACCTCCTATGTAATGAGAGTTTGATCAGAACTATTGCGGCTTGTCCAAATTTCCATGGAGTACTCCTTCCTTCAACTTGAAAGTCTTTCCTTCGACTTTAATGATGTACCTCAGTTGGAGTGTATGGCGCTTGAAGATTTCTTCTCGTTCAGTAGACGATTCCTCTAGGTTTCTATGGTGTATATTATGCGAGCTAATTGGGATATAATATCCATCACCTTCAATTCCATCTGCTCAGCAACTTCGCGTATGGAAGCGTCACAAATAGTAGGATCTGTCGCATCTACTTTTCTTCTAGGCGTCTTGAAGACGTTTGAATAAATAGTTTCTCATCTGTGTTAAGTTTGAGAACTAGGACAGTAAAGCTTGAAGTGAAGTAAAATTAAGATTCATGACGCGCGCGATATGGATAAAAATCTGCTAATTTCGGTGAAGCAAGATAAAATGTCATTGGTGGCGATTTATCGAAACGCCGAGGAGTATCGAGTGGTGATTAGGCGAAGATGAAGAAATTAAGTGGAGTGAAGGGATTAGAGTGAAATGTAAGCAGGACACAAGGCAGCTATGTACGACGGCACATGGTTTTTGCTTCAGTCAGCCAGTCTGCTGCTTTTGCAACCCGACTACTAAAGTAGCATCAAACTATTTGACTAGGACTCTGTCAAGGTGCATCAATCTATTTGGGAATTTGCTATTCTCCTCAATGTGGCTGGGAACGCGATAGATTCGCTCCTCATATATGAAAATTTCAATTAAAAAGATACAGAGCTATGGAATTTAAACTTCTTGCTAGTTTGTATTCATTGCTTTATGGACGATCTAGAGCTTTCATTCAGCCGTCGTGGCGGCCCAGGGGGTGGCGGCCCGATGGGGTTCGATCCTTGATTCCGGTAAACCAAATCCCGAAGCTCGACGCCATCTGCTTCAAAAAGGACTGGTAGGCACTCTCCCAGGAACAGATAACTACCCTCTTCTCTGTTTTCTGTCTTCAGGCGTCTGAGTTTGGATAAGATGAATGAAGAAACAAGATATCTGTCAGGAGCCCTATACAACTGGCTTTCTCCTGGCCACCAAAAAGATATTGTATCCTTCTCGCAGTAGAGCCAAATATTAGGATCAGCACCGTGAAGTAGGAATAGCTTGATGAAAGATCCCCAAGGCATGGATCTATACATCCTTGAGCAGGAAAAAATGATCCAAACTTGCCAGCAAGTAAGGCTAGCCCCCGAAAAACTTCTCAATAGAGATGCTCCATTGGGATCTGCCCCTGCTTTGAAACACTGGGATATAAAATCGCAAGCCCTCTTCTTATATGATGGTTTATCAAAATATTCTTTGAAAATCCAGGTCAACTGTGGCAAACAGACGTCCAGAAGCACGTTTTCATAATTTTCCCGTTTTCTTTGACGTCCAAGTTGGTAGAACCCACCATCCAAGCTGGGCGGCGTTGAGACTACCAAAAGATCAACGAAAACAGCAATGTTAAGACTCCCTATAATCTCCAATGCGTAGATCAACTCTGAATCATCAAATCGGCCATCAAATGCATCAGCCCCAACGCTTGTATTTGGGTTCTGAGTTTCCAGAGTACGGATTAATTCTTTAATGGAAGTCGATCGACGAATCTCGGCCGTCTCTTCAATACTTCGACAGTATTGGTATAGAAAATCCTTGATATTGGAGCCTAAGCTTCTCTTAACGAAGCCTATGCAAGGGCGGAATATTTTCAAAGATGCCAGGAAAGCCTGGAGGCGGAAATCAGCTGGGTTGAAGGACTGAGCGTTGGTTACAAGGAGACTTTTGATGTGTGGCTGGTACAAATACTCAACCACAGACCGATGTGCAAATCTAATCACCTGACTGGACGGATGCTCATGATTCATCCTATGAGAGTCTTGGTAAAACGCATGGGTGTGCAGGAATATATCATCAGCCTCGTCGATGATCTCGAGATTGCCTTCCCGATGAATTCGGGCGGTGCCGTTCTTGAGGCAGCTCTCAATGTCGCTAATCAATTTCGCGCTGATTTCGCGCTCCTCCTCTTGAAGTGATTCGATTTGTTTGGGGTAACCCATAAACTCGAACCTGCACACGCCCCTCATCAATCGTGGTCGAGGATCCGAATCATTGGAGTGTACCTCAAGAAGACCCATACACCGTTGATAAACCGACCGCCTGGCCCTATCTTGTCTGTAAACGCTTGCTCCTTTGTCGAGGGCTGCAATTGGAGATTTCAAGGCAAAGTTGGGGTCTTTCTCGTAATCGTTCAAGAACCAAGTTTCCGTAAGCCGCAAGGGCCGTGGGGAATATTCGGTCTCCGCTGCAAGTAGAATCATTCGCATGGCCCTCATTCTATCCACTTTGTAGGAATCGGTCCCATTCAAAATGGAGCCAAGTATTGACGCGTAGAGTTGTTCAAGACCCGCGGGCAAATCGTCGAGTCTTGCCTCAAGGTCTTCTAGTCGCTCCCCGGAAAGAAGGCCCCCTTGAAGGCCGCTCAAGGTAATTTTGACCCAAAGAAACACGCCTTCGGCTTTATCTCTGATGATGTCAATGAGATCCAGAACTTTTGGCTGTGTCAAAGCCAAAGACTTGAACTCTTCATTGTCAGATAATACGCTGTTGACGTACGCCTCAATGTCTCGTCTCGTGATGTCCTGGAGGCGAATTCCGGGGCAATTGATCAGCCTCTGTCGGAAAACCTCCCATTCTCGGCTTGAGACACACAATTTCATATTCCCCGAGCTTTTCTCTATCCAATTGCGAAGCATCTTCGTCATCTTGTCATGGTCTCCATCAAACTCATCCAGGCCGTCAATGAAAATTGCAACCTTGTGTGAGGAAAAGAACTCTGTTTGTTGCAGAAGACTGGCAAAGGCCGACTCAATCTCGGAATTTTGAAAGTTGAATATCTTCCCTTGCTTGGCCATCTCCCACTGCTTTGGTAGTACGGATTCAAGAAGGGCGGGTGCCTGTTCCATGATCGAGTATAGCAGAGCCCGACGTAGTCCGTCCAATGACTTTTGAGCCGTAGTTCCGAGCTTCCAGAAGAAGAAGTTCGCCGAGATAAGTGTCTTTTCTCCGGCCCAGTCGTGGAGGTAGTCTGCCGTGGCCGGGCTTTGACAGAGGTATTTCATTAGTGTGGATTTGCCAGCTCCAGGTTTGCCAGAGATGTGATAAATGCCGCCACCATGGGCTAACCAATCTATCAGACCTTGTCGAGCTAGAAGTTCTTCCTCTGTTCGCTCCAAGGACACCTGTGATTCATCGTCGGATTCCTCGTCGGATTCTTCATCAGACCTTGCATCAAATCCTCCGCCGGGGTCCGAACGTGCCAGATCATGGCCAGACTCGTGGTCATCGTTGTTTTGAGGAGACTCAATGTCCGCTTGAGAATCAGCGTTCGATCCATCGCTGTAGCTCAGTTCAGACCCATCGGTTGAATTGAAATCATTACTTGACGGTGTTTCCGAGCCCAGGAGCCAGGAATATGTCTTTTCGTGGGCGGGTTCAACCTCGTCGAACCTCTTCGTCATGTCGCCAACATAAAGTTTCTCCAAAATCAAGCGCTGCGCAGTGCGTTCGACGGCCTCTTTCGAGCGGGATAGGATTTGGTGAGCACTCTCCACCAAACCGGGCACATTTTTCCACAATTCTACTTTTGATTGCAGTTCTTTGATGTTTTCGCCCAGACGCTGCACTTCAGTTGTGTTGATGTATCCCAGGGCAGAAATCTCATCGAGACGGCGGCTCAGTTCCGATCTAAGAGAGATGTTAGCGGGCCTAATTGCTACCTTGTGATCTAGCCCAGACAGCCTTACCTAGTCAACTGGGTGAGTTGCAAATGGATCCTGGACCTGCAATCATCCAAGTCCCTCTGAAGTGTTTCCTTTTCATCCTTCTTTCGGAAATCTTTGACCATTTTTGATAAAATGTGGCGCTTCTTGGTTGACTTCAGCCCAGCCAACAGGGTCATCAGCTGCACCGTGCGATTCTTGTACTCCTCTACAAGATCCAGCAGCTGAGCCTCATTTCCGTCCCTCGCAGCACCAACGTGCCTTGTGTTGAGACCCGTGACGTGTTCCTCGACGAGTCTGACGCGACGCTCCAGGTCGGCATTGTCTTTGAATGTAGCGGATCCGGACCGCTCGATCTCTCTCGCCACCCCAACGTTCTCGGCTGCGAAGTCGATGAACGTTATGATGGCGCTGACGAGGCCGATGATCTCAAGAGGTGTCATGTTTGTGAACGGGGCATCGCAATGGAAACAAAATGGGAAAGATGCCACCACGTCCCAGGAATTGAGGACAAGAAGCTACGTCGACGGCCTGGGAGACCAGGCGCACGTGTGAATAGCTCGTCGCGGGACCGCTATGATGATGCAGCCGCAATGAGGGGTTTCTGGGAAAGCCAGGGACGGGATGGGGAGAAGATAAGAGAAACTCGAAGAGAGCCTGCTGTCAGCCCCCGCGATTCTGCCTGCCGCAAATGCCTTGGCTGAGCCAATGATGGAGACTGCGTTTGCGGCGAGGTTGATGCAAGGTGCTATTTTGGGTCTAGATCTGACCAATCGCAGCTTCCATACCGAAAGTGAGGCAGACTCTCAGGAGACGCCAATGACGAGAGGAAACGAGTAGGGCTTCATTGCACTGCCAATTCCGTCATCTGATACCACCAGTCGCGTTGATACTTGGTACCATCATGGTCGATATTTATGCTTTTCCTATTGGAGCCCTGAGACGACTGTAGGAAGAATGTGAAGGTACCTCCGTATGGTTATTATAAGTCAATAGCGTGGAAGCTACTGGCGTTAAAGGCATCGTTTTGGGTGCAACATTAAGGTACATGTATGTAAAGGCGCCCAGAAACATATCAGATTATCCGCCTTGTACCTATAGCGGTCGAAATTGCAACGTAATAACGCTTAATTTAGGTGTCTTTAACTCAAAATACTTGAGTATGGTTTGGAGCTCGTTAGGACTGTTCTTTGATAAGTCCAAGTTTGTATTAGATCCCCACTGTTGGTGATATGTATGAGTCTGGGAGGTGCGTGACAAGATATGACTCGTTTATGCTGTCTTCATGACCGGTGTCGATTCTTCGCGACTGTTTATAAAACACTTTGCAGAATAGAAGTCATCATGACGGGCAGGGAAATCGTCATTCCAAAGCCTGATTGGATTCCCCTCCGGATCACTAACTGAGTAGGTAAGTAGACACATGCAGTCAATCAACAATCTCTCTATAGACCTACACTGCCCATGTGTATCAACCATGAGCTTTTCAGTCAAAGGTCCAGCAAAGAAGCTTCGTTGAGCTCCGATATCCACGGAAAAGGCAGTCACAGTAAGAGGAATTCCCAAGAACCTGCAATGATTTCAGACGAGACGAGCCACGAACACAAGAAACAGCGTTGGACTGCAATTAGGGAGTATTAGTAACGATATCATCTATATTAGATGCGGGATTATATTAATCGATAATGTTGTCTATGGTAAATACTGTCATCAAGTACGCCGTGTTCACCACGCAGCCAATATACTAGCCAGAGAGAACACGGGATGGAGTCATCAACCAACCCCTCTCCCTCTCTCAGTCATCCAACCCACCCCTAATCAATCACAATAACCTCAACATCCTCTTTCAAGGCCCTACCCCCCCGAAACTCGCTCCTCAACCTCGCATCCAACCACCCTCGATACCCAGCAAACATCCCAACCCCCTTCCACCCCTCACAAAACCCCCGCATGATCTCCATCCTCTTCCTCTCAACCTCCGCCATCCTCCCTTCCACCCATCGCCCTCCCCTGCCCCCGTCGACAATCCCCATCTCGCCCAACCCCCAGATGAACTTGGCCTCGCACACAGGACAAAAGTACGGCGGCTGTCTACCATCCTCGCCCAACCCTCCCGTCCCTTGCATGACGCAGGCGTAGTAGACGCAGTGATCCATCCCCAGGCAGTGCCCAACCTCGTGAGCCGCCGTCCTCGCAACTCTCGCGAACCACATGCCCTTCAAGTCCTCCTCCGCCTGCCTCTTATCCCGCGATGCCTCCCTCGGGACGAGCACATCCCTCGAGGCAGCGATAGCACCGCCCATCGCCGTCCCCTTCACCCTCTTCAGATCAACCATAATCTCACCACCGCCATCCTCCTTCTTCTTCTTCTTCTTCCCCTTCCCCTTCGTCCCCCTCCCCTCCCCATCCCCATCCCCCTCCAGCATCTCACCCTGCTCCTCCCACCACTCACACGCCTCAACCACAAACGTCCCGCAATGACTCGCAGGCCACATATGCTCCCTCTCCACCCCAACCACAGAATCCAACACGGGCCGGTACCGAAAACTCGACACCGTACAAATCCGACTCCCGCCAAACGCCCGCCCACAGCAGAAATCATCATTCTCATCCTCATACAGGTCCTGCGCGACAAGCATGCACGCCGCATAAGCAGCACCCGGCAGAACCCCCCGCAGCGCGCTGAGAAGATCGTTGAGGTTGAGCTGCATCCTCGCCAGGCCGTCCGGCCCCGGCCGACAGCGGATCCCCACCACCGGTACGCCCTCTCCGTCTCCCATGGCGAGACCGACCACCATGGGCTTCGGTTTCTTTGTTTGTTTCCCGCTGCCGCCCCGCGGGGTCCGCGGGGGAACATTCTCATCATCCCACTTGACGAACCGCAACCGCGTCGGGAGAACCGCCACAGGAAGAGGATGATAAAACGCGGCAAAATACGCCACCACGTCCTCGACCCGCGGATGCTCCAACACCGCCGCAAACCCAGGCGGCAGCGTCGTCACCCCCGACAAATCAGGCAATGCCCACCCCCTCATAAACGCCGCGCTCTCGTCGATGCGCGGCACATCGGCGACATATAGCGTCTTCTGCGCCGGCGTGATCGGATTCCGCCACTGCCCCATCGCCCAGGACCGCAGGCTCTGCGGCGGATACCGCGGTTCCAGCGCGAGGTCGTCGTCGGGGAGGACGAGCGGGCCCGGAAACGTAGATGGGACCGGTGGTGCGGGGACGTTGAGGTTGTCCGATCCGGATCCGGGGCCGGGGCCGGGGCCGGAGGAGGAGTTGGGGTAAGGGCGGCTGGTGTTGGCGGGCATCGGCTGCACCCTTCCGGAGAGGGTCGTCCCCGCGACGCGCTTCTCGGGTGGGACGCGAATGAAACCCGCCTTGGCACGGCCGTATTCCGAGGCGTCGACGATGATGGCCTGGTGCTGGCATGCCTTTGGCTTCCGGGGTGCCATTTTTGTTGGAACGGTTGCGAGATGGAAAAGTCACCACTTGGAAGACAACCAGTGAGTGATGCGCGCCGTCAAAGGGACGAAACGAGTTGGCTTCTATAGACGTTGTCCCTGGCCTCTTCCGTCACCGACTCTTCAGGTGTGCCGTAGAGAATGAGTCACACCAGACAAGATGCCAAATACAGGCGGCAATCTCCTTCTGAAGCAATTCACGAGAGAAAAAAAACGGTCGGAGACCACTTAGCGAGGGGGTGTCGTTTGAACAACCCCGCTTTCCGCGCTGCTGCCTACGATCCAAAGCCCACGAGGGCTCCTTGGACCTTTCTGCTTTCTTTCTCTTCCCTCAATTAACTCCACGGATCCATCAATGAGGACGTCGTCGTCTACCTGGAACCGTCTGCCTCGTGAACCCCAATGGCGCACCACGCAGCCTCGCCTTACCGTCGAACGCACCAAGCCATGCCTGAAGTTGCTCGCGCGCAAACGTCAACTACCTGAGTGTCCGGGTTCACCTCAGTCGCCCAAGGACATCCGAATCGACCCTCCAGTCTCTCCCTCGCTTTCTCAAAGCTGCCGGTCACCTCTCTCCCGGCGCAGACCATACGTCAAAGTCAACAACAGCGAGCAAACCAAACAAGTCATGCCCGCTGAAGGGGGGGGGGGGACGTCCGAAAAGCCTCCTACATCACTTCCCACCCGAGCAAACCGCCCCCTACCGTCCGCAAGAACCCCCTCTCGAAGCTCCCGACCCTCGCGCATTCCTCGGAAAATGTCACCGCTCAACCTCCCTCTACTTACTGACCCTTCGTTCGGTTCCGGCATCCGCGGATCTGACCAGGGGCAAAATAACTGCCCAAGGCCAGATAGATACAGGCGCATACGGATAGTTCGTCTTCGAAACACCCCGTATCAGTCTTTCAACCTGCAGCCCAGCTAAAAGAACGGAAATAAGGGCCAAGGGAGAGGACGCCCGTCAAAACGTCCACCAGCGAAAGAAGAGGGATGCCCGCTCGGCCAGATCTAGACTTTTCCCCCCCACCGTGCTGCCATGCACTCTGGTGCTGGCTGGTGCTGGTGTCGCCTGGCATGGCCGCGGTTCGACTTGTCGCCTCATTGTCGCGCTTGCGCTTGAACAAACAAACCAGCATAGGCCTCTTGGCCTACCTCCTCCTCTTCCTCATTCTCCTCTCCGACAAATGCTATAGACGCACAAAAACCCGCGCCCGCACCGCCGGGACCGCAAATCCTTCCTCCTGCAGACACATGGACCGCGCGACCACCACCGCGGGACACCGTCTTCCCGCATCCGCGTCCGCATCCGCCGCCTGTCCCATACCGACCCCCATCTCCCTGGTCGCGCATGTTGCAGAATCTAGCATCGCTCATCGGGAATAGGTCCATCTTTTGTGGGATAATTATCCCATGGGCCATGATCATATCAAAGCCCCGCCTTCATGTTGTCATCACTCACCGGGTCAGGTAGTCTTTACGCCCGCCCTCTTCGCCTCCCGTCTTTCCCGGACCATCTCATCCATCAATCAATCACCGATTGCGCGCCCGCGTCCCATCACGGATTTTGCCTCCCGTTGGCCCGGCGAATGACGCGACGCCACACACACACATACATCCATGAGGAAAACGGCAACCAGTCTGGATCTCCAACAACGGCGATCCCCCTGCCTCCACTGCGTGTTCGCGCGCAAGGAAGCTCTCCTCCATCCAGTCGCTGCAGCCTACCATACCGAGGTAAGACACTTTACGCGTCGTCGTCGCCGTCGTCGCGTCAAAAAAAGCCAGACCGTCACAGAGTCTCGTGTGAAGATTTCGCCTAGTGATGGACCCCGGGAATACAAGGTGAAGGCTTCTTCACCTCCCATCGCGCGTCATCGCCCGCCCGCGTCGCGGTTCGAGAGCAAGCGCAAAGCTTCCCCGTCTGAAACCAGCCCGTCTTTCCCCGGAATCCCACCTCCGCGAACCGCGGGACCACCACCAAACCACACTGACCGAGCGCGTGCGCCGCCAACCCGCTTCACACCATCCATCCATCCTTACCACTCGGTATCAACATGAACACCATGCACACCCCCCACGGAGAGAGAGAGAGACGAACGTACCCCAACGACCAGATGCAGTCTGCAGGACATAAGATTATTTCCCTTCTGTTCCCTGCCGTTCCTCACCATATCGGGGGCGCAAAGTCCAGTTTCGCACTTCGCGCAGGGTTCTGCTCGTCCCTGAACCCACAAGGCGAACCCTGCCTGCATCCGAGGCACAATCAGACGTGGCATCGCTGGCCACACGTGGCCCAATGGGGGGGTCATGGTTCCTGGCGACGCGACGGGATGTGATGTGATGGGCGCGGCAGCAGCATCGGCAGCAGCATCAGCAACAGCAGCGTCGTGCTCGAACGACATCCCTCAGTCCCAACATTCTTGAACGGCAAGCTGTGCGTGCGCCTGACAAGACGTTGGGTAATCCTTTCCCGGGTTCCGCGAACTATCGTCAACGGCCGCGTCGCTGCATCTCAAAGGTGTCTGCCAGCCCGCCCGTTCTTGGGGTGGGAAGCATTTGTGTCGTCACCGTTGAATCTCCTCCCATGCCTCGCGTGCCATTGAAATGCAAAAGCAATGCCATTTCGCCTTGCCAGCCGGCGATCTTCTACAACCTGTACCGGCCGGACCGGAAAGTGACCCCAGCTCAAGGTGCCTTGTGTTTAATCCGTTCAGTATTCCCCGTCAGTGCGCCCCTTACCCCGAGATCACATCGATCGATTCCGGGGTCCGAATCGCTCGCAGCGAGTACATTGTCTCGAGAGTATCCGTAGTGAGTGTTCGGTATTAGTCTCTGGCTTTATTCTTATCGCGCTGGTTGACGGGCGATCGCGGGTCTCAGACATGGTGGCGCCGAACCTTTGCATCAACCCGCAGCATTCCTCGGGCCCGAAGAAAGTTGTTTTTTAAGAAAAAAACAAAAAAAAATTGTCCTGGCGGCGTCAGTCCAAGCTGCCACGAGGGTGCGCCGTGACGGTATGTATGGTGGTTGTTCAGAATTAGCCTCAAATTTTGCTTGCAAGCGCCTCGGTGTAAGTCACACCAAGAGAAGAGGCCCAACGCGCAAAACTCGGCCGTTCGCGTCTTCGCGCGCAGACGGGCGTTGCTTTTCTTCTTTACTGGCCAGTCCTGACCTCAATGCCATGTTCTATTGCTCCTTCTGTCAAGAGAGCAAGGCATTGGCATTGGCGCCGCAGCGCCATACCTTGAGTGGAACAAATTGCAGAGAAGAGAGGCGTTCCGTGGCTCCAAAGCGGTAATGACTCCCTCTCCCCTTTCTCCCAATTGACCACTGAGCTCTCACAAGAAGCCACGGAAGTTTTCGAGGCATCAGACCAGCGCCGCCCCCAAGATTGAAAACCCTTGAAAATTGAGTCGCAATCGCCAGAATGCCCCTTTGAAGTTTTCGACAGCTATTTGCATTCATATGGCAGTGCAGTTGTCCTTCCGCTTTTGGAATAGCTACCCGTGCATACACACTCGATCGTGACACAAACAGGTGGCGCCGATGTCTCCCGCAACGCCTCGTGGCATCGTGCGACGATGGCCCAAAAAGGAATTCCCATCCTTTGCCACACGCCGCACCATAACGATGGCCTGGGAAAGCGAAACACCTTGGAAGCGCACCGAGGTCTGTGGAAGGGCTACCGGGGGCTTGGCTCTTCTTTCTAGACTTTGTGTTTGATCCCAACTCACCTGGAGACGGCCATCTACCTGAGCCTCCAAGAGAAAGGCATCATGGAATGGATGAGTATCGACAACCAGGTGCCAGGAACCGTAGTAAGCTGCTTCGACGAATGGCTTGCTATGAATAGGCAAAGACGCCACGCCCCTCACCAATTACCCTCTTGCATCCCAAATTCAGAAGTCTCCTACCGCCACTGTATCATGCAACCCGCTTGCCGTCGGTACTGGAGGAGAATAAAATTCTGACATTTTTTCTGTTGAGATTTCAGAGGCGGGGTGCCGATGGTGGCTTTACGCCTTTACGGTGGTGATGGGTCTGCGGCTTGCCGCTTACCGATGACTTCGAACTTCGAGAAAAACCTTGCCGCATGCAGACTTTTCTTAACCGCCGACGATCAACTGTCAGAACCAGCCAGGTTGCCACACTCTTTTTTTTTTCTTTCTTTTTTTTCCCTACTTTTTTTTCCCTACTTTTTTTTCCCTACTTTTTTTTGCCCGAGTCCAGCCCGGTCCAAAGGCACCGGTGCTCCAGGTAGGCTCAACTCAAAGGCCCAAACCCCACCCGAGCCTCCGCATCGGCCTCCTGTTCGGCCATAATCCCCCGTCAGAATCATCGGCCCCCAACCCGGCCAGCCGGCATCGTCACTGACATGGATGTATGCAGCTTTTTCAGTTCACATGTGAAGTTGTGAAGTGGGCACTGCGAAGAGCATGTTGGATCCTGTTCCTGTCGTCGACGAGGTGGGCTCTCGATGCAACCGTACTGCCAGAGAATGGGATTAGGCTTTACTGCAATCTAGGGCTTCCACGCGCGCTTCTACCGGAGCCCTAAGGCGAGAGCCAGGCACCGGATGATACCCGTCATGCCCGTCACGGTGTCACCCGTGTCTTCCCCTCTCGCTTCCGTGTCTTTTGCATTTGGCAAGTCGGCGTCGGCGAATGGACTGCCAATCCAACCCTCCATCAGGGCACGACTAATGCAAGGGACGCAAGACCGAAGGGGGAAAAAAAACCTCATCTTCAATCCAGGTACCACACTGGCGGGCTTGGGAATACCGACTCAACAAGTGCAGAGATTGTGACGCTGCACACCCTCTTCTGTCGGCCCCGCTGCACCAGTCAGATGCAAGCTTTTGGTACAATCGATGGCTGTGCTCTCACGAGGGTGTCGAACCCCAGATGCCTTGGCCGGCCTTGGCCATGACGGACCCCAAGATTGTCGAGGCTGGCCCGTCTACAGCGCAGCCTTGAGGACTATTGGCTCAA